TTCCAAGTACACTTACATCAGAGAGGAAGGCATAAACAAAGGCCAGGCCGGCCGGCCTCTTAGGTGGCGGAGACAAAGCAACAGATGCAGAAGAGTGACCGGTCTTTCAGTCTATAGGGCTTATGAGAATCCCGGGACCACAGTCAACAGGGCTTTCATGTCCCGTCACAGGGCATTTTCATCCCACAATCAGTTCTTGGAGGCCAAATAACAGCGTGGTAATTGTTTTTTAAGGCTTTCATGGTTGAAACTGTAACAAAAAATCACTTCCCCAGAGTTGTGTGGGAAAATAAATAATATATATATAACACATATAGTGCAAACAGAAAAGCTTTCTCTGGGAGAGCCTCTAATTGTGGGATTTAAATTCCTTTTTAGCGAGCCCAGAACCTGCAGTGGCACTTATGGAAGTCATAACGAGTCCCTTTGGATTAGGACTTCAAAGTTGAATCACTGGGGGTTTTAATCGTTGCCCGTTTTCTGGTCGCTGCTATTAAACCACCAAATGAATAGAATTGCGCTCCATTGGATGGAAGAAACTAAGGACAAAAATAAGCTGTGGTAATTCAATCTATTTGAGTATTACCGTTGTCTAATGCAAGCAGCTTTGGTCATTTGTTGATTCACTGACGCCTTAGCGGCCACTAATCCTCCTGGGATCCACACAAGACTGCTCGGCTACTGAACCTCAGAGAGACGCTACTTACAGTTATTTCACCGTAAAAGCAGCCCGAGGCTGATTTGTAATGAACCCTCACAAAAAGATGGAGTTTATTGCCCGCCGGGTGACCCCTCTGGAGGAGTAAAAGCACGAACCAATGTATCACCGTCCGCAGGACCAACATATCTGCCGAGCCGTAGCCGCGGCGCCGTCGGATGTCGGCTGCTGGTTGGGTCTCAACGTCTTCATTCATCAAAAATGCGCAGGTCGCCGGTACAACACTTTAAGTGCGCACAATGTGCATCGTGTTTCTGGCCACTGACCACCGTAGTCTGCATTACAACCAGGCCTCTCACGCAGGAGCAGAAAGAGCCCGTCGACATGGAAACTCAAGAGTTTACCTTTCCACGGCCTGTCAACACGGGCCCTACTGGCATGACGGGGTGGCGGATGTGTACTAGGATGCTCCCGGTACTGTCCAAACACTGAACAGCACGGGTTAAACAAAGACACTGTGTACTGATGGGATCTGCCGGATGAGGAAAACATCAGTGCAGAGCCATCGCGCTGCGGACACAAGCGGGGCTCGCTCCTCCCCTGTGAACGCCACAACAACCACACACACACACACACACACACACACACACACACACACACACACACACACACCGGAACAGCTTCTTTCCCCGGGCCGCCCCCCTGGTGAACACACCATGTCAGAAACAAATCTGTGTGCATATTTATTCAAGCATCCTTGCCCTTGTATCTCCATTTCATATGTTATTGGTCTACAGATTTATGTCTGTACGCATAATAGGTAAATGTTTATGCTGACCTTTGTTCTAGTTTGTTGCCCTTGTCAAACTCCCGTATACATGGCAGGAAAATTTCCGAAAGGATTTGTAGCCGCTATCATTTGTATATCAGAGTCAAAGACCACTAACTATCAAAAGGACCAAATAGGCCGGGCTGCTTTCATGGATTCTCTCTGACAACTGGTCCAACTGCGTATAGCCAGCAGGCTACAACAGGGGTAAAGAAACCAGCTATTGAGGGGACATCTCGGAAATACCCATTAGCTTCCCCTTTTCATCTTTGGAAAGTCTTGTGGGGAAAGTCAGTTGTCTGTAATCCAGCAATAAACATCCGATGCAATGAGGAAATCAGAGGCATTTCTCAAGAAACCCGCCGATCGACACAAATAACCTGTTACGAGCAGCATATGGAGCAGAAAATTAAACGTGGGCACCGTTGTAATATTATTTCACTTAGAATAACCAGAAGAAAAACAGTGTGTGAACAGTCTGTGAAGCCTCCAATATGTGTTCTAAGAGGAATTTACCTCAGACACTTTTACACGAGCAGCAAATGACGTCATCGCTTTAAAAGTGTCCGCAGCTCCTTGTCGTGCGCCACCCAATTTTTGTAACCCATGCCACTGAGTACAGCTAAGTATAAACCAGGTTGAAATGAACATTTCCTGCTTCACACTTCTCAAAAACCCCTGACTGATCAAATCTGAAATAGGATCGACCGCGCGGGTGGAAGGGCACCAAGTTCTCATGATACCGACGACGCGCTGTATCGAAAAGTCACCTGGTGGCAGAAATCTGAGATTAGCTCGACCACCTGGAGCAAGGAATGAACATTACACGGACGCTCCTTTCAATAGGAGCTTGAATAAGAATACTTGACCGCCACACATTTAAGCAGGGATGCTCAGCGGGCGACAGGGGGGGGGCGGCGGCTTTGACTGAACGAAGGCGAGGCTGCAGGACGGGATTACACAGTCAGAAACCAGAGAAGAACAATACCAACCGACAGCCGGTATGAAAAACAGTGAATGCGTACGGGTTGCCCGGCTGCATCATGATGTTGACTAAACTCATTTGAGATACCAGGCTGCACCGACGCAGCAGGCCAGAGAAAAAGAGCCACAGGAGAAGTAGCCATGTGAAGACGTACAGACAGCTCACAATGCAGATAGCATCTAGACAGCCGGCAGGATTTTGTTTCCACAACATTTAACTCTCCCCAAAATAGACTTTGCTCTAATGTTTCATTACGAGTGTCACTTGAGGATTGAGATTTATTTTTTTCCTGCTTGCATCAAGATGCAAGATGTTCAGAACAATAAACCTAACGTGTTGCACAATGTAACAACTCTTTTTCTCATTGATGAATTAGCCAATTACTTTCTACATTCATCGTAATTTGGTCAATAAAATGACAAAATAATCAAATCGACATATATTTGTCAAAGAATAATCCAAACAACAAAGATATTACTTTTCTTTACGAAGTGGATTAATTAACCATCAGAGGAGATTAATATCTCACTTCCTATCTGCTTCTAGTACCACTCAAAAGGCTTTCTTTTCGTTCAATTCAATGAAAACCAGTTTGTGTCCGGACTTGTACACGGGTACTGTGCCGCCCACATTACGCTGAGAAAAGAGACATTTGCAGGGCTGAAAATGAAATGTCACTCTTGTTAGAGAAATGCCAATCTCCGGTTTTATTACTTTGTCACTTCAAGTAGTGACTGAGAGGCTCGCAGGCTCTGCTGGAGCCCTCGACCCTCATTTTCTAGAAGCTTAAGTTGAATAATTGATGGCTGAACAGATATTATAAAGTGTGTGTGGGGGGCGGGGGGCGGGGGCGGGGCTTTCTCTCTTTGAATAGCCGCAGTGTAACCAATGACCTTAATAACCAATTACCTTCACCTTCATGAGGCACGCATTAGTTATTAAACACTATTTATAGCAGAAGAAGAATGAGTGGTTCGTTTTAAATACAAGAAAAACCTGCACAGCACCATTTGCCCGTTGCCCACCCCCCCACACTCCCCCTCCTCTCCCCCGGACGTTTTTCTAATCATTCCATCTACCACGTATGAAACGCTGCAAACAAAGAGGGCAAAGGTGAAAACAGCGAGTCGCTGCTGAAGCTGAGCAAGGGGGCCGGGGGGGGGGGGGGGGGGGGCCGCAGACATGCCAGGCTGTCAACGCCCCGACACCCTGGACCGAATCATTCTACGCAGGACGCTTCTCACAAATATTAAGCGAGCAGCCGGCAGTAGGAGATGTCGCCGTGGGGCAGGTGTTGGGGGGCCTTGTAGCAGGCAGTGGAAGCGATCCTATGAAGTGAACACTTCCCAGGCACCGAGGGCACTACGAGGCGCCTGAACGCATCGCTGCGAGGATTAGCGCGCGTCTCTTCCACGCTCTCAAGGGAGGCGCTCCGGATCCCTCGACGTCAAACGCCCTGTGAAGTGTTTATGTCTTCTACAGAGAGAGAGAGAGAGTGACTCTACTGTGTGCAAGGAACGATGCATCCAGAGGAGGTTTTCCCAATCAAGTCATGTGACACAGCGTCAACTCTCTGCACGCAGCCAGCAGAGCAAAGTGATCAAATATTCAACTTACCTTTTGCACGCTTTTATCCAAAGCGACTTAAGTGCATTCAAGCAAGAGGGAACAGGCCCAGAATTACCGTAAGTGCTAATACAGTGCTACCTAGTCCAGGTGCAGTCAGCTGAGGTGTGTTTTTAGTTAACTGGAAAACCTGAAACCCAGATCAGAGGCGACCGCGGCCGAGGGCAACGGTCTGGAACACATTAAAGAACATGAAAGATTGTCAGTGGAACATCAGCTTCACACCGTCTGCCCCGTTACCTGGGCACTCAGCATGCATCAGAGTCGCACTTTGGCAAGGCCCAACGTTTCCACATTAGGTGAGGAATTCTGAGAGTTGATGCATGCTGAAGCCCGGCGTGGCGGGTCGATGGGAAATCAGGCTCCAGGATCCAGAAGAGTCCGTAATCCCGCAATGAGGTGTCAAAAATGAGGCTGTTTGTTGATAGATGAACTGCTAAACGGCACATTCAATTCCAATCACCACGGTGTTCATTAACATTTCAAATGGACGTCAGCACCGAGCAAAAAGCTCAAAAGAAGACGAGCCCATGAGCAGACAGCAGTAAAAACACAAAAAAATGAATCATGTTGCTCCAGAACCACTTCCTTTACGGGGCACCTGATTCACAAACGCCTCGGCCACAATAACGCTGGCCTGGCTGTGGGTAAGCAAATAACGCCGAGCTTGCAAAAAGACAAACAAATCTAGAGGGCTCAGAAGCGCTTCGTGTGGCAGACATTCCAACAGTCAGCAGCTATAGGCCAGACTTATCTCAGGAAGGAGCGAAGCAGCCACATGCCTACGCGTAACACCCTGTACGTGTCTCTCAACCACACACACACACACACACACACACACGGACGTGCGAGGTCAGCGCCTCATTACACCTGAATGGGTCACGTGTCAATCTTGCATTTACCTTGGCACTGGAATCCTTGTTTCCCAAACCCCCTGTGGAAAGAGAGAAGACCGAATTAAATGGTTGTTTTGTCTTGTTCTCGCTCACATACACAGGAAAAAAAACACTCAGTGATTCATTCATACCACATACTGAGGAGGGGGGGGGTCATAATGTGCTTCTACCAATGAACATTTTTCGTGGCATTTCCTGTCACCTTTGCAATAAAATGTATGTTTCAAAAACCATTTTCGTCTCAACGATAATTTGCCGCCAAACTTATGCTCCCCGGTGGCGTGTGGAGCGTTTGTTGTCGCGTCAGGGTTGCAGGTCGAGCTGTAAAACAACCAACGGGCCCGACATTAAAGGCCTGCGCGTAAACTGCCTGCTCTCCTGTTGCACTGAGTCACCAGTGGAAAGAACTGCAGCACGAAGGGAGACACCTTCAACTGAACACCACATGCGACATATGCCGAGCACTTCCCCTGGAGTGGAGTTCTTCTCCAAAGTGGCCCTCAGTGCCAGCAAACCTGGAGAATGTCTCCTTGAAGTCCAGCCAGAGAGCCAGCCACCCCCCCCAAAAAATAAAACAATAAAGGGGAAAGCATAGAGGATGGAAGGCTGCAACAGCACGACTGGGGGGGGGGGCAGGGTGGTGAAAGCTATTCGCCATCCGCAGACAGCCGGCAGAAACTTGGTGGAGGAAGACAACAACGAAAAAAAGGGTGCTTTGACATTTTGTCACGTAGTTTCCTCTGGAGACTGACGCATAGGAGCTGAAGCAGAGAGGCGCTCATTGTTGTTTGTGTTCATTCTTGGTGATCTCAATAAAAAGGGAGGGTCAGCGAAGGTCTGGGAGTCACTGGGGCCACTTAGTCTCACAGAGATGAAAAATGGCTGCTTAGAAGGCTGCTTTTAGGATTAGTATTCAAAAACGCTTGCTATGCCTTAAACTATTATTATCTACTACTACTACTATTATTATATACTATTTTGCCAGTGCAGCACTAATAACATAAACAGCAGAATAACTCCTCCCATATGGCGGTGCTTGCACACGATTCTCCTAAATCCTGCAGTAAAAGTCCACTAGAAGAACAAAAACCAGACGTCTGCGGGAAGAGAGGTGTGTGTGTTGCAGGATTAGGAAGGGGGGGAAGTCAGCGTGAAGTTGTGTCACATCGTCGCGCGTACTGGGCTGATGTTGCCGACGAGCAACAGGCGGCGCGGCGCGCTGGAGAGGCGGGAGGCGGAAGGCTTACCAGATGAAGTCGGTGCAGTGGCTGCAGAAAGTCGGCTGCTTGAAGAACCGCGCTGTGAATTTGTGGTTCTTCACTTCGTGGACGTTCTTTTGCCTCAGAGCACCTTTTCGAGCGAACCTGTTGGCCACGTCGGCGGTGGACGAATCGTTTGAATTAACATCAGCCATGTCCTCCCCTCGCGAACAGAGCGACGCTGCGGCTTCGGTCCAGCTGTGTGGAAGTGTGTGGTGGTGTGGTGGTGATGTTGTTGTTGTTGTTGTTGTTGTTGTTTTGTCCAGTCCGTCTAGAGACGCTGCCTTTGGTGTGGAGCCAGCAGAGTGCGGGGCGTCGCTGTTCACCGGAGACACTGTAGTTACTGTCTGAGGGCTTTCCCTGCTCGCAGTCTCCACTGACAGCGCAGCACGCTGCCAAGCTAGCCGCCGCGGACAAACGCTACATCCGGTACGGACCTTCAGAATAAGAGTGTTCTCTTGATTTTGTTTTATTTTTTTAATACATTTTCTACAACACCCCTGTTAAACAGTTAATCTCCAGTATGACGACAGTTGGCTGAAAAGGGACAGCCAAGTTGCCAGAAGCTATGATATTGGTACATAATATTCAGATTCCAGAAGCTTAATTCAGCTGTTGACACACATATTGATCAATACAAAAACATGTTTTTCCTAAATATTAGTCTTAATCAACATTAAATTCTTGCCTTTTTGGTCGGAAGTCTAATCCAGGAATCGAGCATAAAAGAGCAATAAACAATGAATGCTAAAATGCTTAAATATAAATATCTAATAGCTGTGTTCGAGTGTGCTCAGGGGTAGAGAGGGTGCCCCGGGAACCGCAAGGTTGCTCCCCCATGTCGAAGTGTCCCTGAGCAAGACACCTAACCCCAAATTGCTCCCGGGAAAAAAATGTTTAAAAAAAGCCATAAGTTAAAAATGCAATGTAAGTCACTTTGGATAAAAGCGTCAGCTAAATGACCTGTAATGTAATGTAATGCTTATTAGGCAACGTGACACAAAAGTACCTTAGAGCACAGAGCATTAAGTTAAAACAACGCACAACCTTTTCATTAGGTATCACAGGGCTTTGGGCTGCATTAATATCAGCCACCAGATAAACTGCTAATCCAGTGTATAAAATGTACAAACTGCCATCAAAACAGCTCTGAGTGTCCTCAATGAGGCTCTCTATCTTTGCAGCCTTTAATCTCACAAAGGGCGGCATGATGAATTTGCTGTTAAACAATACATGAAAGCTCCGGCCACCAACCTGAAACAGACACAAACCCTTTCTGCATATGAATTCTTTGACTATTAAAAAGGATTTAGATCGTATTCACAAGCTCAGCTCCTCGTGGAATTGCACTTTTACGTCATGAAGAGGAATCTCTCCATTGCCTGATTACTTCCATGAAGTCTCTATTGAAATTGAAATTAATTGATTGATTTTTCCCCAAATTAGCAGATTTCTTATGCCTAGTTCCAAGCCCACGGAGCAATACCTTTTTTTTTAACAATAAATACAAACACCACAGAGAGCAATTTTCGTTCTTTAAAACCTACTTTAAGTCATTTTATTTCTAAGACTGACTTCCTTCCCGTCTCCTGAGTAGGGCAATTCCTTTGTGTAACTTGACGCTACTCCTCACTGCTTCCTCCTTTCCAATCCGGTTGATATCAAGCAACAGAGCAGGGCCCGCTGTGGGAAAGGGCCCCTCGGCTCCCAGTAGGAATTTTGGATGGGGAGCGTCACCATGTGGAGACACGGCGTATTACATATGTATAACCGCTCTAGAGAAATTGGTATTATCAAGCTCCATTATTAAGCCTGTGTCGGTGTGATGGCTCTATAATGATTCAATTCAATTCATTTTATTTTATTTTATTTTGTATAGCTCGAAATCACGAATTTTCCTCAGAGGGCTTTACAGCCTGTACACATCCTCTGTCCCGAAACCCTCACATCGGCACAGGATAAAAAATTAAAATTAAAAACCCTTTGATAGGGAAAAAAGGGAAGAGACTTTAACAGCCGAGGAGACCTCCCTGACTGTCGGCTCTGGCTCCCATCCTACTTTTTAAAACGCTAGGATCAACAAGTAACCCAGCATCTATGGAGCGCAGCCTTCTAGTTGATATAGAACCCTCTTCCTGTTTAATAGATTGTGAAAATGTGGGATAATAGGAAGTTTACCACTGTAGAGCTATTGTGCAAGAGATTTTTACATCTAAGACTTTGCTTTCGCCAAAAATCAATTGTATCCTGCATCATTTGACATGGTCACAAACAACGCTGTGTAGAAAACCAGATGGTTTTAGTTTCCATTTAATCTCTAATAATAATAACAATATGCTTTATTGTGCAGATTCTTTGCTCACACTGCTTAAGGGGGACGGTGTTTGGGCTGGAATGCAGTTCTTGACCACTTGGAGGGATTTCTCACAGCTTTCGCACAGCTTCCCACCTCTTGAGCCTTGCTTTCTATCTCTAAAACTTTACCAATCCCTGTGGTTCACTGACCAGCAGAGCAGCAACCATCTCAATCCTTCTAATGCGAAAGACAAATATTAGAATATTTGACAAATATTAGACAAATTAGGCTCAAGTTCATTGAAAACATCCATCACTTCAGAGAAGAGCTTTTATCTGTCAGTGACATGATGTGCATTCAATTCAACTAATGAAGGGTGTCTTCCTCGTGGAACCAAAAGTAGTAGTATTCCTGTTCAAATCCTGCGACCTTGTTAGGTATTGCTTCATTTCAGCGGTTACGGTTCTCAAGGTCACAGTCTTTTTTTTAAGCGGACTACCTTCCCTTCTTAAACTTTCTTTAAACCTGTAACTCTGTAAATATCAATGAGTCCATTGTCTTTGCATTTTCTCCCACGTGAGTTATATATGAGTTAAAATATCATGCCGCTGGCTTTTTGGACCAAATCAAGGTTATTGACCACCGCTGGGCAAATATGCTGGAGTTAAGACCTTTGGGCTCAATCAATGGGAGGCCTCTGGCCTCTGATTGGAGAATGCAGCCTGCTATCAGGGGACCGTTTATTCAGCTGCACAGCTGGCCCCACAGAGGAGACTTCACTCCCGAGACGATGGCCCTGGCGTTGGCTCTGCTGGTGCTTTGCCAAGCGGCTTTACACACAACTGTAACATCCAAGAGCGGTAAATAGAACGGGATGATTGCGTTATTGGTCTTTGGGCACAAATTGACTCCTTTTCGTCATGTTGCAAGCATTCCTGTTTGACTTTTAATCACTAGTCCTCTATCTTTTTGAGTTTTCTTGTGTGTGGTATCTTTTGTACAAGATTGCATCAAAGGTATCAAAAGTGTGCAGAGTTTTGTTGAATGTGATTTCTGTTCCGGTATGTGGACGTCCTTTTGTCTCCGATGGCATCGAACAGTCGACCCTGAAACGCGTGTATGAGGTTGGAGAGGAGCTGACCCCCGCCTGTGAAAGGGGGTATTTGCCTTCGACAGCGACCCCTCGAAGGATGACCTGCACCGGAACAGGAGAATGGACACAGTCAGACCTGGCATGCTCCCGTGAGTTGGCCGGGGTGTTGGACGTGCACTGTTCTCCATCGTAACAATGCAGTGTTTGTCCCCATGTGTAGAGCGTTGCAGCAGTGCAATGCTAGAACAGCTGTAAATTGTTACAGTCCCTAAAGTAGAAGGTGTGAGGAAGGCGAGAAAAGAAGATTACTTTTCCGTTCGGTGATCGCAAACAATAAAAGAAATTCCAACGTGCATTCATTTCACTTTCACTTGATGTCGAGCTACATATCTCCTCCAACGACGACCGTGACACATGACCGCTCCAAACGCAAAAAACTACATTTTTGAAGGATAGTCGATTTTATTTTCTCAGTTTTTCAGAATATAAAAAACATATAATAAGGGTTTTTGGCAGTTTTTTCAAAGTACAGGGATATCTCAGTAAAATATGGTCTGATTTAATCCCATTGTCTTACTTTAAAAAATATGCCATTGACTCATGTGTTGGTTGCTTTGATGATGTGTTCATTTACAATCATATTAAACGATCTCTTCTGCAGCCAAGATGTGCCCAATCCCTCGACCTCTGCAGCCATTAGCAAAGGGGAGGACGGAAGCTCCATTCAAGAGTGTGCTTAACTACACATGTGATGCCGGGTGAGAGGGCCCTTTGCGATTCATAAAAAGATCTTCTCACAGTGTGTTTACAGTGTCATATATGAGAATGAACTTTGGCAGGTACGTCATGCTAGGCGCCAATGAGAGCAGGTGTCTACATGATGCAACATGGAGCAATCCACCGCCTCTCTGCAAAGGTACAGCAGTGGAGATGGTTGCAAACATACAAAGTATTTTCTTTAATCTTAATCTTAAAGAACCCGGACTACTGTTTGTTTATTTATGTACTTGTTTATTTACTGAGTGAGAATATTTTGACAACACAGCTACCGTCTTCATTTTTGACAGTGAGCAGAGCATGAATGTCGTGTATTGCACCTGAAAAGGCTCACAAAGGGGAAAATCAGCGGCGTTCTACCGCGATCGCTTTTCTCCTTACAGCCGTGAACTGTCCGCTGCCCAAGCCACCCAGAGATGGAAGGATCGCCTATGACAAGCCATTTACTGGCAGCACCACCGTGTACGGGCAAGGCTGGACCTACGAGTGTAACCCGCGCATGGCTCCAAGTTTCGAGAGGGGATCCTGCATGGCAGATGGAAGTACAACAGAGCCGCCGGTGTGCCGAGGTACTGCAGACGTGAAACTCTTCTCTATGGGGTTTTTTTGACCGTACTTTTTAACCAGCGAATGACGCCTCCTCCTCCACCTTTCTGGTGGCCCCAGAGGTGAGCTGCGCCGCCCCAACGGGCATCCCAAACGGCTTCGTCACCTTTGCTGTGATTAGACGACACGGCTACAAGGAGACGGTCAAGTACGCCTGCAATGACCATTACACAATGGATGGAGAGGTTGAGATACGGTGCCAAAACACAGGAAACTGGTCTGCCAAGCCAGTTTGCAGGGGTGAGTCATCTGGAAATCAGACCTTGGAAAGTACTTTCATGTATTTAGGATTATCAATCACTAGCCGGATAGTAAACCACAATAATTCATGCACAGGCTGAAAGTCTCAAACCTCTGGGTTCCTTAAAGTTAGCTTTTCCCATCCAGCTCCCTGCGCAGTTGGCATCAAAAGAGGCCGTATCTTCTACAATGCCAAGAAGCTCTGGATTGCGGACCTGAAACCCAACCGAGTCCTCCATGGAGAACACGTTGGCTTCTATTGTCTGAACAGAGAAGAGAGGTGCGGCTACACTGCTGTCAGCACCTGTAACGATGGGACGCTTCCCATCCCGGAGTGCTTTGAGGGTGAGACCTCGACTGCTTCATTGGATTTGAAACGCTCTAGTTCCACCCGTTGAGGTTTGGAAGCTGATTAGAAATAATGATGCATTCAAAGGGTTTTACATTTAAGCCCCATGAACACAGCAGACACAAAACCTTTAACCAACTGGTTTGTAATGCTAGATTAAACTGTGATGTTTAATAATCAGGTGTATATATACTGTACTAAATACACTGTTCAACAGCAAGGAATACAGTATTCACTCTGAACTGGTTACATGTATTTGGTGATGCCCATGATTTCTCTTTCTTTTTCTCGCATGTAGAGCCGGGCAAGGTGGAGTACACCTTAAGAGCCAAATCTCTTCCATCAGAAATCACAATGTGTGCTGCCTCCCCATCTGCAAGACCTGCATAACTCTAAACAGGATGACCTGAAACTACATATGCACTAAGGGAATATGAATGACTGGACCAATACTATGACATGCGACATGAGACATGCGTCACCTTTTTTCCAGTTATTGGTAATAAAATAATGAAAAGACGTGTCTGAGTTCCATCCACTGGTGCATAGCAGTAGATACTGCAACATGCAGTACTGTGGTTACAAAAAAGAAAATAGAAGATATAACCTCTGTGCATCCAAGAGTCTACATCATTTACAGGGAGGTTTGATACAAACTCACATCTTGTTAATATATGGATCTAATGTGAATCTGATCCCCCTCACAAGCTGGAACAGACCCTAACCACTAACAGGGGATATCAAAGTATGAGCAACCCACAGAGGGGCTTGTTATAACTGATGAAGTGAAGATAGTGGCACAAAATAACACAAAGGCTGAAGCCATGAAAACTTGTGTGTGATTTTAACTTCTCACCTTTTGACAAATAAAGCTTGTGTGCATGCGTGTTCATAGCGCGAGGCTTTGTACATTTCAGCTGGATCTTATTTCCTTCTCCAATGTTAAACCAAAGACTCCTGTAACTCTATGTTTGTGCTGCATTGTCAATTGCCTTTGATGCCAAAGGCGTTTTAGTTTTGAGCATCAAGCACGTCCTGAGCATCAATGGTGGAGTTTGAAAGGGACATTTCTCACACCCTTATTACCACGAATCAGATTATAATATTTTTATGCATCTCTGCTCGGTAATAGGATTTGCGCAACAGCTAAATGAGTTTGATAATATGTCCTCTGCTGGAGCATTTCACGTCCAAAAATCTGTTTTGGTAAAAAAAAAAAAAAAAAAAGACAAAACAAGGATTCCAGTGAGCAGTTACTTAACGTCGCTCTTATCTGTTTACTTTGAGAGCAGCGCAAACAGCAGTGACCGTGGGGACAGAGACTCACAGTGTTTGGAGCAGAGACCACAGTAAAGAACAGAGGAGCGTCCGTACATTTCTTCAAAGGATGGAACGCCCGCTGGCGCTGATTCTTCTGTTTCCATTCCTATATTTCCCCACCGCTGCATCAGACAATGGTATTAGTTTTTGTTTCTTACTTTCTTAAACATCACGCGGCTCAAACTGCATGCATTCACACGTTACTTTGCTATTCGCACGCGTTTAGCCTTAGGTGATGTGAAACGGATTTAAAATCATTTGCTTAGTAATGAACATGTTGAGTTTTGGAGACATACAATTATGTCATTTGATCTGTTGTTTGCGATGGTTTCTTCAAAATGTTGTAACGGTGACAGATTTTTATGTTTTTTTGTTATAAAACACTTGCACAGAACTTTTTTTTTAATGTAAGTTTCTGCTCTGGGGTGGCGTGGTGGTTAGCACTGGCGCCTCACAGCAAGAAGGTCCTGGGTTCAACTCCGCCCAGTGGCCTTTCTGTGTGGAGTCTGCGTGGGTTCTCTCCGGGTTCTCCGGCTTCCTCCCACAGTCCAAAGACATGCTCTGGGGATCAGGTTAATTGGGGACTTTAAATTGCCTGTAGGTGTGTGGATGTGAGTGTGAATGGTTGTGTGTCTCTGTGTAGCCCTGCGATTGGCTGGCGACCAATCCAGGATGTACCCTGTCTATTGCCCGAAGTTGGCTGGGATGGACTCCAGCCCCCCCGCGACCCTGTGTGCAGGATAAGCGGTTTGATGACGATGGATGGATGGAAGTTTCTGTCGCCAGTGTTGCCAGTCGTGCTGTGTGTTTGAATAGTTGACATAAATGTGTTGTAGACTAAGTAAAGCCCACAAGCGAGTTACACTATCAGAATAAGTACGTATATCTTGCTCTTGCTTCAATGTTCATATCTTGCTGTGAACAGAAAACCACATTATAATTATACAACAAAACTGTTGAATTTATAACTAAACACACACACACACACACACACACATTCCTTCCATTGTATGCTCAGCGCATGAGACACACACGTGGCTTCAAAGATCCGCCTGAATACTGAATGAATACCTGAGGTGTTGATGTTCATCAGCTTGCCGTGTTTTGAATTTGGATCATTTTATTCTTTTGGAATGTTCTTCTGTACGTGATCATTAAATCCACTTGTGTTTGCAGTGTGTCTCAGGCCTGAGCTGGCTGACAACATTGAGAAGGATGGACTCCAAAGGTACTTCAGCCCCGGTGTGGAGTTAACGCTGTCCTGTAAACAGGGATACAGCCCGGAGCTTGGCCCTCGGAAGATTGTCTGCGGTATCAGTGGAGAATGGACGAAAACCAGATTAATGTGCTCACGTAGGTCCCCATTATTCTAATGGGAACTTTGGGTCAAATGTATGCACTTCAATGCAATTTTACTAGGATCATATCAGATTTAGCATTGAAAAAAGTCAGTGCTCTGGTACATTTCTGGGAGAATTTGATTAAGCATTTGAACAATTTTACATAATGTCCTGTAATATTAGTTGAACTTGTGTTTCTATGTTTGCAGAATAACTGAATGGCATTACTTCCTTTTAAGCAGGTTGTTTGTACTCTTTTCCTTCCTGCAGCCAAACGCTGTCCCTATCCTGACTCTCTGTCTAATGGAGAATCGTACTACGAGGATATTATGTTCCAGAGTACCATTAACTATACGTGTAACGAAGGGTAAAACAAAAACCTGCTGTGTAATTTCCTCGTGTGCTCCCTCAGCCACCTTGCTCCCCTCAATACACTTGTGGTATTTTAGAAAATGCAAATTGCGGCCACGTGCCAAGTAGAGATTTTCTGGCATTTAAAGTGCAAGCATGTTATTATATATATATTCTGCTTACCAACATATGCAAGTCTACATAGTAAAGCGCTTGGTCAGTCTGCACACTGTGAGGCACCATTCAGATTTATTTGAAAGGGAATAAGAAGAATAAACTATTTAGCCGAACATTGTGTAGACCTCTTTTGTGTTCTGAGGCTTACACATCAACATCATCATCATGTGCTTTTGAGTTCAGAGTTTTGATCATTTTGAGCATCAGCACACACAACAAACAGAGTTACATACACAGCGGGTCCTTTGTGAGAAACCGGCCACCATGTCGCCCAGAACCAGAGCCTGGTTCAGAGTTCAATCATTCCCTTTGGCTGCTAGATGTCCCTGAATCCTACACACACAAGACAAGCATCATGTGTTTTTTGTTTCCGTTTGAAGTATGAACTGACTGAATGGTCTGACTGCTCTGCACAGGTACACCTTGACTGGAAACCGTTCTGCAACGTGTCTTTCCAACGGAGAATGGAGCACACCAGTGCCACAGTGCAAGCGTATGTAAACCAGAGCTTCCTTGTGCGAGGCTAGGAAAATAAATTAGAATAAGAATAAGAACTGATTTTTGTGACCTTGCAAGGCAGACAATGGAATAATTCTCTTCCCATAAATCAGTGAAAAACAGGTTTTGACTTGGTATCTCTAAGGTATCCATCAATATGCCCTGCTTTAAATGCAAACAGATACAATGATATATGTATATATTCCTGCATAACAAACACAACGCAAGCAGGCATTACACATATGAATTGAACATTTTCTGTCTCTTCTCCTGTAGCTGTGACTTGTGGTCTCGCACCGATCCCACAGTTTGGGAAGATCATTTATGACAAGAGGATCAGAGGGAACACCACTTATTACGGCTTGAAAGGGACGTACACGTGTCTGCCGCCGTACGTGCTGTTTGGCAGCGCGAGAGGAGAGTGCACTGTCAGCGGCGAATGGACCAAAGCACCTGAATGCCGAGGTACAGATGTTTAAGAGCAACAGCTGCTGTGATAAGAAGTATTTGCTGATTTAACGGAAAACGTGTTTTGAACCAATTGTCCCACTTCAACAAGCATGGTGATGCTGAGAGACGTTGAGCAGAAAATACACACTATTAACAAGTTAGATGCAATAGCACCACCATCTGGTGTTCACCATCCCCAGGGGAAATGCTTAATACACACCGGGAGGATTAGCAGACAACTGGTAAAAAATATGAAACATACAGTAGCAAACACACCTTCTCGTATCCCCGTTGCAGTGGTGACCTGCCCTGCACCCGAGAACATTGACATGGGCTTTCTGTCAAGCAACGAAGAGAGAGACTACGACTACAAGGAAACGGTCAGATATGGCTGCAATGAAGACTACGTACTCGATGGAAACTTCCAGATTGTTTGTAATCAAGATGGAAATTGGTCTAAAAAGCCATCCTGCAAAGGTAGGGCTGCAACCGATAACACCGTTACTGTGCGATACAAATTCTGGGTATGGCCGAAGTTCTTGGGTGATATCGATAGGTGAAGAACTGATGACCTGCTTGTTGCTGAATTTGGATTTATGTTTTTGCCAACTGTGACCGGGGCTTATTTGTTGTCAATGATTCCATTGTCTTGTCACTTACAGCTCCTTGCCGTGTCGGTTTAGAGAGAGCAAGGATATTATACAAAGAAAAGAAAATCTGGATTGAAGACCTAAATCCTAACCGAGTTTTACACAATGAGATTATCTCATTCTACTGTATGGACATGGACAGGCAATGTGGTTATGCAGTGTCAACCCAGTGCATCGAAGGAAAACTCAAAATCCCTGAATGCTTTGAGCGTAAGAAATTTGTCACGACATATCACTCAATAGCCACATTTAGCGTATTTTGTATTTCTTAACATTCTGATTAATATGGATATTTTCCTCTATTATGGCAAGTGTATTCTAAACTGTTCTGTGTGTGTGTGTGTGTGTGTCTGTGTGTGTTTTCTAGAGCCCAGCGCCATTCATTATAAACTACAATCAAGTTCACTTCCATCAGAAATGAAACAGTGCTGAAACAGTGCGAGCTCCCATCTCATCTCTGATTATTATTAAACTACTTCCATTTCGTTATTCTTGTGTTTTTGTGCAGCCTGTTCAGGCTTTAAATAAAAAGCCACAAACAGATTTGCAGGCCTCTGAATGTGAGAAAACACAGCTTTTTATCCTTCAGTATTCAGAATTGTTAAATTGTTATTCCCCTTTATCTTGCCTGGAGGCTGTCTCACCCAAGTATATCACATCATACCTAAAACTCTTACCAACACGTACCTCACATTTGCTTAATTGTTTTAGTACAGTGGTGGCAGCAAGCACTATATTGTAAGATACTCTCAAAGGTTCCTTCACAACAAGTCTCTGGTCAAGATGATTTTCTACCTGCCATTGTAAACTCACTTTGAATTAACATTTTCTGTAATTAAAAAGAAATAATTTGACTATACAAGGAATGAAATCAAAGTGCATTAAATGAGACAATGGGACAATGCATAGTACGGTTCTTGTACTTCATTAGTGGATAATGATATATGTTTCAGGCTTTAACTTTAACTTTAAAAAGCATAACTAACTGTTTCTATGTGCAAACTAAATGACCATAATACGGCTCTGTTCAATGTGAGCTAACTTGCTTATAAATGCATAATAAAGGATGTGTTTGTCTCAACAAAGCAATGACAAAAAGTTAAACAACTATATATTGGGTAGGTTATATAACAATATTGAGCCTTACACAACGTAGCCCACGATTGATGCACAGCTAGCGTTGTCCATTCATCTCATACCGAGGCAATGCTGCATGGCCATGTGTGCCAACCCCACGGTTTAATTGATTAATAGCACACACAAGCAAAATAAGTAGTTTTCTCTTATGAGAAATACATCTAGTAATAGCAATACATCGTCCATATTCATGTAATTAATACCTATTGGTTAAACCAACAAATTAGTTCATAAGGTTTTTAAACATTACTGTCGTATAAATCACAGTTTCTGTCCTGTAGTTTTCGCTCCACGCCGTGCGCGCTCCCGCGACGTGCGGGTACCACGGCGGGCATACGCAACTCGACAGAACACCGCTGGCCGCTGAAAAAAACATTCGTGAGTTCTCGCGAGATCCGACGAGTTGTCCGCTCTCTTCTCGTCCAGCATGGCCGCGCTCTATGCGGGATACACGTTGCGCGGACTTGCCCCAGCTCAAAATCGCCCAAATTCAGGTATTCAGGGCGTCGAAGCGGAGAGAGATAGCGACCATGTCGTTGTCACCGACTCAACCAGATGCGTCACGCTGTACAAGGTAACGTGAAACATTTGTTTGGAGGGGGCTCCCCTAACCAGCTGATACGCGCGACCTGTTCAACTCGTGTTGGCATCCTCGTCTGCTCACGGGCAGTGCGGCGGAAACTAACAAAACAGAAAACACACGTTTCTCTAGTTAACCGTGATAGTACTGACTCCTTCTTGAATGCGCCTGTGTGTGCTGGGCTGTTGTAAACAGCACGGCGGCGTCCTTAAACAGGCGAATTAGTTAGCTAGCGGGTCGCTGTGTCCCACGAGACGCACACCGCTCGCTGCTTACGTCACTACGCTCAGAGCGTGTGTTTATCTAACGCGCTGCTCCTCACGAAAAGACCCATTTACCTGTTGCCTCTTTTTCCTCCTCATTAATGCATCTGTTGTGTGTCCGTGATTGTGCCAGGTTTCAGACCAGAAGCCACTGAGCTGCTGGACGGTGAAACAAGGACACACACTGACCGGTGCAGCAGTGTACAACGCACGGACGCAGGAATACGTGGCGGTGTCGGACAGAAAGGTAGACTTTCATTCATTCTTGTTGTGGCAACGCGTTGTTGTTGTTGTTGTTGTTTGCGTTGAGCAGCTTCTGTACAGGAACACCGCTCACTCACTATGTTGATTGAAATTGGGGTAAATGAATCAATTCTAAGGCAGTTTCTTTATTGTAGTATAAGATAACAGGTAATGAAACGTTTCTTTTTCATCTCATGCCAATTTTTCTGTTGACAATGTCCACATGATTAGTTATTCACTACAGTGTGTCCTAAATTAAAGGTTTTATCTTACTAATTGATGTGGTCCTGGATTAATAAACCAAATTGTTATTCACCTTGTCATTTGTTTGGGCTCTAGGTGTTGCTGTCCTCTGCCTGACACGGTCGCAAAATAATGTCCCTTTATTTTTTATTAAGGTGATCAGAATTTGGAAGGAAGACGACATCATCTTGGATAAGGCCTTCAAAGCAACCGTACGTAAACTAGTTTGTACAACGTGTTGTTTGAACGCAGCAGAAGTGATCCAAGGTTAAAGGCACGTTGTCGTACGGAGGGGTGACTAGTGATGAATTGTACAATTGTGGGATGATGACTTGTTGGTGGCCGCCTGGATCAGCTCCATTTGGACATTGTTCTTCAGCGAGGTCGCTGCAATTACAACCTGAGCCACATCGGTCCAATCTGGGTCCTCATTCCCTCTCCTGTCTATAAATTCTCCCCAGGTGTCATCAGATGTCTGGAGGGTCCACTGTGTGGCCGGAGGGGACCCTGTGGTCCTGTTCCACAGAGGAGCTGTGAGGCTCCTGGACTCCTTACTTTCTGCTCCCCAGCAGCCCATCGAGGAAGTCCTGTCACCAGAAGAGGCCATTAGGTCCGTATCCCGTTGCCTTAAGCGCCTGTAAAGCCTTTCGGGTTATGGTCTGGATTCATAGTGATTGCATTTCAACAATATGTATTGGCGGTTAAGTCGTTCTGTGCTGCAGCTTCACTTGTAGAGTGTCAATGATTGTTCCTTTTTTTTCTTTAGTTGGAGCACCAACATAGTAACCGAGTCCCAGCAGTTTGTCATCTTCACAACCGAACAGGTAACATCATTTTAATTGTTCATTGTTAGAATTGTTCATTTTTTGGCAACTGTTATACTTGGCTGTAAAAAAAATCAGGTTAAATTGCAGGGTGCACTCCTGTGCCTGTGTGGAAATCCATATGAATGCCATGTATTTCATTTTTTATACCAATAACTCATTTATTTTTTTCTAGTTATTTGTTGACTCTTTGTTATTGGTATGTATAAAGACCTGTTTGCTTGGTTGTCAATCGTCTACTGCAGAAAGGAGATCACTTCCTGTACCTGCAAAGACTGAATCCCAACAGCCTTCAGAGGTACCATCTGGAGCGGGAGGAGCCCGGTCTTTCCCCACTCAGCTTCTCTGTCTCCTACAGGGATAAACACATCCGCCTGCTTTATCTCTGTAAGTCTTGAGTTTCCTGTGACAATATTTTTAGCGTCAGTGTTTGACTGCGCAGGCTAATTTCACTGACTTCCTTTTCTTTGCACCGCTCATTGTTTACAGTTGGAATAGCAAGTTGAGATGCGAGAATGGTGTCGAGAGATGCTGTGTACGACAGGATTGTCTCACAAGTAGCCAGTTGAAAATGTCAAGCCAATAAAGAGCTTATTGTCAGGCGATAGCCGAAACGCTTCCAACGCCAAACGTCTACTTTTTTTAACTTTGCACATTAATTTCTAGGTTTATTTGAAGTTACATGTTGTGGTGCGCAAACACCGGCTGTTACATGCATCACATGTGCAATAGGTGTTGTTAGTTTAACAATTTTGTGTTGTTGTTTTTTTCCTGCCCCATTGTTCTCCTTCCATCCAGACCCCAACGGTCATGTATACGAGAGTGTGGTCTCCGTGCGGGCCCCGGTGCCTGAGGAGGGGGCCCAGGCCCTCCCGCTGCCTCGCAGCCTGCTGCTGAGCCTTCCCGTCGGTGAGGGCCTCCTGCAGGCTGCGTCGGCTCAGGAGTTGGATGAAGCCCATGTAGCGGTTGTGGGGGTTCCGCACCCGTCGGCCGGGTCTGGCAAAGGTAAGTGCGTTTTTAATCACGTGGCCTCAAATGAAGAGTGCAAACCAGCTAGATGTATGAGCATCTAGCTGGTTTGCAAAGTGATAGCAGATGGTTATTTGCTCATGCAGACATTAAACGATGACAATAATTCTCGCCAGTCTTCCTCTGCACTGACTCCAGTATCTGACAAGCGTGTGAAACTTGAGCGGCTCTCTGTCTTTGACTTTTCAGACTTCCTGTGTATCTGGAATACCAATTTCCAAACCCTTCAGGCAGGAAAAGAGATGGCGGGTAAAATCTACGGCCAGGTAGGTCGAGCTTCCCTCGCTGTCCTTATTACTGGAGGCCAAGGTTCCCTGTCCTTCCAGCTGCTGGGTGCTGATGGAGGACTGTATGACTTTGGTAGAGCGTTGTCTGCTCTCCACCGTGAATGGTCTCACTGCCCCTCCTCACAACTTTATAGCAGCCCACATTCTTAATCTTGACTCGTTGTGCAAGTCCATACTATCACTGATAACCTGTGTTAACTTTAACTTGTGTTTGTATCCCCTCTCTTTTTATCTTTCGTCTAGTTGTGGAGTTTTTGGAACAAGTTATTCATTCCACATGGAAAAACCTTCTCTGTGATTCCATACGATTGCCCCAAATCTTCGCTGGCCTCGGCACTGGGAAAACAGAGGCAGGTCAAGAAAGACGGTGAGCTAAAACAATTATGCACTAATACAAAAACCTTTTTTAGGCTAAAATAGATAATATTGCAACATTGTGTTCTCAATGAAGCTGTGACATTAATTAGTTTTTCACTCAGTGCACTGTTCTTTTCTCACTGCAACAGAGTCCAAAGCTCCCACTTCGGTACCATCCTGGAATACCCTCCTGCACGAGGAGAAAGCTCACCCCTCGAGAACCGCGGAGACCAGGAAGACGGTTTGTTGACGTCACATTACAGACTAGACGACCGCTGCCTAAACTGCTGCTGCATTCATCCCACACTCTGTAACCCCGAATTTGAGTGTTTCTCAATACCAAGAGCTAGCTAACCCTGAATGACTAATAACATTTTTTGCTGAACGTGACATTGTTTGGTAATGGCTCAGTAATTGTCCTGTGGTATCCTCCGTGGCCTCTTTCCATACAGAGAACAAACCGTAAAAGCCAATCTGCACAGAGTTTAACAAATGACCAAGTCTTGGAGTTAATCAAGGTGAGAATACAATTCATTCTTGGCTCTCTGGCAAAACACTTTATAATAAAAATGTTGAATAAATCAGTTTTTAATCTACTCATGCAGACCGCGCCAGTAGAAGAGGTCCAGAGAGAGGTGCAGCTCCTCCTGTCACGGACCGACACCCAGGACCTGCAGACATCTGTCGGGCAGCTGGCATCGACCCTGGCGTCCCGCAGCCTGAACGATCCAGCCTTCTACACCCCCAGCAGCCTGGTGCAGCTGGTGCACACTCGGTACCTCTGCCACAGGTCAGTAAGCAAAGGCAATGAAATTGGGGCGATGGCACTCTTTTAACTTGTGTGTGTGTGTGGCAGTTTCCCCTTGATGAGTGTTATTTCTGTTGATTGGAAAAATGTGCCATCATAACATTCAACAGTGTGTGTCCTGACCTTGTGCTCCTGGCCCTGGAGAGGAAGGACTACTTCCTGTGTCAGCTCTGCTTGCAGTTCTTCCCTGACATTCCTGAAGTTGTCACCTGTGCTTGCCTTAAAGTCTTCATCAGGTAACTCATTGTTCCAAAGTGCACAACCTCGTACTGATCTGCCACAAGGTCCTTTATTAACTACTAAAGTAACATATTTTTGTTTATTAGCCTGACTGTGTATCAGACACAAAATTAACTGTGTTGTGTTTCAGCATGTCAGATGTTGATGCAGCGAAGGTGAACCTGGAGCCTGACAGTGTCTTCTTCATGGAAGCCCTGATTGCTCAAGAGCACGAGGCGGGGTTGAACGGTTTCAGCCTCGCCGACGAAGAGGACCGTTCAGACAACCTCGCCGAAGGTGGCGCCACAGCACAACGAGACAATGAGAAGGCCTCTGCAGCAGAACAGATGTGTCCAGTGGGATTACATAAAGCGGTTCTACTGTATCCTGCCAGTGCACGCCTTCTCAGATCCAATATTTGCACAATGCTGTCAAATGTTGTTTATTTATCATACAACAGCTGCGACTCAGCGCCCCCATCCACATGTTGTTTACCAGGAATAAGTTACATGTTACAGTTAAATGTCGTAAACACAGACCGTTTGTCCTCAAGGATTTATTTTTTGCTGTGTATGAGATCTTAACTCAGGCTTTATAGAAATGAGATCCTGCAGACGGCCTACTTTGACTCTTTCCTGCTTCCTCATCTAAAAGATCTCTCCTCCCAGGATGTTGTTGTGAGTAAACGGCATCTAACCCATTGCACATTTTTATAACACCAAGTGTGGATGCTTTCACAGAATGCATCTATAACGTTCAATGTTCTTTCTCGTCCAATCAGCTTTTCCTCCAGTACCTGCAGTTCGTTTACCTCAAATTTTCCCACGATGCTTGCAAACCGACGCAAGGATTGAGATCCCCGAGCCTGACTCAGGTCTGTGTCCCTGTCCCACTGTCTTCTGTCACAGCCGGACAGATTAAGTGATCAGTCTAGAGGCAGAAAAATGAATATTTCGCAGACTGGTGAAATCCAGTCACTCAGATCCAAATACTATGCAAGTCAGACTCACATTTTGAATATACTTTAATATGTAACAAACTGGAAATATGATTAAAAAAAAGCAACTATAGTTTTTTGTCAGAATTGTGAGGAGGTTGTAGACTAAAGGTGGAACGGTACAACGCAGACGTTCCCATCTGAAAGGAGTGAAATGACTGTGTGATTGCAGGTCATGGATTGGATGGGCTTGCTGTTGGACGCCCATTTCACAGTGCTGGTGATGACTCCGGATGTCAAGGACTTATTGCTGAACCTCCACAGATTTGTAAAGTCTCAGGTAACCAATAGTTTTCCTTGTTCTATGCGTTGCAGCTGGTTACATGTAAAATAGAACATGAACAGTTTAATGGAGCAGATACAATAACTACCAATAAACATTTTGTTGGAAATTCTCACAGGAATTTTGTCAACTTGGGCACAAACGTTAATCTGTACTCAAGGATCAACCAATTAGAATTTGGTGGTCGAAGACCAGGTTTATTTTATTTTTTTAAACTAAAGAACATATGTAGGAAGTGACAATTGTACACACATGTGGATAAAGTGATGAGGCGACACGGGGCCGCGATTCCTGTCAGTCATCTTTTATATATGACGGGGAACGGGTGTTTGGTTGAGCATGGCAACAACATACAGAGTATTACAAGAAAACTTTTCAGATGTAATGTTTTCTGGGAAAGACAATAACGAAGACGTCTTGTGTCCTCAGGTGAGATTCGTTTCTGAGCTTGGGAAGATCGAGGGAAGCCTCCAAGAGCTCGATAAGATGGCGTTGAAGAGGGACGTTGGACAATACTCCATTGAAATCATTGAGCTGTTTTAGAATGTGTAACCTTTTTAATAAATCGATGAGCATTTTTTGTCTTTCCAACCTAGCGTTGTAAACTTGTCCCAAATGGTAATATGTAAAAAGTACTTTTTGGAAATAAAGGCTAGTCATCAGACTTAAACGTATATAACTTTTGCTGTAGAATTGTTGGTGTAAGTTAGACATTGCATAAATAAATCGTCTGCTCAATGACAAACTTAATAATTGTCGTAATCATAGCATGACTCAATGAATGTCTTTGTCAGCTGTAACATTTGTAATGGGTTTTCCACAGGATCATTATCCTTAATACAAACCTAATAAGAGAACACGTTGATCCCTTCTGTGAGTTTTTTGACTAAATGTGCCTCAATCCTCGATCAAATACGTGTGAAGTAGCGTGGGATGCATTGACGTTGGAGGTGATCGCCATGGTTTTAGCATGGCTTTCACTTACTGGTGTTATTTTATAATGCAAACAGGGTATGTTATTGTACTTTTCTGTGGAAAAACACTCCTGTGACCGTGCCATACTGTGGAGATCGGGAAACATTTGTTTTTGCTGAGAGGCCTATAAGGAGCCATAAGAAAGGAAGTAAACTCACACGAGGCCCTACTGAAACACTAGTTCAAGAAAATAAAGAGGCATAAGGCTTCCAGTTGCTCTTACGATGCAGTGGCATTTCAACGTGGTGCAGCGGGCGCATTAACTGAAGCTCTGTTGTCTGTTATACGACTTACTCACCAAAAGGAAGTTCGTTGTCGGCAGGATTCGAACCTGCGCGGGGAGACCCCAATGGATTTCTAGTCCATCGCCTTAACCACTCGGCCACGACAACTGATGGCTAAGACAGTGAAATAGTACATCAATATAGTTGCAGGTACAGTCATATCTAAAACTAATATAGATATAAATATATTATCTACGTGGATTTATTGCATTTTTTTTGTTGAACTAGCTATGCACCCAAAGCCGGGGATTTCCTTCTGTGCAGTTACTTGTTGCAGTTGCCATATTGAAAAAGGAAATCTAATCGTAATGTTAATTTACCAAACGCATAAATTCAAACCAGAAGCTTTTGGCGAAAGTAAAGTTTGATGCAATTGCAGGCCTAACTATTTTTTGTTTGACCCAAACGTAACTGGCTAAATTACAACACTGTTATGATTATATCGGAGGTCTTCGCATCGCTCCAATAACATTTCAACACGTTTCAACATAATTTCTACGATATAACTTGAACAGAACTGGCTCGAATTAATGGAAATGAGCCAGATTCCAGGGTATTTCTTCGTCAGGTCATTTTTAAGTAATATGAAATGCATCTGTCTAAACAAATGTACAGCCCTTTTCCATATGGATGTCATTCTAAATTAGACGTGTCTGCCATTTACTTTTATGATGAATTTAGGTTCGTGTTATAAAGCTAAATGTCGGATATACTCTTCTCTTTCTCGCCTGACGACGATGTCGACATGGCCGATAACGAACGATGATGTTTCACTAAATACACTCGACCCACCTGTGATTAAAACCCGCCAAAACCCGCCAGTGCGAAACAAGTGGCTTAAAGCGTTCGCACGGTTTAACTCGTCTCGTGAACTAGCAGGGCGATGGCGTGTGGTGTGGAATAGTGAGTCACGTGACCTCGCGTACTCAGGCCCGCCAGTGTCAAGTTAAAAGGTAACAAACACGCGCTCCGATCTGTCACAACGAGCACGTTTAAAACGAACGCGTTTAACGCGCACATTTCGACAATGCAACGGCTGGATTGACAAAGAATGGCGGATGTGACCTGGTTTCACATTCGCGTTGCGCTCTGCGCGTCTGGCTTTCACGTGCCGATCCGCTCGCCGGGACTTTAGTTTGGTGGGGAAACACGCGCTACTTCCGGTACAAGCGGCGCTGTCCCCCGTTAGCTTGACGCAGCTCTGGGGCCTGCTGTGTTTTCAACGGAGGGAGAGCTGAGAAGAAAAATGGCGTCTGCGGGCGACCCAGAGCGGGACACCGGCCATTCAGTTTGAGCTTTCCGCCCTGAAATTGAGACCGGGGCTTGGCGAAGACTCGTCGGGAACCGTCTCCGGACCCGCTGGGCTCCTGCTCCCCCGCGTTTCTCTGGAGTGCGTGGCTTACCCGAGCTCCGAGATTGAAGCGGAACAGAAAAGACTCTCTCCCACAATGAGGGGGAGACGAGGAAGGCCGCCCAAACAAGCAGCCGCGATGCGGGAAGGATCGCCCGGGCCAGTCCGCGGCTCCAGGGGCAGCAGGAGTAGAGGGACGCGTGGGCGGGGAAGAGGCAGGGGACGCGGCCGGGGAAGGGGCGCAAGCGGCGGCGTTTGCGGCTCCGGCTCCGCGGAAGTGGATACAGAAATCTCCGGTCGAGAGAACTTTCATTCGACCCGGGGCCGCAGGAAAGTTGGAGCCTCAATCACCACCGCCGCCGCCGCCAACAGCACCACCACCACCACCGCGGCGGTGGCGGCGGCATCGCGGGGCAGAGGAGGCAGGTCGAGAGGCAGGGGGTCGAGAGGCAGCCGCGGCGGGAGAGGCGGCGTGAGGCGGCCTCAGACCAAAGTGGTCTACGACGACAACAGCGACGAGGAGGACGATAATTTAAGCTACAGGTCAGACGACGACGAACTAATGAACGACAACCCTTCGTCCGATCTCGAGGAGGAGGAGGCCCTGGGAAACGAATCGGACTATCTGGAGGAACTGGCGGATGATGATGATGCCAGCTACTGCACGGAGAGTAGTTTTAGGAGTCACAGCACGCTCGGTAGCACCCCAGGTACGTTTGTTTGCAGGTGCACGCACTCCGGCGCGGCCGCTTTGCAGCTTTGTCGTGTGCGTTTTATTTTTATTTTCGCTCAGTACAGAAACCAAGGCGCATTGTTCAAAATGGAGCTTGCAGTCAGAAACGGGCCTTTGTTTACCGTGTGCTCCGCTGGCCGCTGGTTTACGGATCGGCTCCACGCTTCAACCGGCTCTCGTGTTTTGGACTTTTTGTCGGATCAGCACCTTTTTGTTGTCAATTTACATTGCATAATTTATACTTTTATTTTATTTTTTTACTCTAGCGCGCTATATTTAACGTGTTCCGTAGACCTGGAGAAACTGGATTTAGCTGTACGTGTGATAAATACGGTCCCTATCATTCATTCAACATTTCTACTTATTATGATAGTTATGCACAGAACAGGAAGTGCACTTTATTCTGTCAAACTGATCCGTCATCACACGTAGTTATAAACATTGTTTCCCACTCGGATTAACAGTTCGCACTTCTACGTTCTCTACAGATTTGTACGAACATTTAAAATGTGACCCGTTTAATAAATAAATGTAGCAATCGTTGCATAATCATCACGCCTTTTAACACCACGTCCAGCTCGATTTCTAAGTCATTTTGTTGCATATCGCCGTTAGACGAGTTTGACAGGCGTTTGTTTACAAGCGAGACATGTGGTCCAACAGCAACTCGTTACATTATTACGCGAATAGCCGTTACCATAGTTACCCCACTGTTTATCAGGTTAGCAACCACTGATGGAGAGCCGTGTTAACGAAGTGGTACCTGCCGAAATCAATTATCAACTTTTATGTGATGTACAATGAATTCCCGCGCATTACGAGGATGAGACTGGTTTGCTTTGTGGCTTTTACTATATTTGCATCATATTTTCATTAGTTGTTTGAAACAAAAAGTATTTTTTTTTAAAGTGACCGCGGATTTTATTTTCTTTATTTGTTCACCGTATTAAACTTCCCTGCTCTGTGATCAGGCTTCGATGACATTTATGTGGTTAAGGGATTACTCGCATACTTCTCACTTGCAATGGTATTTATGAAGACATGTGAACATGGCAGCCAATTGGGAGGGGTCTTTTACGTAAGACCAGTTGAATAGACCAGAGGTTATATTCGCCTTTTTCAGCAAAGGACCCCTAATATCTGGAATTATATATTTTATCTTTTTTTTTTTTTTTTTAAATGAATGGATAGGAAAACCTTTCCCTCCGTCCTCATTGTGAATTGCTGCTGTGTAGATTTTGGCGCTTTTCCTGCCATGCCAAACCACAAATGTTTTTTAAAATACGTTTAGTATGTCGCTGTCCTTGCACAGGTCATACTGTTACATGCAATTGGGACCTACTACTTTATCATAACATTGCATCGTGAACTCTCGTTTATTCAATATATGTAATAGCTGTCAGTGAACCGCCATCCCTCCGTGTTCACTCTCCAAATTGGCCCCCAACTGTCATCCATCCGTTCGCTCAATCAATTTGACGTGTCAGAGGATTGTGGTTGATAGTGGCTTAAAAGCATACTGCAAAATCGACATGATGCATTAGGACCTCTTGGCATGTTGGCGTTCTGTACTTGAAATACTATGTATTAAGACATACTATTTCACCTTGTGGGGACATTGGAACACACCCAGAAAGGACACATGCTGTTGGATCTTTTTAAACAAAACGCACAGCTCACCCTTACACGTAGCACTTTTACTTCCACCTGACTCCTGTCACTGGTTATTCCCCAGCTGTCACCCGTTGTGAAGCTTGCAGTTCTGTTGCATAATCCCGTTATTGTTTATCTATTTACCCCTTAATGCTAAATCTAATACAGATACATTTGTAAATGTATAAAACTCCAGTTACTCCTCTGTACTGCTTTCTTTTCAATGAACGTGCAGTATGGATGAAGTGGTACAACTTGAAGGAATTTTCTTGCGGTCTCCTTAGAAAAAATAAATGCAGCAACGTCTACAATAATAAGCTTGAAAATGCCAAAAGGCTTTTAAGTCAAGGCAAGTCGGATTTGTTTTATTATATCAGCCAACATCCCAAATCAAATCAATAAAATCCAATCTGTACCGCATATGACATCCTCTGTCCTTTACAAACCTTTCCTCTAATAAATGACAGTGCTAGACTGGCCCACCAGGGGTGTAGTATTCTGCTGATTAGTGCATAGCAACAGATTAAATAAGTATGCAGTGATCTCCAGGTTAAAACCATACAGTCCGTCTCAGGATCAGGAGCACGTGTCACTGAGCCATTCATATTATATACAAATGCATTCTTCGACATGTTCCTATGTTCAAAGTACAGTAAATATGCTGAACCAAAAGCATCAATTACACAGTAGAGCAAAAAGCAGCCTTATAAATGGATTTTTTTTTCTCATGCGATAACAGTTTGACTCTTCTGTATCGCGCCGTAATAGACGGTGGCTGATGGCTGCTCGGTCGCACATAATAAGAGATCCTTTTTGCAGGAACTATCTGCGAGCACATGATTAACTTCTGAAGATCGAGACAACTGTTAAAAAGCCCCTCGTAACTTTTTAACAATCTAATGCAACACTATTGGCTCTTCATTGGCCTTTAAAATACACTGTCTTGACCTCTACACATTTTATCAGCTAACAGTTACCACGTCAACATTGGTGACATAAAACAAAGATTGTCCTATTTGCTCTTAATTCTCTTTTTTGCCTCCTTTGTCTCACTCCCAACCTGCCCACACTTCTTGCAGGTAGGAGAAAGAGCCGGGCGTTGCGACCGCAGTCCCCCATCTTCGAGGCAAAGGACATTCCCTCCATGGAGCTTCCCAAGTCCTCTGAGGACCTTCAGGTTCCTACCTCACAGCTCCTCAACGTGTCGGCCGTCTACGAGGTCCTCCGCAACTTCGGCTCGGTGCTGCGGCTCTCGCCGTTCCGCTTCGAGGACTTCTGTGCGGCGGTGGCCAGCCAGGAGCAGTGCACGCTGTTGGCAGAGACCCACATCTCCTTGCTCAAAGCTATTCTCAGAGAGGAGGACACCTCTAACACCACGTTCGGCCCCACAGACGTGAAGGACTCCTGTGAACTCCACTTTGTATTTCGTGGACGGTATGACCTGGCCGGAGGTGGTGCGGGCGTACTGCGAGAGCGACCCGGAGTACCGTCACATTCTGCCTCTGCAGGAGTGCGAGGATTACCCGTTCGAACCGCTCGAAAGCAAAATCAAAGTTCTCCAGTTTTTGGTGGACCAGTTCCTGGCGACCAACATCGCCCGCGAGGAGCTAATGTCGGAAGGCGTGGTCGCCTACGACGACCACTGCAGGGTATGCCACCGCCTCGGCGACCTGCTGTGCTGTGAGACGTGCTCAGCTGTTTACCATCTGGAGTGTGTGAAGCCGCCTCTGCAGGAAGTGCCGGAGGACGAGTGGCAGTGTGAGGTGTGTGTGGCCCACAAGGTACCCGGCGTGGCCGACTGCATCCCGGAAGCGCAGAGGAGCAAACCGTTCATTCGGCAGCTGCCAGTCGGCTTTGATCGACACCAGCGCAAATACTGGTTCCTTAACCGCCGCATCGTTGTGTAAGTTCACCCGGTTTCATCCATGTGTCGAGGCTTTTGCATATGATGCAACAGGTGTCGGTGTGGGTGGGATCTTTTTACAGTCTTGATTACTGATAATATGCCAAATTATACTATGTGCTCAAACTATTTTCAGATTTAGATTAGGAGTATAATAACCGTACTCTCATGTGATTTGGCGTCATAGAAAGTGTTCATGAACGTCACAAACCATCTGCATGATCGCGAGACATATTGCCACTAATCCATCCTTCACACACCTTTAATATATTGATTGTACGACACTGTAGCTGATACAGTGCAACTCATGTAACCATAATATTTGTGGGTGTGTTTACTTTGTGTCAGCCACTTGTTCTGAGGTGGTTCATTTAGGGATCCCAGGTGAGCAGAGGGGTCACGAGTGAACCGCATGGACCAAATGACATCCGCTGGGTCTGTTTGTATTGCGCAATACTTGATATACTAGTACAATAAGACTCTAATAAGTTGCAGTTATTCACAGACTCCAAGTTAAAAGTCTGGTGCCAGTTAAATAAATAAAAAGTGATGGTGTGTGTGTGTGTGTGTGTGTGTGTGTGTGTGTGTGTGTGTGTGTGTGTGTGCGCGCGCTGGAGTTACCAGCAGACGGTCTACTACACAAACCCCCGAAGAGCGCTGATCACCTGAACATTGTACTATTTTAAAAGGGAAGGCGGCGTGTGGTTTGTCAGCGCTGCGTTTCACTCTCGCTCCTTTTTCTGCTGTCAGCCAATTGGCCCCCAGCAGGTGCTGTGATACTGATCTCCAATGTGCCTTCAGAGACCGTGTGTTTGTGCATATAAGTAGGGTGCACAGGGGAAAGTTTGTGTGACTAAGTTCATGCAGTGTTGCGTCTTATTGTGTTGGGCCTTGCAGGCAGACGGAAGATCTTTTCACAGATAATTCAATTGTTTTTATGTTTGTTTATCATCAGTGGAATTTAATTACGATTGCATCAATGAGCTCACCAGGGGCCATAGAGAAATAAATCGAAATATTGAGACCACAATTAACCAATTTGCAATTTAGCAGTTATCTACATTTAATTAAATTGTTCCCATATTTTGATTCATTAGTGGGCGCAACTTGTTAAATCATTTTGGTGGTACCCAAGACTATGTCGTTCACTCCAGCCAATACCCGTCACTGGTCTCTGGTTAAGCATCACTTTTAATTTTAAAGAGATTTCTCTTGGAACTGTGATACAGACACACAAACAGTATATACGACAATGAGAGCTGAATGAATGGGAATCTTCATTTGTTTATAGGAATGTGGATCGTTTGCAGGGCGATGCGCCCGCTGGTCTCTGCTTCGACTTAGTCTCAACCCTCAAAGTTGTGGTCAGTTGTGGTCATCGGTCTATAAAGAGGACTTTCTACAACCATTTTAAGGAAATGATAACAAAAACAAAGTATAAATGTATTCTTCTTATGTAATCTACTTTCAATATCTAATACATTGTACAGTTAAATACAACAAGCGACTAAACAATGAACTGATAATTCTCTTCAGTGCCATGGATTCTCTTCTGGCTCTAAAGTGCTGTTTTGGGACACGCGTGTAAAACCATTTTTAATTAGAAACGCTCTTAAAATAAATAATTTGTGAATGGAAAATTGTTGCCAAGAGACATATAAGACTCCATCCAGCTCTGTGTGTGTGTCTGATACGCCTGAGCTTTAGTCCCTTAACAAATGTTACACACTTTCTATCCTTAAATATTGACATCATGTTTGTCCGTGGCACAGAATGAGACTTTCTATTGATGAGTGAGTCTGTCTGGCGATGTGAGATGAAGAAACCTTTGGAGTAACATTCTGATAGAAACCTTTTGAAGTGTGCGAGATGGACTTACTCTGCGGTGTTTCCAATGACGCCTTTGCCGTTTGTTGTTGCTCTAAATCTGAGCGGAGCCAAAGCAGCGGCCTCTGCTAAATACAGTGTGAGGAGTATTTACATGAAGTACACTGGACAAAAGGCTAACGAATACTCCTTAAACACAGAAGTAGAGAAGAAAGAAGCCCCGCGTAGATCACATCCTCGCCGCTGTGTCTCCTAATGTTGCCCCTCCTGTCTCCCCCCACAGCGAGGAGGATGGCGAGCAGGAGGACAAAGCCATCTGGTACTACAGCACCAAGGTAGACTCAACTGGCCGCTTTCCCTCGCTGAATCCTTTTGTTTTAGAAAGATTTGACTTTTCATCACTTGTGTGTCCCGATCTCCTCCTCCTGATCGACACAATACATCCCAACGTTCCCTGTGAACCCATGTGGTGTTGCACTTTGTTAGGTCCAGCTGGCCGAGCTCATCGACTGCTTGGATAAGGAGTACTGGGAGGGCGACCTGTACGCGGCGCTCGAGGAGATCAGGGACGAGGTGCATGCGCACATGGACATCACCGAGGACCTGACCAACAAGGCCCGCGGCAGCAACAAGTGTTTCCTCACCGCCGCTAACGGTAAGAAAGTCTCCACCTCCTCTCGGTTTGCTAAATATGAACTAATTGTCAGAAGACGTGAGATGCCTTTTGGTGTCATCATGGAATGAGTGGAAGAAGGATCTCTTTTCTTTTTTCCATGTTCCGCCTCAGTCTATCCACTCGCCGAACTACCCCAGTCCCCCCCCCTACCCCCTCCCTCGATTCTTATGAATGCCATCGAGTCATAGATAGCCGGGCCGCAGGAATGAACCCAGCTATTATGTAACCTTACTCTGGTCCCGGTTTGACCAATGTCCAGCCCCCCTTCAGTCGCTCCTCGCTTCAGACAAAAAAATTCCGCCCGCCGTGTCCTTGAAAATGATGCACTTGTGAGCAGATCACATTGATTGATTGATTGAATTCAGTTTGGAGCGCAGTGAGAATGAAGGATTCAAACACAGCGCTCCTGTATGGGGGGGGGGTACTTTTGATGCAGTGTTTCAAGTGGAAGCACTTGTATTACTTTTAACTGTTGTATGCCAGTGTGAGTACAGCTTTACATCCCAGTGGTTTCTGTTTTGTGTGTCTTTTTAAACGCTATGATGACGTAGCACACTTGATACTTGTGAGAGATGGTTTACGGCTCAGGAGTGTTCAACAGACGATTGATGTCACCACGTGTCTGTTTGTATCTAATGTCTTTCAGCTTCCTTCATGCCGTCCTGCTCAGTGCAGATGGGGGCTTTTTGTTGCTCAGCTTATGTTGAATCACAAATGGTGCGACGAATGAGTCCTTCTCTGCTGCAGAGCTTCAGTCTGCTCGGTCCATCGTTTTGATGTCTCGATACGCGACACATTAACGCCGTAGTATCACCGCACGTTATTGTTTTACAGCACGTTTGGATGTTAATTACTGCTGGTCGACATCAACAAGGACTTACACATTTAAAAGTTTGTACATGAAGTACTGTAAACAGTCTTGCTGCTACCATCTGCGAAGTGTGAACGAGCAGATTTTTTAGTAGGTTAATCTTTTACTTTCTAAAAGAGTCATGTTCTGTTTGTATGGTAACTTTTCAAGCTTGGATCACAGGATACCATGAAAACAAACAACAAATACAGATGTACAAAGAAGAACTCAAGAACAGCTGAATACAAGCAATCATTCAGCCGCACCTGAGCAATGATGATAATCTTGCCTCCATAAATAAACAACCTTTCCTTCTCAACTCGTATCTTCTCAATGGACTATGGCTTTTAATGTGCGCTCAGTGGTCTTCCCATCACTGTTAGATAACAACTCATTTTCTTTTCTCTGTTTAGTTTTAGAACGGGTGCTCTCAGTTTCAGTATGAGATTCCAATGACTCTACCACTGCTTTTATCTTTGCTGTGTTGTTCATCACACCCTCGATTATGATTTCATTATAATCCCTCGCCGTCTACTTTCTTATCCTTTTCGTCTCTTGTTGTCCGTTTGCTTCTGTCGTCCAGAGGAGATCCTGGATCGGCTGCGGGCTAAGAAGGAGGAGGAGCTGGAGGAGGTGAAGAGACGGGCTGCCGAGGAGGCGCTGAAAGCGCGGATGGAGAAGGAGAAGGAAGACGAAGAGGCCAGGATGAGGGACGGGGGACAACAGGAGGACCAGGGCAAAGATGTGACAGGAGATGGGAAGACTCAAGAAGAGGCCACTGAGGAGAAGCAGGATGGTGGAGGTATTTGTGATGTTGCTATTTCACAAAGTATTCGGACAACTATGTAGCTGAAAATAACGCTAATGCTAGCATAAAAACAGTAGCCTCTGAAAATCTTTTTCTCTGGGTCTCAGTACTTCCATTTCCTTTTGAAGAAAAGTACATCATCACTATGGGAAAATTACCTTTTGATTCTGAGTCCCGTGGTTATTTGGCTCTAGGACCGATTAGAAATGCTGTGTTCTTTTCCACGACAAGTGACAAGGTTTAATTTATATATATATATATATATATATATATATATATATATATATATATGTTTTACTGCTTATGTTTTATGCAGTGCAATAAAGAGGCCCCTTTAAGGAATGATCAAACATTTATTGTATGTGCAGCAGAACAAAGCTTATTGCCCACAATCATTATGCATTTAAATGTCTATTCATTGCATATATTTCATCTTAAAAATCTAAAGGTAGTATGAAGTAGCTCTGGCAAAAGTTTCCAAATATTGGGTTACTTTCTATTGTGTTAGTAGAGTTTTTTTGGTTTTGACCTCCTTTTGTCAGACCAAATCATTGCTGCTGCTCTTCATTGTCCACACGTTTTGTATGCACAATACCATAATATCCACAATGTTTACAACGTTGCCGCTGTTCACCTGTAGTTGTTGAAGCTGCACACACTGGCCACGGTGGCAGTAGTGGCAGTAGCATCTCAGACGGACCTACACTTACGGCAGGCTCCCCTCCGCTCCCCACCGCCGCGAGCTCCGGCCGGGCCTCGGAGTCCCCGAAGACCTCGGCCGCCGCAGAAGCGGTTCTGATAGCGGGATGTTCCCATGTGAAGGTCTCTAACAACAGCGAAGGTATACGAGGACATTTCACGGGGACGTTGACTTCATTGAGCTTTTCCTTTTTGAGGGGATCGGCTTTGGTGTCGCAGTCTGCAGCGGAATGAATCTCATCGCAGTGCCTTGTTAGTTGCTTCGGCCATTTCTCGGCCTGTTTCTTTGCATGTGGCTCTCATTCCATCTGCTGGCTTTTTTGTTCAATTGTCCAATGTTTATTTCTCGAGACCCAGAGTCCGCCCTGCAACACCTCCTGCCATTTTGCGCCAGAACTCATGTGCTCTTTTCCCCTAAAGAGCTGTGATGCTGATTGCATCGATGGATATGCAATCAGAAGGCATTGTCACCACACTCCGCATGACAAGAACCGGGCCTCGGTCCACTGGGGACAGCATTTCCATTGCCTGGCAGAATAATTCTCATAAATAAGCTTTTTCCTCGGCTGCTTGCTTGTATGCTTCCGAACGAATCCCTCTCATTTTAGGTAGCGGCTTTGTTGAAAAAAAATGCACATATTCATCCATGATAATTACAGAGCTTCTCTACTCAGTCGAGTTGTGTAAGTCTTGTTAGAGCCGTGCCTGCACTGGGTGCCCCTTGTTTTCCGGAGTCCCTCCATAATGTGTTGGTTATTTGGTTCATGTATTACTTGTGACTTATCAGTAGAGGGAGCTGTAGCATCAACCATTGCAGAGCTGTCACAAGAAAGTTTCTACGTTCATTAGGACTAAGCTTCTGCTTGGTCGTCCTTCACTGCTTTGATGCCAAAGACTGGTTATTCTAGAACAGCGATGTCGGCCGTACTCACTCGTGCAAACCCTTAAAGACAACCGGGGTGAAAGACGACACGACCCAGCCAAGCTGATATTGCTCATGTAACGGTCCAACTCTTTTGGATTGTCCGTCTATGTGACAGAAAACCCATCGTCCGATTCTGTCGCGGGCAGTGGAGATGGCACCCAGAGCCTGAGCCGGCCAGCCCAGAGCAGCGAGGAGAACAGTGACGGCAGCGCGGCACCCCGGCCTGCTCCCCAAGGACCTGAACCTCCAGACCTCGCCGACAAATCCTCCCAGTCATCCATGGCCAGCCTCGATGACACAGGTCTGGGGGGGGAAACCTGTCATAACTAAGTTTTGCGTTCTAATTTCTGTGGAAAGCTGTACTCTGCTCTACTTGGGTGTAAGTGAAGGTGGTCTAGTAAGGATTGTGATCTTGAGACTTCTGGATAAAATCAATGTGGTGTTGAATTAACTTTGGTGAAAAGTGAAAAACAAATCTAGTAATCTACACATTGTACTTTGTCTGTTTTAAGGCCTGTCTTACATGAGTTTTCAATAAGTATTCTCACTGTTACGTTCGTTATGCAACCACTGGTACTTGCTAATGTTCTCGCTTTCAGTGGTCATTGCACATCATACACCCTTTCAAATAGACTTTAAGCTAAGAAATGGCCTTTTCTCTCATTGGGTTTGCAGGAGATGGCAAGGACTCCGCTAACGGCGAGGCGGGTCTCGGCTGCAGGAAGTCTGCTGCCACTCGCATGGTGACCCGGCTCAGGAACCCGGACAGTAAGCTCAGCCAGATGAAGAACCAACAGGTGGCCAACAAGGGTTTCAAAGAGGTGAGAAGAGCCTAAAAGAATGATCATTTTCATTCTTTTAGAGGACACAATTTTAAAAACTGCGTAGTGCTAAACACAAAGCTGACAATCTTTTAAACCGTGTCCCTAACTAACGTGTTACACATTAAAGCATAGGTTTTTGCTTTGAAGGCTGCATTCTCATTGTGTGTGAGGATGCTCATTTTATGCAGAGAATAGAATACACGGGAATATGAACGTTTGTCATGAGGCGATATTAAGATGAATCTGAATGACTCCGGTCCCCCTGCCTGTACAGATACTAGTAGTAAATGCACACGGTGACGTCACCCGTGTGACCACACGGGGCAAAGAGATGATCAAGGGGACTCTCAGCCAATACTTCAAACTCGGCCAGGAGGGAAAATACCGCGTCTATCATAACCAGTACAGTTCCAATACTGTGGCCCTCAACAAACACCAGCACAGAGAGGCAAGTAAAACCCAAACCTGTTGTTTTTGCTATTGTTTAGAGGTACTCCAACATTAAATAATTTTTAATTTTTAGGTTTTCTACACTATTATAAAGACATCAAAGTCACATGGGTTTTTATTTTGATCAGGACCACGACAAGAGGCGGCATCTCTCCCACAAGTTCTGCATGACACCCGCAGGAGAGTTTAAGTGGAATGGGTCTATCTATGGCTCCAAGCTGCTGACCATCTCCACACTGAGAATCACCATCATCCAGCTGGAGAACAACGTTCCTTCGCCATTCATGCACCCTAACTGGGCCTCACACAGGTACTGGCACTGTGTACTGTGATATGGAAACATTTCATTACAATTCTTGCGTGGTGTGCTATGTACTTTATAAACACACAAAATGCTCATTAAGTTGTCCGTCTTGCTGCCGTTGGTGTCCTTTTCATTAAATCCACTTATTTATACATCATGAAAAAGTCACAATTAAAGCACCTTTCCAAAAGTAAACAGACACCATGACGAGAAAACTTAATGTGGTCTTGGTGTTTTCTTAATGATTCTTTGCCGGTTTTGTAGGACCAATTGGATCAAAGCTGTTCAGATGTGCAGTAAAGCCAGAGAGTTTGCGCTGGCTCTGGCCATCCTGGAGTGTGCCATCAAACCTGTGGCCATGCTGCCTCTCTGGAAGGACTCACTGGGCCACACCAGGTAGTACAGCGTGTTCGTATGTGGGCTGTACCAACTGTAAGAAATCTGTGCTTTTGTTATTTTGTCAACACATGCTTGAGATATTACCACATATTAGCTATAGTTCCACACCTACACTGTGATTTTAAATGCAAGTATTTCAAAATTCTACTCAAACAAGCGTTCACCATGTACACTTGGGTTGTGTGGTTAGTTCAGCAGATCAAATCAAAAGGCCCACTTTAGCTGTGAGGCATAATATTTAGACAGCCACCCACCTCTGCATCTACTACTGATTTAACACCACAAGGCCCCTTTTTTAAAGCCCCAATTGATTTCTCAGGGTTAGGATCAGAGTGTGTGTACGTGTGAGACTGAACTGTGAGCAAAGTTATATGAAAGAGACTGTTTAATTTCTAAACTATCACTAGTCAGTGCTTTAATTATACTTTTACAGACTTAAGAAGCTTTCCAATTGTTTACTCACTTATTAACGAAATACTTATTTACATACATGTCTCAAATGGCTGAAGGGATGCTGTGATGGTAGAATCAATGGTATATATCAATTTTACTGTGCTTCATACTTTTATTCTGTTTTCAGGTTAAATCGCATGACTTCCATGGAACGTGAAGAGAAGGAGAAAGTGAAGAAGCGGGAGAAGAAGCTGGAGGATGAGGAGACAATGCAACAGGCCACCTGGGTCAAGTACACCTTTCCAATCAAGCATCAGGTAGGTTGTCAATCCCAGCAATGAACCTATTCTCTGCATGCATTTGCACTGTGGAGAGAGGAGAGTACAGGGGGGAACGTGCAAACTCCACACAGAAAGGCCTTTGGACGGGTTTGAACCCAGGACCGTTTTGCTGTGGGGTGATGGTGCCAACTGTTATGTTTACATAAGTCAATATATCAGATTGAGATTGGACCACCATCACTGGCTTGATTTCATGAGATACCGACACAATAAACATTCTACTTTTGTTGTCTGCAAACTCAACATAAAACTTTGGACAATAGAATAACAGCAAAACTATTTCCGTCTGGTCTACTTGAAGATTTAGAACTTGCTGCCAGGAAAACGGAGGCGTTGCTCAGGGGAAAAACGCAGTGTATGTTGTGCGAGTGACCATCAAGGGCTCTTTGATGCAGCCAGTTGAGTTACGATGCGAGTCATTTCCAGCAGCAATTAGTGATCATTTAGTGAATCACCTCTCAACTTTTAATCTCTCCTTATGCCTTATGCCCTTTTTTATTCTGTCTTTCCTAATTCACTTTCTCTGTTTGAACCTTGCATCTCTTTTTCCTTCTTTTTTTACTCATTCCTCTTCTATGTTGTGGTCGTACTTGAAGGTGTGGAAGCAGAAGGGAGAGGAGTATCGCGTTACAGGCTACGGCGGCTGGAGTTGGATCAGTAAGACTTACATGCAGCGGTTTGTCCCCCGGCTGCCCGGCAACACCAACGCTAACTACCGCAAAGAACTGGAAGGTCTGGAGACGTTTTTGGGCCTATAATGTGGTTTTCTATCATTTGACTGTAAAAGTGAATTTGTCTCTGTCAGTGATCTTGTGTTTTCAGTTTTGTATTCTGTGAATGTCTTTTGATAGTTCTCTGGTTTTAAATTCTTCTTCATTCATACTTAGTTTATGTTCTTGTTTATCCGCTTACCATTTAGGCTGCTACCAATTATTTCCAATGTCCCGCAAAGCTGCGGATTAACTGCAGTGTCAAAAACACGTTATTGATGCGATAGAGATGTTGTTTTGTAATTCAGTCACTTTGTCCCAAAAAGATGCCAAACTTGGCAAGAAATGTACCCTGTTGGATTTGAGTCGACATCTCGGTGTGGCTGCATCAGGAGCTCAGCAAGCTGCCGTCTCAAGCGGCGAGGCAAAAGATCAAGACCTCTCCAAGTCTGCACCAGATCCTCCGATGACTGTTGAAGAGTCTAAAGAGGAGATGGAAGAGGAAAAGAAACACGGGGTGGATGAAAAGGAGAAGTCTGAGGAATTGTCGGCCGACGGATCGCCTGCAGAGATGGAGGTGGACCCCACTGACGCGCCAATAGAGGAAATGCAAAGTACGGCCGTGTCTAATCGCACAGTATTCAATTGCATGTGGCTCAAGAGTTGTGCTTTACACCTAAACCACTATTAGAATGACAATTTAGCATTGTGTGTCCTTTCCAAGCGTTTTCAACTTGATTGACAGCGATCGTAAAGATAATTGTATATTAATGGAGATTAAAATCGGACTTAATGTTTCCTCCAGGGCCGAGTCTTCAGCAAGAAAAGGCCTCCGTGAAGGAGGAGCCCACGGAGAGCCCTACACGACCCTTTAACTACGATGTAGTGGATGTCAGCAAAGGCTTCCTCACCCGCGTTGCCTACAAGAAGAAGAAGTCCTCCAAGCTGGACGTCCTGCTGGAGCGACGAGTGAAGCAGCACATTATTGAGGAGAGGCAGAGGCAGCAGGTGCCTGCCCCCAAATGTCAGATCCCCACACCAGTTTCGTCCTTTTTAAACCCTGCTGCGAGCACTCCTGTCCGGCCGCGGGCCCCACTCAAGCCCGAAACTCTTGCCCAGACACAGCTGGCGCTGGGCAAAGCTGTGAAAGTGGAGGAGAAATCTTCCACACAAACTCCATCGGCAGGAAAACTCGGAGGAGGTGAAGTCAAAGGGGAGAGTGAGGCTGAACTCTCTAAAACTACGGAGGAGACTTCCTCTCCGCTTCCTCCTCCTCCTCCGGTTCCAGACTCCACTCACAAAGACAGTTGCAGCACGGGGACACAAAACCAAACTGCCTCCGTACCTCAGGTACTGGAGGCAGACTTGGTGGAAAGGACTATGGGGCCAAAAGAAACTGATCAGAGCAAAAGAGACTGTTCAGGGCAAGAGGGCGTCACATTGCCTGATGTACATGAAGCGTCGGAGGGGGGGATTTATAGCTCTTTAGAGCAACAAACAGCCAGCGTATCATCAAATGTTACCACGGCTGCACATGTTGAAAACACAGGGTCTGAGGTACCCGACTTGAAATCCGCCTCTCTAAGAACATCATGTCTGCTTAACCAGATAAGCAGTCAAAACACATCTCCTTCTAAAGGTATCCAGCAAAACCCAGAAAATGTAAGTTCATTGCATCCATGCACAGAGGAGAATGGCACGGGGCAACAGGAGAACCGAGAAACTGTACACGGTGCTGGACCGGGTAGACCCGAAGGCAACAGCGCTCCTAAGCCGGTTTCTGCTCTCCCTCAGGTCAACGGTAACGATGGCTTGGCCAGTGAACGCATGTTGAGGGATTCTGTGATGAGCTCAAATAACGGTGTACTTAGTCCACCGCCGCTGCTGAACAGCATCGGTAAAATCGAAGAACGAGGGCTACTCGTCGAGGACGGTGTGCAGCTGAAGCCATTAGTGAACGGAGATTTGGCCCCTCTCAATGATTACGCTGAGGCCGGGGACAAGGAACCGAGCCCAGCCGCTAAGGTAGAGAGCAAGACAATGATGTCAGACCAGGATTACAAACCCCCACTGAAGGTGGCGAGGCTGGAGCACAACGTAGAAGCCATTGAAGCTAATAGTCAAAGCACTCAGCACAGCAGCGCTGAGACGAAACCCACTCCTGTGCTCAAGATCATCAGAATGTCCCCGTCTCCCATACCCTCAGCGGAAGACTCCAGTCTGAGCGACGACTTCGCTGAGGAGAACAACAACACCGGGGCGACAGAACCGGCGAAGGCCGTCATCACCCAGGTAACCACCACCACCTCCACAACCACCACAACCGTAGTTTGCACGCAGATGAAGGTGGCCGGAGTGCCGTCGAGCGCCTCCGGAGTGGTTACCGAGCCCGTGGCGTCGCTGACGGAGAGCAGCGCGGTGTCCACCCTTACCACCATGACCAAAACGACTGTGACCAAAGTCTGTTCCCCCGGGCCCGACGGCCAGTCAGAGGACGGCCAGGGTGAGGTGGTGGCGCAGGAAGAGAAGGCGGCGCTCTCGGCCTGCGTCAGTAAGTCCACCAGGGACTTCAGGGGTAAGACCTCATCAGTGTCCGTCACCGTGAGCCTCGAGGACTCGTCGTCGACCACGGGCCGCGTCCGCCTCCTCAAGTTCTCCCGCACCAAGAAGACCCGCTCGGACACCGCGCTTCCTTCGTATCGCAAGTTCGTCACAAAGAGCAACCGCAAGAGCATTTTTGTTCTGCCGCACGACGACCTGAAGGTGCTGGCGAGGAGAGGCGGGTTCCGCGAGGTGTCCATCTTCAGCTACAACTCGAAGCCAGCGCTGGACATCTGGCCATATCCTTCACCGAGGCCCACGTTTGGCATCACCTGGAGGTAAGCGGGCCGAAGCTTTCTCAACCACCTAAACAGCAAGGGTTGTTCAAAGCTTCCATTCCTTCTGTCCTTGTGCTCGCCGCACGCGTAATTCCTCACTGATCAAGAAGCGCTTCTTCGTGGTGAAAGTCCGTCGTTGCATTTGACCCATCCGAGCATCCGTGATTAGTGGGGAGCATTCTGTGGCCGGGATCTTGTTCAAGGGCGACGGCTGTGGTATGTAGTCGATATCTGACACGCAGGTCACTTTGTGTGTCAGAGGGGGAAAGACAAACCGAGGAAAACAATTTGTATCATAGACGCCTAAACAAATACAACTCTAGTTCAAAAGACAGACATTCCAAAACCAAAATATAAAAGTAAATATAATATAAAGTAAATATAAAGAGTCAGTCAGACATGATCTGTATCTACTGCCTCCACGAAAATCATGAATTCCAAAATCTCCAAGACAAATTCACGTTTAATAAAAAATTCCGAGAAAATTCAACAATTGCCTTATTTATAAATCTTCAGCAAAATATTTTGTAAAAAACCTCAGAACACCCCTTTTTGTTTTTCTTTTTAAAACTCTCCAGCAAAAGAAAGTGCACCTGGTCTAAGGAGTTGTTCTGCTATTTTTCTGTGAGTGCGGATATCCAAAAAATATGGCTGTGATACAAAGTATAAGAGCAGGATTAGCAGCTGAGAATGTACATTTGGAGAAGGCTGCTAGAGTTCAGACCGCCGTCTCCTGCTGGAGTCAAAGGGCCCTGTCCTGTTGATTTGTTTGTCTCCCTCCCTGTCTGCTGTTTGTGGCTTTGTCCCTGAAGGATGTTGTGGCTCTGAGCCACAGGCTCTTTTAACAGGACCTCAGAGATCAGGCAGACAAGTGTCAGGATGTTCATTTTGTGCAGCGACCCGGCGCCGCAGCCCAGGGACATTTCCCCGTAGACGACTTCACATAAGGGACATGTAGCAAACCCAGACACAGCCCTGTGGAGATGTTTTAGTGCCAAGCTCTGTTTCGTAACTGCAGCCATAACGATGCATGGAAGGAATATTTCTAATACGTTATACCCAAAATGTCTTATACAGAGATAATATATACATCATTTATTAAATATGTCAGCCATTTGATCTTTCATCAAAACCGTCAATAAGGGCTTGTAACTCTACCAGAAACCTTGGTCATCCTCTTCGTGACTCTGGCCACATGATCTTGCTCCTGTGTGTTTTCTGCCACACTGAGGGAGTCACTTGTGGTCGCTTGGCACTGATGAATTGTAAGAGAGCAACTGAAGAATCGCAATTAAGTGTCAAATTTTCAGAATAATTTACACATCACACCCTTTCCGTTTTCCAGGTGTTTCTTTCAGTGCAGCAGGCAGCGATTTTTATGTGCAGGTGCGTAGCTGTAAATAAAGTACTTGAACCTCTGGTTGTGTTGCAGGTATCGCCTGCAAACGGTCAAGTCTTTGGCTGGTGTGAGCCTGATGCTGAGGCTCCTGTGGGCTTGTCTGAGATGGGACGACATGGCCGTCAAACCATCCGCAGCTGTCGGCACCATACGGACAGGTAGTAATAAACGTAATAAACAACAAAAAAAAGGAATAAACTGATGTGGTATGAGGTAATATGTATTTTTTAGAAAGAAAAATGTATATATTATAGTGCAATTAATTTAAACAAATAAGGTACTACCCATTTGTCGGGGGCACACTGTCTAATGTATACAGCGTCTAGTCAGGTAATTAATGTTGTGAAAGCAGAATATGACCGTTATCATCAAAAGGGGGCTCGACAGAGAGGGTTTGGGAACCACTGGCTTATAGAAAGACACAAAGATACAGGCCTTACTCTCATGTAGGCGTCATGTGAGTATGTCGGAGGGTTTCTCCTCCACGTCACCGTGACAACCCAGCCCTATCCCCACTCGTTGCTACAGAGACTTCGGACACTGAAATCACCACCACGGAGATCATCAAGCGTCGCGACGTGGGATTCCACGGCATTCGCTCGGAGTACTGCATCCGCAAAATCATCTGTCCCTTGGGACTGCCTGAGACTCCCAAAGGTAAGAGGCACCATTTTTCATGACAAAAAAGAAATACACGCACGATTTATTGGCTTATGTGAGGGAATTTCAAATATTTTAATAAATCAGTTGTGTTGCTCCTCGTTCATTTTGCAACGTTTAAAAATTTGACACAAACGCGATCTGATATTGTTCCATCGCCATTCCAGAAACCCACACCCCCCAGAGGAAGGGGCTGCGCTCCAGTGCCCTGCGCCCCAAGAAGCCTGAGCCGGCAAAGCAGACGGGCCCAGTGGTGATTGAGACCTGGGTGGCTGAGGAGGAGCTCGACCTCTGGGAGATCAGAGCCTTCTCAGAAAGGTCAGAGGGGTCAAGGGTCAGGCATGCCACGCCCACATTTGGAAGCACATCCAACTGGAGAGGCCGATATTATTGAGGATGGTGATCGGTTGCCGGTTCGATCCTCGGCTCGTTCGTGCAATGTACATTCCCAAGTAGAAGCTGTGTCTACAGTGTGTGATTGTTGGTGCCGGTGGGCAGGTGGTACCTTGTGTTCAAGCGCCTGCCATTGCTGTGTGAATGGGTGTAGTGTTAAAGATCTTTGAGTGCTTGTAGGCCTACAAAAGCGCTCTGCAAGTACAAGACCATTTACCATTTAATTTCCAGCTAGACTGCATGTGGCTGGAATGTCCCCCAGACAAAGGTGCGCCGTATTTTTTGCCCGCCAAGCCAATCAGAGCAAATTTTTTGAGAGGATGGAAAGAGACGGGCGCTAAAATGTTTTACGACAGACCGCATGAGAAAAATCATGGGTTTTTTTGTGCTAAAATCCCAAATACTATTAACCTGAAATTGAGCACAGTATGTCCCCTTCAGATTGATTCAGTTTAACCTTTTTTTTTGTTTTTTTACAAATTTGTTTTACAGGGTGGAAAAAGAGAAAGCTCAGGCAGCAGAGCAGGCCAAGGTGAGTGTGCTTCACTTTCCACAGTCTTTTATTTTTTTAAATGTTTCAACTGAGGCTTTGATCTTGCTTCTGGACCCGACTGATATGTGTTGGCATTTCTTTTGTATACCTGTCATGGGTTCCTAATGTTTAAGTACCAACCGACTGTTTCTCAGAAACGTCTGGACCAGAAAATGGGGACAGTCACAGCAACGCCAACAGGGACTCCCGCGACGCCCATCATCACGCCCAAAGTCATCGTGGGCTCACTGTCAGGCCACGGCACCCCCAGTACCAAAGTGGTACTGTCCACCAAGATGGGCACCCCCGTCACATTCCAGCAGAACAAAAACTTCCAGCAGTCGTTTGCCACCTGGGTCAAGCAGGGTCAAAGTACGCAAGGTACGTTGCAGAGCAGCGTACCGGTTTCCCTGAGCCTTCTAACAAATGTGGTTTCCTGTTTCGCGTTTATATCGTGTTTTTAAGTGTCTCTGTTCCACCGGGTTTGCTTTTCTAGGAGCGGAGACCAACGTGGCCACGTCTGGTGGACACACCTTCCAGATCACGGGGACCTCAGTGGGTGGGAAGGTAGTGACCACCAAGCTGCCGCTGCCCGCCAACAGCAAGATCGTCACAGTCAACGTGCCGACTTCGCAAGGAGGTACCGCAGGCCTCACTAACACTCACACTGGCAGACGGATGCATTTATTTTACTGCAGACATTTCCTCTTTCCATCCGCAACATGTTTGTTTGTGTTTTCATTTATTCATCTCAGACCCACAGGAACATTTGAAATGTGTCAAAGGAGCAAATTAGATTTGCCTCATTAATTGAATGATATTGTTTGAAGTTGGTGTGCCAACTAACTCACAAAGCACCCTGGAGGAAGGGAGTCGGTCTTCACTCATTTTTTATGTTGTATGTTGTTGGTGCCACCTACCACAGGCCCAAACATTTTGAAATCCACAAATTAGACACGGTAGACATTCCTCTGTCCTCAATTGCCTCTGTCAGTGAGCCAAGCACACAAGTATTTTTTTTCTAAAGGCCCAAAAAGCACGGTGGCCCTTTGCCTCTGAATTCACACATCTGCCACAGTTAGTTTTACCTAACTAATGCTAATGCTAATGCGGCCATGTTTTTCCTCAAATGCTCAAAATGAATCACTTCTTTAAGTTTTTTAGATCTCTGAATACATTAAGAGAGCTCTTCTAGCAGTGTCTTTGGACGCAGAAGGCAGGTGTTTTCAACTAAAGCTAAGCCAATATACTGTTGGTATTGGCAAAGCAGCTGTTTGATATACTAGTAAGAATGACTTCACTGACCTGATGTGTATGTGTTGTATCTTGTAACCTTTTTCCCTTCTCTGTAGTTTTCCGGTCTTAAAAGTGCAGCATCTATCATATTATTAAAAAACGCATCTAAAAGGAGAGTAAATATCGGGCTCACATTCACATGCTGGAGAAATGGACTGTAGTTGCTGGATGCTTGATCTCCAAGGGAGATTTTTGTTCCATCTGAACGAATGTTATAGGGGACGACCTTTCAGAAGCGGTCAGCCGCTCTCTGTGTTTCGTGCTACTGAGGCAGCCTGGACTGCGTCAACATCATGAGCCAACATCATGAGTCAGCTGCTTAGTTTTGGGGTGGCACATCATGTCTGGCTGCGCCCGTCGGCATGGTGATCTAATAGAAAGCTGTTATTTTGGTTGGATTGTTTTGGGGATGGTAGACTTGTGTAGTCTGAAGTTTTAAATCCAGACTGCGGATTTAGTATTGTACTATCTTTAGTTAGGTGTTTTTTTGACGTTTTTTAAAATTTCAATATTGACACTGCGGATGAGGCGTTTGGAGTGAGCACCACTGTCTGTGGTCCTCTCATATTATTGGATGATGGGAATTGTATTTATACGGGTTATATAGCTCATGTTATGCTTTCACGACATGAATTACCTGACTACATGCCATATACATTAGATAGTGTGCCATTTCAAGCTGAACATGTGCTTCAGTGAAAATCTCCAAAACGTTGTATAGGAAAGGTTAGTCTGGAGACTAAATATCTTTCTAAGCTGTATCAACGTTTATGTAGATTACATTTTGCATGTTTAAGCTCGGTTTTATCTGACAAGCTAACTAACAGAATGACTGAAGACATTTTATTTTTGAATTGGGGTACAAATAACAAATGCATCATTTAACACAGACTTTGTCTCAGTTACCCTGCGTTCACCAGATAAAGAGAATAATATTCACCAGCGATGCAAAGAAAATTATTTTTATTTTACCTTTTTTGAAGTCGCCATGAAGGGGAAACGCAGTTCAGGTGGAGTGTAACCATTTAATGGACATGTGTATTTATTCTGCATGAGTGTTGGGCGTCCTTGTTTGTTTTGGAAGGGCTTAAGGAAGTTAGGCAGGAAAACAAGTTTACGCTGAGGTCTGCGTCCTAGACAGGTAGCCCTCTATAGCAGGATTCCATTTTTCTTTTTCTTTTTTTTTTTCCCCCTTTCCTCTTTTTGAATGAAAGTGTACCTCTCAACTCCGGAGTCCCAACTCCCCGACCTCTCCAAACAGCCAGCCCATAGAGAAGCGCGTTTGATGTGTGCGACCGGAGCAGCTACTCCCCTGGTCGTACGGCCGGGTTCAACCTCCATGTTTGAAGAGGGAAACCCTTGATGTATAGATTTACCTGCTCGGTTGCGCTCACGAAACCGCAGCGAAAATGCAGCGGCAGGAGCCGAGGAAAGAGAGCGACGCTCTCATGGTTTTCCATTTCGGCCATCAGATTTCAGAGCTCATTAAGGCACAGAGCCCAGCGAACAAATATGAAACGCTCCCTTTGTCAGATCAAAGTTCAGAACGTAGGATCTCAATTCATGCATATTTTATGAGGGGGTCTCGGGTATGTTGGGGCAAACCCAACTAAGCTTTCAGTGAGCCTTTGACGATTTTGTTTACCTGCTCAACTAATATTGACAGTTGCTGTGATCAAACGCTAGCCATCAAGCGAGTCGACAAATAATGTATTGAGTTGCATCAATGCACAACTGCTTACTTGTGACGCGCAAACATGTACCATCAGTAATTGTATTAGAAATGTTTGTGGATGTTGTAAAAGGCTGGACAAATAAATGTATATTACTTACAAAATATATAAGCTTACAAGCACGCAATTACAATTTGGTATTTAAACCACATGTGCCAGATCTGCCCTTGCAGAATTGACTCCTTTAGTTAAAACCTCTTGTTCCTCTGTGCCGTTTGTGTCATCACTTGCAATATCTCCTCATCGTTCTCCCCTTTCCACTCATGTTTTTGTCTCGACTGTTAATATCGACAATTCACTCCCACGGAAGCCTTTTCTCCATCTAAAACCGCTCCTTGAGATTCTCACTGGTCATTCTTCTCATTTGTTCACTCGGGTATCTTTCTGTTTCTCTTTTCTTTGAAGGTGTGGTGCAGCAGAAGGTGTTGGGTATCATCCCCTCAAGCACGGCAGGTGGTGCCCAGACCTACACCACATTCCAGCCCCGCACCACCACACTCAACATCAGGCCCAATACTCCCGGCTCGCAGCAGCAGGTACATCTGCCTTCCGCCTGCCCAGAAGCATCCGTAGAGTCATTTTAATTTGTCCTTTTGCACGTTCACAACTCGAAATGTTCTTGCTTCTATTCTGCTTTGTTCTGCTCTGTCTTACGATTTATTTTGTTGCTTGGGCTGCTGGTTCTTTTTTAAGAAAGTAACCGCATTATTTTATTTGATATTACAGAATGTAATCAGCTCCAGATGTGCTTCTTTGTGTTTTGACCTTTGTTCTTTTTTTTGTACAGAATGCTGCCTTTGAAACTATTTGTTAATACTTCATGTAAATGTCCACCTAGGTTCTGGGTGCCGGTGGTCAGATCCGCCCAGGAATGACCGTGATCCGAACACCGATGCAGCAGACGGGACCAATGGGGAAGACGATACTCCGCTCACCGCTCGTGGTCCAGCAAGGTAATGTACTTTTCCTTCAGGTTTTAAAACGCTTCAGATCAACAAGTGGCAACAAATCGAGGCAAACTAGCTGGTTAGAAACAAGCTTCAAAGCAACAGTTGCATGGCCCGTCTAAGTCTTCTCTGCATGTGTGTAAAGTCTGGTTAATCTCACCATTGTTATTCACCTTTCTGTTCCAGGTCAGGGCGGACAACAGGTGGTGACGCAGATCATTCGCGGCCAGGCAGTTTCCACAGCGTTGTCTGGTGCCAGCCCCGTCGCCACGGTCACAGGCCAGGGGGCGACCAACGCCACCCTATCGGGACAAGCAGCCGGCCAAACACCCCCCGGGACGCCGCGGGCACAGGGGCAAGGCCAGGTGAAGCTCACGCTGGCGCAGCTCACCCAGCTAACACAGGTTAGTTAGGGTCACCATAGGTCACCCCCAGTATTTGACATTACCACCTACCAAATAGCAATAAATAAAAGATAACATGGCCTGTGACTTATTAGACAGGTATTCGGAGAAGAACGGTATTTATTTTATTTATACACTTCTCGGGACATCAATGCAACATTGATCCTTAGACATTATTTCTCCCCACATGTTTTCCTTTAACGAGAGTGATAGTAATTGACGATGTGTGTGAATATGTGTATGTGTACACATATAGCAGAGTATCACATACATACCAGCAGGAGTTCATGACCAAGCTCAAGTTCTCTTTAGACGATGAGAAACTCTTGAACACATGGGCGAAGAATGAAACTGTGCGTAGAGGCAGCTTCCCTTTTTAGATGACTGTCTGTGTTACAAGGGCCGACAAATACAAAATCTGTTGTAATACATTTGAAATGAGGTACGACATTTTGTGGAGAAATCCTAAAATGTATTCATGCTTTGACTAGTGGGATACGACCACAATTTTTCACCAAAGACAGTTTATATTGGATTAGACTGGGTCGTAGGTTGTAATTCACCTTCCCCTCTCTTCTCCGCCTCTCACAGAAGCAGCAGGCCGGCTCAGGTGTGGATCGGCAGGCTGGTGTCGGGGGAACCCAACCGGCTCTGACGGTGATGGTTCAGGGCCAGGGCCAGACCACCGGTCAGCTGCAGGTCATACCTCACGGGGTCACCGTCATCCCAGGACCCGGTCAGCAGCTCATGCAGGCCGCGCTGCCTAACGGCCAGATGCAGCGCTTCCTCTTCACCCCATTGGCCTCCGCTGCTGCACCCACATCAAGCACAGGTATGATGAGAACCGAGCAAGCACCACTCTGCGGATATTCAAATTAGGGTTAGCTTGCTATTGGCCAAGCCTGCGGTATAATTGTGGACGTGACTTGCAGTGAATTTGTTTCATGATGATGCTCTTCCCGTACACTCCAGCCAGCACAGTACCCAGCTCCACCTCCACCAAAACCCCGGCACAACCCGCTCAGCAGGCTGCTGCCCCAGTCCAGGCAGGGGCAACCCCCTTGGCCACCACCAGCACCCCTTCGTCGGCCACCCCGCAGGGCCAGCTGCCCCCTCAGACGCAGGCCCACATGCCCATCCAGTCTCCCACCTCGCTGCAGGTGAAAACGCAAGGCGGAGCCGCCCAGCTGCAGCTGCAGCAGACACCTCAGATCCTCGGCATGTCTGGACTGCAGCAGCAGGTCCAGGTATGATTAACAAGGAGACACCGTGATCGATACCGTACCATTAGCCGAAGCACCTTAGGCTTCCCAAAACATCTGTATTTGAGATGGTGTCCAGCAGTAGGACACTTTAAAGTCCACCAGCCTGGTTTGTTTTCAGCTTATTAAACTTGTGTTTCTTATGTGTTGTGACTCAAGGTGTTGGCGCAGCTGCAGGCTCAGCAGGGTGGAGGCTCTGTTCCACAGCACATCAAACTGCAGCTTCCTATTCAGATACAACAGACCGGGACCACCTCAGCTCAGGGAGGACAGGTAGAGCGGCAAGCCAGCTGAACCAGATCTCAGCTTGTATTATCTTCACAAGATGCTACCGCTCCACACAATTAAACCGTACCAATGATGCACCGTATCGCACTATGCCGTTTGCACAGATTGGGAACGTGGTGACCATCCAGGCAGCTTCTGTGCAGGAACAGCTTCAAAGGATCCAGCAGCTCAGAGAACAGCAGCAGCAGAAGAAGAAACAAGCCGCCGAGGCCAAGCGAGAGCAAGCCTTAAACGCAGCCAGCCAGAGCGACATCATTCAGAAACAGGTGCGTGCGTGGGTGCGTGCGTGTGTGTGTGTGCGTTGTGCGTGCGTGTGCTCATCCATCCCAGGCGAAGGCTCGCTGTCTTCCTGCCATCAGTACATAACCAGTCCCCAGTCTGGGTTTATTTTTAGTTTCAACCTCAGTCTGTTTCTCGGGCTCAATGCTGACACGACTGTGCATGTTTGTTTTCTTTCATTTAATGATAATGGGTTTCCGTAGATGTTTGTAGTACACGCTTAACATCGCTAGAATTACAAGGAGTTTTCATAAAGTCAAAATTATCTTTTTTTTCCCACACGTAGGTTTATACATTTTATCGTACTTTACTTTTTTGTTCTTCATTCTTACATCCTTCCGCGTCGTCTGTTTCAGGTGGTCATGAAACAAAACGCTGCGATCGAGCATCTGAAGCAGAAGAAAACCATGACGCCTGTAGAGCGAGAGGAGAACCAAAGGTCTGTCTGCGGTTTGTCACCAATCTCAATGAATGTGCAGCACGTTTTTGTTCCATAGAAATCGAAGCAACAGCAGCACAGATATCCTGTTGATTACCTTTACCTGTCGTAAGGTTCTTTGAATCCCTATGTGTCCACGTTCTTATCATATGGATCTCACTTGGGCGTAAGTCCACCATTAAATCATCTCTCCATTTTGCTGTTGTCCAAACACCACGTTGGGAGGTACTACACAGCGTGGGAACTTTTGGGTGTGTAACCGCCAACAGCTGCGTGTACTTTCTGTGACCCAACACGAGTGAACACACAGACAAACCGTGTATAAACGGGAGACGTTGCACAATAAAACCACACAATGCCCTTCCTGCCCTAGTTGGGAAAGCCAGTTTACGCTTCTCTATATCAAAACTCAATTAGCTTTGTAACGTTTGACAAAATAATTACGACATTTTCCTCTTTTTCTTCCATTTAAGTTCATACTATCAGAAAATTTGTATAAAGATAGAAGAACAAACCAACAAATATAAAAGTCAAACCAGAATCTATAAAATACAACTGAATGTAGATAAATATTTTAGAAAGTCCTGCTTTATACGGCGTACGTAGATTATACTCTGACCTGGAGTTGACCCTGACAACCATGTGTTTATGTCCACAGACGGTGTGTCAACACTGTACCCATTCACACAAACCTGAAATACCCACCTCAGACTACCCTGACATCACTACCGCCGCTCTGTCTGCTGTCTGTCTCTGCTTATTTTTTAAGCCTTTTTTTTCCATTTCTTCACGTCCTCGTTTTCTTTCGCTTTCCCCTCAAAACACGGCTCAGTGTTTAACAACAGCGAGCTGTGCCGTCAGCGTTCGCTTGTCTGCCCAGTTTCGACGGTGTCCACCACTCTCGTGCTACATTCGCAGTGTGTACTTCAGTGTTCACGGCGGAGGAGCCCTGGCCCGTCTTTGACCTCAGTCCGTTATTCACACAAACGTGAACCAAACATTTTTGGATCTTAGTTGCGAATGTTAGCGAACATGAGTGAACATACTCGCCACTGAGCGCCAGCCTTTCTTTTTATTTACAGTTAAGCTGACGTTCAATGACATTTTCATTTAGTTTTTCTAGCATTACTTAATGTTTCCTGTAGTTCCACTATTTTTTGTTTTGTTTTGCAGGAAGTTAGATCACCAAACATTATAAAACATTACAGATGACTCATTTTATTTGGCCTGAATGTTCTTCCTCTCTTTCTGAGAGCAGCGTGGTTTCCCAGTTGTCGTACATCTGTCCATCTCTCACCTTACCTCTCTTAACCCTCGGCTCCTGAAGCGCGGAGTCTCGCACAAATAAATAAAATAAAATAAAACCCCTCCAACATTCGTAAGGCACGAGGCCCAGTGACACAAACACACAAACACTGTCTGCTGCAGACGGGGTTGATTACACAGCAGCATTGCTTTTAGAAATTCAATTATCAAAGACTATGATAATTGTACTAAATTTTAGGTTTTTAATACTTTTATTGTTCATCGACACATACTGCCATTTCTTACTCGTTTAAAGAATGTTTACATTTTGTAAAACAAGTACTCTATAGCTGTTTAGGTTGTACTTTCTAAAACATTTAACTGTTTGGATGAAAAATATATGCCGGTGTATCGGAGGAGCAGAAGTGTAGTGTGTATTATGCTCTTTTTTTTTTTTATTTTAAATGCCCTGAACAGGCACAGCCCTTCTTCCACATGGGTCTTTAATAGATTCAGAGAGCTAATCCTTGAGTCGTGCTTTTATGCGAGACTTGACATTTTTCTACTTTATCCATCCTCACAATACAGTACTTGACTATTCTGTACAGTTTTTAAAAGGTCAGGAGGCGAGTCGGTAATAAATTGCTGTCTTCTGTCCGTGTCTGTCCAGGATGATCGTATGCAACCAGGTGATGAAGTACATCCTGGACCGGATAGACAAGGATGAGAGGCAGGCCACCAAGAGGAAGAAGAAGGAAGAGGGGATGGAGGCAAAGAGAAGGTTGGCCAACGCCAGCAAGCTCTCGTCGCTCCTTTACCGACACAAAGAAAGTCTCAAGATGGAGATCCTCAAGAAGCGGGCGCTTCTCGACAAGGAGCTGCAGCTCGAAGCCCAGGTATGAAGCCACATCTTTTCCAAGCGTGATGTTTGAAATGAAGAGAGGTGACTAATGGCGTTGGAGACCTCTTTGTTTCTTTTGACATTATAATTAATGAGTGTCCTCCCTGTCTGCCTTGACGTTGCGCTCTGCAGGAAGAGCTAAAGAAGGACCTGTTGCGGATGCGGAAGGAGAAGGAGAGGGCTCAGGCCGCCGCCCAACAGGCAGCTCAAGCAGCCGCCACCACCGCCGCCGCCCACAACCAGCAGCAACATACCCCGGCACACAAGCACGGCATCCCCCCTCCACACCACCTCAGCCCGAGCGCCGCCTCCTCACACAAGAGGAAACGGGAGGAGGAGCGGGAGACTGCTACGTCAGCCAAGTCCAAGAAGAAAAAGATGATCTCGACAACGAACGCCAAGGAGAGCAAAAAAGAAATCAAGCTCTACTGCGTCTGCAAGACACCCTACGACGAGACTAAGTATGACGAGGAGTCCGGAGTCCTCTCCAATTTTAATTAGAACTCTAGTACTGTACCCAGGGTGTAGGCGTGGTAGTAGGAGGATCAGTGAGACGCAATGTTTAAAAATTAACCAAAAAACAACTGCTGGTCCATTCGACCTCTTGCAGGAACTCCGTCAACTTGCCTTTTCATCTGCAGAAATACACTCTCAGTTTTTGTTCTCACATAAAGTCTCCGCTTCTGAAGTTTTGCTTTCCAATGGTTCAGAAACTTTAAAGCAAGAGTCTACCGCCCTGAACTTTGCTGACTGATCAAACATGAACCTCCAGACTGCAGCAACAAGTGTAGAGCATTCATTCATTCATCCAGTAAGCGAGCACTGGCTGTAGAGTCAATATTAGGACGAGGGATGGAATTTCGTTTATAGTTGATATTTCAACGTCACTTTTGCAGCCGACCTACTGACAAGTATAAAGCATGAATCAACCCAAAGCTGTTTGGTGTTTCTATCACTGTGGTCATGTGCTGAAGCGCCCTCTCCCCCCCCCCCTCCTCCATAAACCACATTTCTCATTTTTACATGAATCTATTGGCTTCTTACAATCCGCTAAACGAATCCACCCTGATACCAATCTTTGTCTTTGAGATCAGGTGATCCGTGTTTTTGTTACGTGTTATCATAATAAGTTTTTCATGGATGTGATAGAGACACAGGGTGTTTTCTTTTGGTTGACAACCTCATTTTAAACCTAATTCCACTATAGTTTTGTACATTGATTGACATACTTGAAGTGTTAGTCAGAGTTATTCTGTGACAACATCTTTTTGTATACTTTGCCCCCCTCAAGGTTCTACATTGGCTGCGACCTGTGTACAAACTGGTATCACGGAGACTGTGTGGGTATTACAGAGAAGGAGGCCAAGAAGATGGATGACTACATCTGTGTGGAATGCAAACGGGGCCAACAGGTCAGCACGGAGGAGCTGTACTGCATCTGTCAGACGCCGTACGATGAGTCTCAGTAAGTGTTTGTGTCCTTCACTTTTGCTCCAAACAATCCTCACTGTGGCACTGCAGTGTTTCCTTTAGGTTTACAGCTTTAGGGGGTGAGCGCCCGACGTAACCCAAAGGAATTTGAGCTTTTCCTCCAAACACACCAAAATACTGTCTACAAAGAAGCAATATCTCAAAAACGTATAACCTCCAAGCACAGAAGTTGTGTCACAAGTCAATCTGATTAGAAATCAACACAAACCGCTATTTCAATGCTGACGTGTGTTTTTGGGCCTGACAAGTAAAAGCTCCTCCTTTCCCTCACAGGTTCTACATCGGCTGTGACCGCTGTCAGAACTGGTACCACGGCCGCTGTGTGGGCATTCTGCAGAGCGAGGCCAACCACATCGACCAGTACGTGTGTCCACAGTGTCAGTCGACGGAGGACGCCATGACGGTCTTCACGCCGCTCACTGACAAGGACTACGAGGGCCTGCGGAGAATCCTGCGGTCCTTACAGGTGAGCGGCTGCTCACACGCATGTGCCTAGTGGGTGCAGAACAGCTGGGCAGCTTTATTCATCCTCTTTTGTAGTCGTAGTTTTATGGACAAAATTGTAAAATAAGAGAAAATTCTTTGCTAATATATCAAACAAACAATGTTTATTTAAAAAAAAGAGCAATCTGCAGCACAACTCTGGGTGAAGTGACTACAGGTAAATAAGCACAGGAAGCTGTAGTAGTAGTTTAATTACAAGCGACTGACACAACACAGCTCCTCGTGGTGCGTCTACAGAGTAAAAGCAGCAAACAAAAGTGCGTTTTTATCTGACGGGTTTGGCTCCGCAGAGCGCTACTTGGACAGCTGCCTTTTTTCCTGTTTCCCTTTCTTTTCTCATTGCCTATCAATTTGTCCTCTTCTCTCTACGTGTGTGTGTGTGTGTGTGTGTGTGTGTGTGTGTGTGTGTGTGTGTGTGTGTGTGTGTGTGTGTGTGTGTGTGTGTGTGTGTGTGTGTGTGTGTGTGTGTGTGTGTGGGGGGGGGGGAGAAAAATAGAAACAGAAATGTGGAAAAGAAATAAGACTGAACATCTGTGTTGACCCACCTGCCTCCACTGTCATTTTCAAGGCACTGTTTGTTTTCTCTTCCTCGGCTTGGACTTTCTCAAGTGTCTTGTCTTTCTCTCTGTGTCTCCCTGGCGACCCCTCCCTCCTCTGCAGGCGCATAAAATGGCATGGCCGTTCCTGGAGCCGGTGGACACAAACGACGCCCCGGACTACTACAGAGTCATCAAGGAACCAATGGGTGAGTGGAGGAGATAAAAGCACACAGACACCTTAGTGAATACTGACGGTGCGGTTTGTAGCCGCTGTCCCCCAACTGCTGCAAGATTGGCCTCCTCCTGCCCCGTTTGAGTCAGCAACCTCTTTTTATTTCTGTGTGAAAAGTTGTTGTATCAAGTAAAAAAAAAAAGAATCATCGTGGTAAAGTTTGAAATTGTTTCTGTTTCAGTCTCTCATATGCAAGAATTTCTCTTTTGAACCATAATTATTTAAGTGTCTTTGTATTTTGGACTTTTGTTATAGCAAAGTTAGCATTTTTATAACGTCACAGGTTTTTTCTCGTTTTCTTATATTTCACTGACAGTATATGTGGTTAATAGATTTAATTGGTTGTTAAAGTTGCATCATACAAAATCAATACTAATGAATGTAAAAATATTTGAAATGGATGGTTATCATTAAAAGAAAGTAAACTTAAAAACATATCGTTTGTGGACCCACTTGGTGGGTCCGTTATGTGGGAAAATATATTCTTGAATCAGCACATTTGGGGGTTGGTTGCCATGGACGATAAAATGTCCTCAGCGGTGCTGTTTTCATTTCATAATTGCTTTCCTGGAAGCAACACCCAGTCCCTTTTATCTCAAGCATTAAAACACAGCCGCCAGGCGGGGAGGAAGCCCTCCAACGCGGATCAAACCGGCCATGTAAATGGGGACTCACATCAGCAGGGCCTTTTTGAGCTCCCACACAAACAAACCATTAATGAGCTGGTCCGAGTCTGCCGGCCTCACACTCAGCTCCCGTTGGCCAGGTGCTGGAAACCCAAGTCCATGTTGGTTTTCAGTGGGGGGGGGGCATTGAACTTGTGTAGCCGCAGCCGTTGGTAGTTTTTGAGATGAAATCTGATGACTGAGATGAATGAGGTCTTGATATTGACCAGGAGGTTGGTAAGCCCCTGGCCAGCCGGGTGGGGGCGAGGAAGGTTAAGAGTGGGATGTGTATGCTGAGAAGGCTGCCCCCGGGGGACGCCCGGCAGAGCAAAACACTGGCAGCAGCAGATGCAGTGAACCCTCGGCTGCTGCCAGTTCACTTCCTTTCTTTTTCTACTAGCTGGGATCTGTGCTGGTTAGTAACTCTGAATGCAACCCTCCTACGGGGGCTGTTGACTTTGAAGCACCAATTCCTCAGGGAGGACACGTCGGTCAGAACTGGAAGGCTGACGAGATCGAGGTTAAAGCTGGCGATGGTTGTGGATGTTTGCTGTCACGTATAAAGTGATGAACTGTGCTTCCACAAAAACATTCTTGAATGTCTGTCAAACACACGCCGCATAAGCTGCAATTACAGGCGCAGGCATGCAGATCTGAGCAACAAAGGCGGTTTGGGAAGCCAGATATTTATCTCCTGTTTCTGCCAATGTGATGTTGCATTTACGACTAAATGTGTATGGTTTTCGTTATTCATTCATAATATTAACATGTGTGTATCCCCTTTTCTTAGACCTTTCCACCATGGAGGAAAGGCTACAGAAGCGCGAGTACATCAAGCTGACAGAGTTTGTAGCCGACATGACCAAAATCTTTGACAACTGCCGCTACTACAACCCCAGTGACTCGCCCTTCTACCAGTGTGCCGAGGTTCTGGAGACCTTCTTTGTCCAGAAGCTCAAAGGGTTCAAAGCCAGCAGGTAAGAAGCCGACGGTGGGAGCTGATGAGGAAACGAAAAATCAAAAAGGCAGCCAGCGTTTTGAAAACAAATTGAAGCAGTGTTGCAGGCCTCTGGGTGACAGAATAATGTAATAATAGAGTAAGAGACAAATTCATTGGTAGTTCCAGCTGTACTGCTGTGGAGCCCACTCTGACCTCTGACCTCCTTGGAGCAATAAAACGTGTGTCAGATGCTTCCGGAGTTCATTGACCCTCTCTTTGATTTTCCTGGTCACTATCTTTCTTTAAACATCTAAATCATTTTTGTTTTTTCGCCCTCTTCATTTCGTGTCATGACTGAACGCGACAAAAAGCTTCTTCTGTCTCCAGAACAACTCTGCATAAAACACTGACCTGGTTAAATTCCCACAAATACTGTCATATTTGAAGAATTATACAACTTTAATGATAAAGTTGGTGGTTTGAGTCCTTCACAAGGACATTGGCATTTTTGTTGTTCGGTTTGGTTCCGATTGTGTCGTAAACTCCACTGCCACGCACGTCACTAACATTCAATATTTTGTATTATTTTAAAAGCCTGAGTTCTGAGCTCTGCGAGGGATGCACAATTTTCCCTACATGAGCCAATCATTTTTTCCCCTCCGACTATATGGGCTTTCACACTCTAACCCTCTACTTCAGTCGGCTCACTTTTTGTAACCCAAGAACAGTTTATTCACTGCTGAATCCGGGCCTTTCGACTCTAGAATAAGGACCAAAGCTCCCGGTCATCAAAATGATGACGTTTTTGACCTTGTTCTTCACGGCGTCAACGCTCTTCCTGCTCCGCAGTATGGAAGCAGCAAATCAGCAGCCAATCACTTCACCAACCATCTGGTTGTGCTTCTGAACTCACCTCACTGCATTGCTGTGGCTGCGTGGTGTGATTGCTTCAGGTGGATGCACACTACGGCGAAGCTCGTCTTCATGCCGTACTTGGGTCAGGTTATTTAACTAAAGAAGCGGTTGACCGCTTTAACTGGAGGTAGCGAGATCGAGACCAACATGGCGTTTCTATGAGCACCTCACCTCTGATGTCCAATTAGTTCACGACGTCTCGCCGTTTGCATCCAGCTGTGTGCCTGAAACTGTGATGTGCTTCGCCCGTGTGTATTTACACCATCCATTCCCTCTCTCCCTCTCTCTCTCTCTCTCTCTCTCTCTCTCTCTCTCTCTTGCAGATTGTGATGTCAAACTCCCGGGTGCCTGGGTCACTCTTAAGACAGACTAAACAATACATTTGCTATACCCGCTGACCTTGCTGTTTTTACTTGTTTAAAACAGCCTGTAGGACGTTAAAAGAAAGGGCAAATATTAAGTCACACTGTAGGTGTGGTCGTTTTTATTTTAGAAGCAAAGGAAAATAAAAATACATTTCTACTGTTTAGCAATGGCAGCCATGTTGGTAACACACAACATTCAAAGAAAAAAGTTATTTTCTTACTCTTCTTGCAACAGATGACTGATATTTTGTTTATTATTGAGACAAAATATGAAGTTTGTCGTTCCTTCTTCAGAATATTTTTTTTGAAAAATAATGAAAAAAGCTATTGATTTTGATTGTAAAATCTGACTTCAATTTTCCAAACACACACACACACACAGATATGGAACCTTTTAGTTTGACGGGACCTTTGTTTATCGGTCACAACATGCTGGAGCCGAACACTTTTACCTCAATTCTTACCCAAGAATTTTAAAGCATGCAACATGTATCAGTTCGTTTCTATTGGCTCTACCTTACTCTATGTGCATATTATCTCTTCTTGAAGGACTATTTTTATTTTCTAAAGGAAATAATGGTAGGATCTGTAAAGCCGGATTGGAGAAAGATATAGTTTAGCTTTCCTGTTCTAAATAGGACAGAGCTTGACAGTCTCCAGTCTAAAGGAAAGGTCCCTGTCCTTGTACATACACTGTTGAGCTGACATCACGTCGTACGTAACATCTCACCAACATGGCTGCTCGGTCTATGTCAAACTGTCTGACCCACTGGCATCCAATTCATGTTTTTGTTTTGTTATTTTTTGTATTTCCCCTAGTGCATATTTTTGTCATATTGTAAAGCTTTTAATAAAAAAAAGGAAACACCAAGAAGCTTTCCCAACTGTTTTCTTCCTCCTCTCTTTGCCCGTCTCTGTAGGTCTCATAACAACAAACTACAATCAGCCGCCTCTTAGCTCTTCCCCTAAAATACGAGTGTACAAAAAAAAAAACAAGCCTTGAGGTTTCCTCTGAATGAATTCGCGCTGTGGTCCGAGTCGGGCTGCGAACCCCTCCGAGCCCTCTCTGCAGGAGAGCACTGCTCCGTGCTGGAAACTAACCCGCTCTGGTGGCAAAGCGCCCGACGTCCAACCCCTCTGCAGAGCCGAGGTGCGAGAGAGAAAAGCCCCTTTTCATCCAAAGTGTCACTGGGACGGAACGGCAGAGAAGTCAGACCGGGGAGAAGTCAGACCGGAATTCCCCCCCCCCCCCCAGCGCCTCCCATTCCCGAGAAGAACGATCCAGATGGGAAACGCCGGCTGAGTCGATGGGTTGTAAGTGAGTTGTTACATCTGTAGCTGATTTTCTGTGTCCCATCGAGCAAAGTGTCAGCTTTGAGGTGCAAACTTCACTTCATCTTTTCCCATTTTGATGTCCCAAACATCCAATCGAAGCCTAGTCCCTGCCTCACATGGGGATGTTCATGAGGTCAAAAATAAAAATGTCCTCTGTGTGCGTCGTGTGGCGAAAAGGCAGGCGTCACACGCATGTACGCGACCGTAGAGTTGCTTCATCTCCCATTTACTGACTACGCCTGAAAGCAGCGTTTTATCGCTGCTGTACGAACAAATGTTGGTCTTCGTTCCCCACAAGAGGAAAAAGTGAAAAAGTGACCCCCCCCCCCCCCCGTTGACGCAAATCAGATTTCAGATCCTCCTTGTTCAGTGTCTTCCCCTCCGTGTTTCATACCAAACTCCATCTCATCCAGAATGAACGAGCCTCGTAGAGTCAAATTCAGTGGCTCATTTCACTGTTCGTGCCCTGATGCTGAGATTCTCCATTTTTAATAGAAGCTAGATTTCTGTGAGAATAGGGGAAAGAAATTGAATAATCAAGAGGTGGCTTAAAGCACGGCTGTAGACGTCGCTCACTGCAGTGATTCAAGGGGTTGGATGTTGATGGAAGGAAACACCCCAGGACAGGCCGTCCTTCCCACCACATCCTGCCGGCATTCTCACCATTTTACCACTTTTGTGTTTTTCTGAAACGAGGTAAATGTTGACGAGCTTTGTTTCTCCTTTAAGTTTGAATATTAGCCCTCCATTCTCTCACACACACACACACACACATACACACACAGTCTGTTCATAAGCTCTGATTCTGCCTCTCTCCTCTTATCTGTCAGACACTTCTTCCAACACATCTCCTTGAAGTTGACAGGTTGGCTCGCATGTGTCTCTCAACTCGCCCTCAAAGCAGGTTTAAGTAATTGGATAATGGACTTTTCCACTCAGCATCAACTCAGTTATGTTGCGGTCTGCGTTTGAGTGCCGACTGGCGAGTCTTTGTACCATGGGGTTTGTATGAACATTTTATATAGCGGCATTTTTATCATATTTGGGAAACCTTTTGTAATCTGATTATCAGTTTTGTAGGCGGGGGAGCAGTCATAAGACACCGTTGACGAGAACCGTTTAAAATGAGGCAAATGTTTTTGTTTGAATCAGGTTTTTTATGTGTATTCGCAGAGTTGAGAGATGATGTTGCTGCCGTCTTCTTTATCGTCTTCTGGGTCTTTCACACAAATGTCTGTTACTTTGTAATCTGATGAAGATGTGTTTCGTCCACTTTCTTTAATCTCTATTGTATATTATTGGCTGTCCAAATATGTTGAAATGAAAGAATTTCTCGAGCAGTAGAAAATTTTATTTTTCGGTCTTTGAACCAGAAACTAAACCCGTCTGTATATTCTGTGTACTTTTTCTCGTTAATTGAACTGAAATTGCCCTTTATATCTAAACTGCTGCATATTGTGAGCATACAGGTATCTAATGGGGTAGAGTGACACTTAACTCTTGTAAAGAGGTTTCCTTTTTTTTTTTTTGTAAGATACCAACCAGTTCCACATAAGTTCTATATTGACATTGCATTTCTTGTATTATTTATTCATATCAATGAAACGTGTTCAGTTTGAGGAAACATAACCGCGGATAAAGAATACTGTTTTTAACTGTTGCAACTCTGAAGAGATTCTCTTTTGTACTTGATAGGACATTTCATCCTAGATAATAAAGTAATGTTTTTGACACCAGTTCTCTCCCAAAGACTTGTTTTCTTTCATTGCCTTTGCTCATCACAGACACACTGTAAGGAAGTTTATCTTTCCTCAGTGTGTCCAAGACGGACCCTGCTGGGCTCTAAAAGGGATCACACTAACCCTGCTTGTGTTTCTGAATGAAATGTAGAGGTAGTGCTCCGAAATGAACAGCTGTGTCATGTAGTCAACAGCGATTTTGACAACTGAGTGATGCAGGGATGCTTTGCGAGGCACTTTGTAAAGAACATTTAAGGGGACAGGAAGGAAAATAAGGAGACCCATTACCTTTGGGACAATGTTGGGTGCGGCAGAAATAACATCTGTATTGTATCTGGGGTATTTAGCGTCACATTAGTCGTTTATATATATATATATAGACAATATTTACATGATGTGTTCTATAAAATTCATTGAAAAATAAACTAATTACTGTCTACAAGAGTGCAACAGAGGGGCTACCGCTTATTTGTTCCCCCGGGGCCTCCAATCCCCTTCTTAACTTGTGCCAATTATCTGGACCGGGTCACGACCTCCGACACACTCGTACAAACGCTTCCTGTGATGAAACTGCCAACATGACACACGAAAGGTCGCCCTTCCTCTCTCTCCTCTCACCCGCACCTCCCTCTCGTAACTCCCCAACCCAAACCGCTAAATGAATCCAGAGGCTTGTGTGGACGCTGCGAGCGCCGCAGATGTGGTTTCAATCCCCCCCCCCCCCCCCCCCTCTCTCTCACTCCCCCCTTGTGGCTCGGGGGCTATCACACAGGAAGCAACTGAGAGATTCCCACCTCCCTCTCCTCCCTCCTCCTCCTCCTTTATATCCTCTCCAAGGAGGAATGTCCTCCCGCTGCGACAGTAGCCAAGATGTGAAGCAGGCTCCTGTTTCCTGCCCGCCTGCATGTGTTCCCTCCAGCGCTGATCGCAGATAGAGGCTTCCTCCGGCCTGGGAACCGAGCGGCCGAGCTGACAGACGGGCGCGGGGAGAATAGAGGCTTAGCCCCGCCTGCCTCGACGTCCAAGTTCCCCCGGGTTGGTTTCTCCTCCCGGAGGCCAGACAGAGAACATGGTTGTTGCACTCTAATTAGAGTGACTTACTTTGGGGGCTCCTTCCCATGCAATCACTGGGAAAGATAACGGGGGACGATGTTTGGGTCAGTGGGCAGATGTATGTGATCGGAGCAGCGGTTCAACACAAATGAATTCTCCACAGGGTCGTTGAGTACAAAACCAGTACAGGTTTTCTTTTTTATTGGGTTCATGTAAGCAGTGTAAACGTTCAGTGCAAGTTTCCCCTTTCATGAGCTCAGGGTGGAACTACGATCAAGCAAGAAATGTCTGATTAAACAGGCTGTCCCTTTAGAAAGACGGACCCAACATGCCCCCTCCTGCTTGAATCCCCTCCCTGTTACGTAACCTTATTTACTTCTCCTCCACCTTCCCCTCGTCTTTCTTTTTCTCTCATCCTGTCAGTTCTGGGACTCCCGAGGGGACGACGTGTCCGTGTGTAAGCAAGAGAAACGAGGGCCGTCCCAAAGGGGAGCTGTTGCGGAGGCACTTCTACAAGTTGTGTGTCCAGGTGTGGAGAGGATCAGATTCCTGCGATTAGACTCATGGCCTCGTCCCTACAACAACACCCCCGCTCCGCATTCAGCAGGGCCCCTTCTGATGTCCCAGTCTGCATATTATATCGTGAGCACATAATTAAAGTTAGAAAAATAAGCCGTCCCGTCCCTCCTCCTCCACTGCGGTTTGTTGCCGCTTGTTCAAGCCTTCATTCGCTCCCTTTTGGTCCTTGTTACAATAATAGTGCATTTCCTGCCCCCCAACAACAACAACCACATTGGCAACACGCAGGGGATCGAGTGTTACTACACCAGTATTTTGGTGCCACGCAACATTTTGCATTCACATCAATGGAATCAAAGCAATCAACAGGTCTGAAATGTTGGATTTGTACAGTGCGATCCAGGTTTCCCGCAGAAAATGTACCGTGCAACTGTTAAACTGTAAATACGCTCAAATGTGTGCTTGGATAAGGATTACAGAGGCGGGATCGGACTCAGCAGGAACAATTGGCGCGCTAAGTATACATGAATAAAACAAACAAACCCACGTGACTTATGATTCAGTATGACATAATACACCCATTCTATGAACTAATAGCCCTGTGAAAGTGAGTCACTTTTATAATGTTTGAACGTGGGGGACTTCATGAACCAGCCATGAACGAATGAGGAGTTTACGAAATGACAGTGGGGACACCCTCATCTGAAACCCCAAACGTTACAAAACCATACTGCAAAATCCATTTAAATGAAGTGGCTTGTGTTTTCTATCAAAGAGAGCACCAGTCCATGCTCCAGGGACTTTACGGAGGAGTAAAAAATATTAAACCAGGGTTTGGATACGTCATGGCAGTCCGTTAGAAAAAAATTGATCCGTGCCTTCTGCAAAGTGTCTTCCATCTTGCACAATACTTAGTTGTGATCAGTTCAGGTGAGCTGCAGTGTCTCTTCCCCTGCAGCAGGAGGCGGAAGTCTTCTCTTCGGTTCACCTGCACTTGGAGCGCGTGGCCTCGAGGGCTTTCTGGTGCCTCCGCTTGTTGAATCTCTCGACGTAGTTGTTGCTTCGCAGGAGGCCGTCTCCGGGCTTCAGTTTACCCCCCAATAGGTTGAGGAGGTCACTGGGAAGGTGGCGCCTCCGGTGGTAGATCTGGGCCCATCATAATGTATCGGGTTCCTTGGGAACAAACGAGGTCAGTTTTGAAATGATTGGGACGATTTGTCTTGTGAATGAATAACAATAACGCTTCGCTCACCGAGCTTGATGTCGGGGCACGGCTTGCTGCACTTGAAGGTGTCCAGGACCAGGAGGCGAACTTTGAAGAAGAAGCTGTCTGGGGTCACATACAGTCGACTCATCTTGTAGAAGCCGTCACTGCTCACCATCAGTGTAACGATGCGTATTCCATTACGCAACACGTCGATGTCGTAAACAATCCCGTTAACAGCTGTTGAAGAGACATGAAAAGAACACGACACATCGACATCAGCCCTGCATTCAGAATGTGCACAGGTCCGCAGGGCCGCTTGACATCTTGGGAAATAGACTTTAATGCCCAGAGTGAGATGAGAAGATTGATACCACTTATATTTATTTGCTCAGTAAATCTGAAGGGTTAGAGGGGGGGGTCAGTTAGCTTAGCTTAGCACAATGACTGAAAATGGGGAAACGGCTAGCCTGTCTCTGTCCAACAGTAACAAAATGATATTATACAAACAGTGTGTAACATGTTAGTTGATCTGTGAACTTTATAAACGCTGGAAGTCAATGTTATATTTGGACGGCAGCAGGCCGGCTGTTTCCCCGTTTGCAGTCTTCTTGCTGTGCTAAGCTAACCAGCTGCTTGTTGCTTCATATTTATTGTGCAGGCCTTATATTATTACATTATAAATGTCCAACTATTCCTTTAAACTTTAACCTATGGTCTCAACAAAATAACGTTTAGCTGCCACATATATTGCCTACATACAGTAGTTTATTATCCCAAATCTCTTTCTAAGCAGTAGACCGTGATCAGTTAGTTAATATCTACCTCAATAAAGCCTGGGATGTGTTCAAAATGTTCAGGCATGTTAATTATTTGACCTTTATGGACTTTCGTAAGCTATTCCAACATTTGGGATCAAAACACCATCTTTGTCTTTGGTTGGGTACGTACCAAACTCACTGTAGCAGTAATACTCTCTCTCCTCCTTCTCCTTCCTGCAATCGCTCATGCAGAAGGCCTCGTGTGTGAAGTCGGACTCTGCGGAGGAGAAGACAAGCAGGCGACAGGATGAAGGGATGAGAAAGAAAGAGACGGTCTGCTGCCAGACGCTCATTCCGCCGTCATTAGAAAAGAACAAGGTTGTCATTACAAAACCCAGGCGTTGCATTCCTCCACATGGGACTGGAGGAGATGGTGTGTGTGTGTGTGTGTGTGTGTGTGAGATTGTGTGTGAGACACACATTTTCTATCTCAATCTCAGGACCGTCTCACTGGCTTTGCAACGGTGGTCGGGTTCAAACCATCACTCTGTGATAGACGTCTGTGGAGTCCAGTGTACATGATATCGTTCCATGACTCACTCTTTTCTGCAAAGTTGAATGTGTGTTTCTTTCCACCGTGACAGGGACAGCTTGTTAAACCTATACAAGCCACCCGGATGCATTAAAAAATGTGGCTTTTGAACCCTTTTTGAGATGAAATGTTGAGATAAACCTATTTTAATTTTGCAGGAGATACTTTACATCACAAAAGATTAAAGGGAACGTGTCCTGCTAATTATCAGGTTCATGCTTCTATTCTGGGTTTCCATTAGAACGCGTATGGATGTTGTATCTAATGTGTTGTATATCATTTCAATCTTTGGAAATATTCTGAAAAGGGGAGTTTGGAAAATGTACAATCAAAGTACATACAAAGTAACAATCAAAGATGCTGCTGCATAAGTGGGCCACACATAAGGACCCAACCAATCCTCCCGTACCTCGCCTCAAGATGTCAAACTGGTAAAGCAGGCTGGAGGAGCGCCGGTTGAGGACCACCGGCGGGCGGCTGTTGTTCCGGGTCGCTGCACCAATACCCGACTGATAGAGTCTGGACTTCCCCGGCCGGTTCTCCTCTTGGTCCAGTCGTCGGTTGGGGGTATCTCTGCGCGGCGAGGGGGCCGGTTGGTGCGGCTGAGGCTGAGCGAGGGCCGGACCCCTGGGTCTGGAGTTGGGGTGTCCGTCCGTGCTGTTGGACTGGGTCTCCTGGTTGGTCCGCTGCACGGTGCGGTTGGTGACGGCGGCCGTGGCTCCGGTCAGCGGGGTTTTGGGGAGCAGCCAGGCAACTTCTCCTCGGGTTTTCTCGCTGTTGTGCTCCAGCAGACGGTCACTCTTGGGGCCCTTTTTGCTCTTGTTGTGGAGGCCGTGGTGGCGAGGGATGGGGGCCAGGTCACTGTGCTTTGGCCAGACGGCAGAGGGAAGAGGGTGCAGGCTGAACTTGGACTCGCCGGTCTTGCTGCTCTTCTCCAGGAGCTCATTAATGGGCAGAGAGGGCTCTTTGACCAAACCCCAGCTCTGGTTGTTTGGAGCCGGATCCACAAAGATGGGTTGACCCTTTTCTACCAGAGTGTACAGCTCTGGGTTGACCACAAACGAAAAAGTTGTATTTCAGTTAGACATTTCCTTCCATTTGATGTGGTGTGTAATTGTGACATCAAAGCCACTGCTTCTACAATAAGACACACAAATGGATTCATCTTACTTACATGAGGACATTTATTCAGATGAATTAATGAAGTGGGACAAAGTTTAGAGTACAACTGGAGGTTTATCGGGAACTTTGATCGTGAGAACTGCCTCTAGAGTATGACACTGATTGATCTGAGCATAATTGCGTCGTAGATCTCTCACTTGATAAGAATCTACAGCTCAGATATTAGATTTTATAATGAAACCCAATCCATCAAAGTAATGAAATGCGACCAGCTCCTCTAGATCACATATTTGTATTGGAAATTGAAAATCATTGGATTATTGGGGACAAAACATTTGTGATGTTTCACCTTGTAGTTTTATATATATAATTTTAAAAAGAATTCAACATAATACCGATGAAAGGGGCATTGTGTTGGTATAATCCAAACCCAAGGATTGCCTCGGTGTTGAACAGTAAATAGTGAAATAAATACATCTCAACAGACCATGTTGCAGGGAAAGTACTAGTAGGAAAAATAGCCCCCTTTAGAAGACGGCTACATGGTAAACAACAAGTTAGTGGGTAAAAGTAAAGAAAATCTGTAGCACATAAAAATGCACAACAAATGACTGGGTAAAAAGAAAACGTACACTTACCATTGATACCATGCTCCTCCGTCTTGTCGAGAGGAAACCCTAGAAACAAGAGAAACAGAATAATCCCCATCATCCTTCCTAGATGTTCAGTGTGGACACACTTCTGCTGCAGAGACGGAATTCCTGAGATTTTATACGAGCGGTTTAGAAATGACATGCGATGGGACGGAGAAGGAGACGGTGGGACGTCCCTAAAACACAAGTAAACACGTTGACATGACACTCCTTTCATTCATGAATGGATTACAGAATCTAGGCCACGGCTGTTTACCAGATGGAAAAATACGGTTCTGTGTACTTATTCTCTTTTGCTCAACAAGTAATATTTACGTAAAAGCGAACTGAGATTCTCTTTCTTATGTGCAAATAATGAACATCTTCTTCCTTCCCTTTTTTTAGACAAATAGCTGAAAAAATATGATACACAGTCAACTTTGGGATAAATGATTCCAGCAACTTCTCGAGTAACTTTAGTGCACCTTGATGCGAGGTAGCGCTTTTACCTTTGGGCCGCCTGGGTGGACTAAATTTAAACGAGGCTCGACTGCCCTCTGGTGGCTGCAATCAGACACTGCGACCCATCAATCGATTAGATTAAATCGGATAAGATCACACAGTAAATAAGTCATATTGTTCTCTAGTGGTAAAGGGTTTATATTTATTGCTCGATAAAGAACATATATTGAACACGGCAATATATCACAGGTCTATAGTGGATAGGTCCGTGTACGTTTTGATAGTCATTGCAACAGACTAGCTGCTCTTTAGCATGTTGGACACACCAGCATGACACTGTTACAGAAAATGTATTTGCCGCCAAATAACACTGGTCTACTGAAGCCTGTTTTGGGAGGAGGGTTTTAAAACTGAAAACTGTGACCATGAACTGAGATAAACATGTCCCTCAATATGTAGATAAGATTGCAGTTTAATGACACTGGAATGTAATTTAGTAGAAGAAAGGAATGTTTGGACAGGTTGTCTCCAGTGGCACAACAACTGAGCACAACATGCCAACAGGGAAACATGGTGGTCATGGCATCATTTCACATTCTAGATTTGACCTATTTACAAGAAAGAGATAAATATAACAAGTGCTGACAATGTCTTCTTGTAACACCAATCAAGCATTTCAGTCCATCTAGAAAAATTGTGGCAATTTATTGACGCCACTGTCCAGCAGTACAATAACATCTGTAAAGCACATTCCATCTCTATGGCTTCCTAATCTGAGCACTTTGTTGCTGGCAAAGTGTGATGCTGGTGTTAGTGAGTCCACCTCTTGTTGTTACCACTTTGCGGCTACTGATGCCTCCGGCTTCGCTGGCTCAGTAACTACTACTACTCGTCCTTAAATAAGAATTGAATGTTTAACAATAATATTGGAAAAAATGTCTTGGTGCAATCGAGAAGCTGCCCTAAAATCTGTCTTTGAGGTGCAACTAACATGGACACAATCAATGATAACTTAAGGCTTCTTTTTTTCAAAATAGTAAGAAATCTGACGGCAATAAAACTAGTAATTTTCTTTGGAACACAGATCAACGTTAGATCTTCTCATCCTTTGACCTCTTCGGTTTACATTCAGGATTGAAGTGGGACAAATAATGATTACATACAAAGAAACCAAAAGTCCAGCATTAAATACATCTGTAATAACCTACATAAATAACTTAAACACAGTTAAATATAATTAAATTGTATTTGGGTAAGGAGGTGGGAAGAGGTCAGGTTCGCACCGCAACTGCCAAAGTAGAGGCTATCACACGCTCTCCTGCCCCTGCTACTCGGCGTGAATTGCGCAGGTTTTTGGGGTATTAAATGGTTCTTTGACATATTAAAATGTTCTTAATTCATGTTGTTATTATAAATAATATCATGTACAGTGTTTTCCCTACCATTACATCTGCGCCCCAACGCACACGCCCCCCTCCGGTACGTCCGCCCCCCCATAGTTGTGAACCTAGGGGAAACACTGATATGACATAATATAGTAGAACTAATATAGGACTATATATATATAATTATACATTTTGAAGAATTTACATTTGCCTGAGCACCTCTGTTACCCATTTAAAACTGGCTAATATGTATTGTATATGTATATGTAAACAAAAGGTCCTTGCTCTGACTACTTTGGTAGTTTGGCAGCCTCTTCCATATAGCTACAGGTCCGTGTACCTTTTGATAGTCCCTTTTACCGTAAAACCTAGAAAACGCGTTGACTCTTACTATGAAAATCTGCGTACTTCCGGTTTAGCGGCTCCGCTTCGTATTTTCGTTTCATGGGCAAAGCCCAAAAGGGATTAAGGGAGTAAAAAGTTGAGTTTGTCTCGTTCTTTGGTTCTAAACGAAAAACGAGTGTTTTCGTTTTCTGGTTTTTACGGTAAAAGGGACTATCAAAACGTACACGGACATACCTCTCGTAAACATTCTTCGTTTTAATAACAGCGGTATTGGGCTATGAAAACGGAAATGTGAGACTCCGTAAAGGATATAGTTAGCAGACCAATCGCAGCCTTGTACGCTGCGGGAGGCTTGCGTCGCTTTCGATGTGTCGACACACGCAAGCACGCAAGGAGGTGTGAAAAGGCACGCAAGGGACACGCAAGGGGGTCTTGCTCTGCGTCGCTCTGAACGCAGAAGCATAAACTGGGCTTTAGACCGTTAGTGCGTGCATGTATGTATTTGTCCTTGTGTTCGAACTAGATAAAATACAAAAACAGTGGGTTTGAGTGAGTAGAATCACTCATATACTTAATTTGTCATTTAGCACGGATTTATTCATAAACACCGAAAAGGAGCTAAATACGACCCAGATGGGACTCGAACCCACAATCCCCAGCTCCGGAGGCTGATGCCTTATCCATTAGGCCACTGGGTCAATACGTAACCAGAGGTGGGAAACAAAGAATATAAAAAGCAGTTTATAAAAACATATTAAATTGAATTGTACATTGCTGTCTACAGTAAATGACACTCACGGTCCAATTTGTATTTCGGGGATAGCTATAATGGGCCGCAATTAAATACAACCAATACACAACGATGTTTTACAAATATGTAAAACATCTTAAAACAACATATTATCTCGCGATACCGACAGCGGTTGCCTTTGACAACGTCTTTGTTTTTTTAAGCGTCTCTTCTTTTTTTCACCGTGAGCAGCTTATGAGCGTCGGACCAATCAAAACTCAGAAAAATAGGGTGGTATATAAATGACGTCATGTCAGTTTCAAAAATACAAGAAACCTAAGGTAAGGACGTCGCACATGCTGTTGGCGACATACTCGTTTCTAATTAACTGTATATGTACATTACTAGTTGGAGTTGTTTCTTATACTAGTGGTGTGTTATCGGTTATCAGCGGGCTTTGAGGTCTATAACGTTACCAGGCAGACTCCGTGTGCGCGAGCCACATGGTGTTAGATAACCGGCTTGGCCTCAACTCAAGCAGCCAGTTAAATGCTAGCCTAGCTAGTTAACCGCCTAGCTAACGTTAGCTAACGCAGAGGAAGGGCGCGAAAACAATCGTTGGTACAAACGGTCACTTTTCTCAACGTTTATCATCTTTTAACAGGGTCTTTAAAATCCTATTGGAACCGATCGTCCTCTTCAACGGGCAGCAATGTCAGCCAGCAACGACGACGGCGATTATCGTCTCGGCCAGTTCAAAAACAAAGCGAAAAGGGTCAATGTAAGTTCCTCCAGTAACAGTCGACCGTGTTCCATTAATCGTGGGCTCCGGGGACAGCTCATCGTGACAAATGGCTCATGATTTAATGTTGCTCGACTTCTTCTAGTGATGTGTCGTTCGTGAACGATTCGATGAACGTTCATTTTACTGAACGAAATTCAAAGAACCGAGTCGGTAAAATGGTCGGTAATATCTTACACCCCACGAACTTCCCATCGCTAACTTCTTCAGGAGATGAGACGAAGACGAGCGGAAGTCAATGTGCAGTTACGGAAAGCAAAGAAGGATGATCACATCCTAAAGAAGAGAAACGTCCAGAGCCTCCTGGATGAGCCCACCTCTCCTCTCCAAGAGAAAGGTCCCAACGCACAGGTAGACCGCAGCCCACCTTTGTCTGTTCCACCGCCCCTTTCATTTACCGGCTCTGGCTGGGAAGAGGGAACCGGACGCCAGTAACACAACACAACTTCCATCTGTCACATTTGACTGTGTAACTTAGCTTAGCTTAGCTCCCCGTCCATGAGATGCAACAGCCTCCATGCCTAATGGTACCCTCAGAGAAGAAGTTAGTTTTACCATAAACGCTGCAAATGATGACTGTGTGAAGCCTTTTCCCTTGATGTAAAATAGTTGAATCACCCTGTTGATTTAGGAGGACCCACCGTGTATCCTTTTTTGATTACAGCCCTGTCACCACCAAATAGTCTCAACAACCAGCGTTGGCTCCACATCTTTGTTACGGTTGAACTGCTATGTCTTGATCCTGTAAGCCTGGCCTAGACCTGTACCACGCATGCTCCAGTTCGGTGTCCTGGGCCGATAGATAACCGGCTTCTTCTCTTCTTTCTTTGGCCTTCCCAGCACTGGTCTCTGGAAGAGATTGTAGGAGGAGTAAACAGCCAGAATCTAGATGTTCAGCTGCAGGCCACACAGGCAGCCAGGTACAATCCCAGGGTTCCCGCGGGCCCTTAAAAAGTCTTAATGTCTTAAATTAAAATTCATTAAAATTTAAGGTCTTAAATTGTCTTAAATTTCACGTAAAGTTGCTGTATGTATTAATTTTTTTGCCGGTGCGCTTAATGACGACGAGAAAGCACAGTGGCGCATCGTAAAACATCTACTAGTTGATTAATTTAGTATTTTGTAAATTGAATAGATGTTTACGGTACGTCGACTACAGAGGCTGACGTCAGGCTGCGTGTCGCCATTACGTGGTTGTCGATGTGAGGTTGAAAATGCAAAGAAGATGGGGAAGTGCAAATTTTGCAAACTTCTTCTCTGAGGGTACCGTTAGGCACCCTCAGAGAAGAAGTTAGTACTGTGGGTTCTCTATACTGTGACGAGGCACAATTTATTTAAATCTAATGATGCCATACGTGGCGTCTTTGCTGCCATATTCCCCGATTCGCAATGCATTGTGTTGTTTAGTGTAATCCAAATTTATCTATGTTATGTTGGCTCTGTTCTGCATCACAAAGTAATTACTTTGATTGTTTACATCTATATTGGCCAAACCGTGTTGGAAGGGTTATTGTCAGTTATTATACTGTCTCCTAATTTGAAAAAAAGTTTTGATTTCAATTGTAGGAGGCAATAAATTGCGTATTCCAAAGAAATTGTGACATTTTTGGGTCTTAAATTATATATGTTGAGGTCTTAAAAAGGTCTTAAAAAGCATTACATTTTACTTTTTAAATGGTGCAAGAACCCTGAATCCCTTCAAAGAACTTCTAACCGACCAGTTTTTACATGATACTATATTGTGCAATGCTAACCATGACACTTTCTGACTAAAGATAGAAAAACATGATAACGTGAAGACATTTTTGGATGTGAGCTGCAAACAGACTGGTTTTAGATTTCCTGCAGCCATATAGCGGCATTTCTAAATACTTGTTTCTCTTGTTGGTTTTGAGTTGAAAGTCAATTTGTTCCCAAACATGTTCAACAGGCAACCATCAGTTATAACTAACATTTAAACAAAGGCAAAAGTTCCTTTGCTGTTGTCAACTCCCCACCGTCTCTTTGTCCTGGTGCACAGGATGCTCATCTCAAGAGAATCTTATCCAACGATTGACTGCATCATTGCTGCCAACCTTATCCCGAGGTTGGTCAGTTTTCTGGCTCTATCGGAGTTCCCCCCCATCCAATTTGAGGCCGCTTGGACCCTGAACAACATCGCCTCATGTACCTCAGCGCAGACCTCCGCCGTAGTGGAGGGTGGGGCCATCCCGGCATTCATCAGTCTGGTGGCGTCACCACACCCGCACATCAGCGAGCAGGGCATTTGGGCCCTGGGTAACATCGCAGGTACTGTTTATTTGCAGAGATAGGTGTGATGTGAGGAACAATTGTTGAAATTGTGTGAAGCTATAATTGCCTTTTTGTCTAAAGAGGTTTTCACGGGCTTTTGAATTTAATGTAAAAGTTTTGTGCCTAAATGTTTTGTTTTTTGACATGGTGATTCACGCAGGACAGGAAGGAACCAATGATCTATCACAATAGCCTTACTTAAACATTAAACACATGTACTTAAACATCATAATGAAAAGCTGCCTCTACATATTCTGGTAGTTGGAGAACAACCTTTCCCCGCTCACATCTAGGTGATGGACCCAACTTCAGAGACCTTGTGATCAATCACGGTGGTCTCAATCCACTCCTGGCCTTGCTGGCTGTCCCCGACCTTAACATGGTCCCTGTGAGTTTCATTCAAAATGATTTAAAGAGGCTTTTTGAATTACATGGCGCTGTGGCCCTGCAAAGAACTCATTATCCACAGTCTGAAAAGAAAGCTGAGATGCAAGGCTGGACTTGTAGTTGAGAGACCCATGTGTCACAAGTAGCCACTTTAACAAGCTAATTTTGCACCAATTCAAAGTTAAATCATTGACAAACAATAGCCGATTGGTTCCCGAGGTGCATTCTGGTCGATGCAATCTGCCTCATTTGCTCTGCTCATGGCCGCTTTATCGGTTATCAAGCAAAACCCGGCAATATATACAAAAAAAAACAACAGGGTAAAATCTACTTCTATTCCACTTGCAGGTGATTCATGTAAATATGTACAGCTATACGCTGACTTTCTTTACATGTGCACACCAATTATCAGAATATTTTTTGAATGAGATAGTATGTGCTGGTTAACTATTTATACAAAGTAATCGTGTACTGCGAAATTATGATATCTGATTCTCTGCAAAGAGCATATTGAATTATCACCCGGCCCCATTTGGCAATCGTTCTGTTCACAGTCGTTTCATAAACGTATTCCCAGTATCTGTTAACCTGACAACTATCACAGTTATGAAACCATGATGTTGTCAAATAACACCGTTCCTAATGCACCTTCCTAGTCTTGCGTCGCCTGGACGCTGTCCAACTTGTGTCAGAACAAGAACCCGGGTCCTCCTCTGACGGCGGTGCAGCAGCTGCTTCCGGCCCTGGTGCGCCTCCTGCAACACAACGACCGGGAGATTCTGGAGAACATCTGCTGGGCCGTGTCCGACCTGACTGACTCGTCCAATGAGAGGATCGGGTTGGTGGTGCAAGCCGGCCTGGTGCCCCTCCTGGTACCGCTGCTCGCCTGTGGGGAGCTCTCCATCGTGGTATGTGTGTTGTCCCACAGAAGAAGCTGCTCCGTTAAAAGTCCGATTCTGAATTCATGGCGGCGTTTGGCAAAGGTGAAACATAGTTAGGATCCAGCTCATTTTACGGTCACATATACCATCGCTCTTCAAGTTGGTCACAGGCCACAGAAACCCCCTTTTATGTGTATATTTTACCTTTACCTTGAAGCTGAAGAAAACAACTTTCTGTATGTCATATTTTTTTCAAACTTCAAGCATTTTTTTCACTCCTGTGGTGTGTTTGCTGAGTTTAGGACTGATTTTGGGGCACATGTGCACCATTAAGTGAAAATCAAGTTAAGTCTGCTTTTGCATGCAGCTGCATTTTGCATTAACACTGATATTCTGGAAACATTGGAGCAAATGTCTTTTTTTTGTACTTTGTTTTGTTGCGTTTTTATTTTTATATGGACTTGTGTGTCTGGAAATAGTTGAACATTCCTCCTATGTATCGTTCTGAAATCGTGAACACTACAGATAATTGACTTGCTCTCTCTGCCCTCCCAGACTCCGGTCCTGCACTCACTTGGGAACATTGTGACTGGGACAGACGAGCAGACGCAGTGTGTACTGAATGCAGGCGCTCTGGCGATGTTCCCCAGCCTGCTGCGTCACCAGAAGCCCAATATCCAGAAGGAAGCCGTCTGGACAGTGTCCAATATCACTGCTGGCAAAGACACCCAGATCCAAGAGGTTATCAATGCTGGCCTGATGCCAATCCTTGTGGACATCCTACATCAGGTCAGTAGACAAGGTCGCAATATGCCAAAGCTGATTATGTACCAATTCTATTTCCCTCAAAAGGTAGTAAGTGAAATAGACTTAAAGGACCCATCGTATGCCCATTTTTCCACAAGTTGATATGGTTCCTTGGGGTCTCAATGAAATGTTTCTAACATATTTTGGTCAAAATACCACAAGAATCATTTCAAACCGCACCCTTTTTACCCTGTCAAAACACCTCCCCACAGATTGACCTGTTTTGAGTGCCTGTTCCTTTAAATGCTAATGAGTCAGCTCCCCCCTCTCCTCCCCCCTCCACGAGATTCGCTCCCCTAGCTGCTGCCTGCCCAGTGGTGGTGGGGGGCGGTCCAAGGCCACTCCCTACATGGACGTGCTTTAAAATCTACGTAGACGTTGGTGGTGATCCCAATGGACACACTCAAGCATATTGTTTCTGACACCACAACACAACACAACACCACAACAAGCCGCGTGAGTTGTTTTTTTCCAGCGTTTTAGTGTTGGGAGACGCAGATACCCAAATGAACGTATAGAAGCACAAAAAAAGTGGAATTTTCATAATATGCCCCCAGTCCCCAATACAACTGAATAACGACACAGTACGGCACTTTTTAACTCTTAACTAGTTATCTTTGAGTCTCAGTCACCCCGAGTAAAACAAACAAAAATAACTAGTTCATATAATTCCAGGTAAGAATAAAGAAACTGGACTAACTAGCAATCTAGATAGGCCAACAACAGCAGATGCAAATGCTCTCCTGTTACTTGCTTGTTCTCATAGTTCACGTGTGGAAAGCCACAGTGCAGCCCCGTGGCTCCAACTTCTGAGTTAAAAATAAGATTTGACCTGAGTAGCACAGCCCCTCGTCTTCTCCCCAACCTGCTGTGGATTATGCATGTTCATTATTTTACTCCTGTAGTATATCTTCAGTGTCTCTACTAGTTAAACATGACATGTATGTTTTTAGGGAGACTACAATACTCAGACGGAGGCTGTGTGGGCTGTCACCAACTACACCAGTGGTGGGACAGTGGAGCAAGTGGCCTTCCTGGTCCAGTGCGAGGTGCTGGCGCCTCTGCTCAACCTGCTGAAAGCCAAAGACAGCAAAATCCTCTTGCTCATCCTGGATGCCATCTGCAATATTCTACAGGTATATTGTCTAAAGCCTGTTGCAATGTTTGCATTGTAGTTGCTTAAGGCAAGCTTGTTCGTGTAGTTAAATCTGAATGCTGACCTCTGAGGCTCACTGTACAGCCTGTCCATTATTTATCTTGGTGTTGATGAAAGTCTAAATGCACCCAATTCATACTTTATTACGTTATTGGTAATGTATCACATTGTACACAGTATCATTGTGTAACAATTAAGCCGTAAAGGTGCTAAACCACAGTAAACCACTCCTAGACATATTTTATAAGACGTATGTCAAAGCAAAAAATATGTCTGACATGATATGGTCTTCAAGAAGACACCTTTTGGATCCAACTTCAGGAGTTTGTTCTTCACAATGATCATATTTACAGATTGCGTGTGCATTGACACTTAAACTGTAGCACTTTATTGAGAGTAAATTAGATCAAATTGTGCAAATTGGCAAGTCAAGGAAAAGGCACCAAACTTTAAACCAGCCAGTTGAGCAAAGCAAAGAGTAGATTGAGTAAAGTACTGGCCAGAACTGCAAGAAAAAGAACTTAAGAGAAATATGCTTTTAAAATTACACTTACATATTCTTCTGGCAGCAGACATTTCTTTTAGGTCTTGATTAAAGAGATTAAAAATGTGGCTCTTTGAGATTAATAACCCGGAAGATCTACCGAATTGAATCTGCCACACAATAGCCTGAATGATGCGGATGGATTCTTGACAGTCACAGATTAAAGTGGATGACCACAGCAAAGGAACGATTCGTCTTACAGGTTTAATTTCTCTACAGAGAGCACACAAAGCGGGTGAGATTGACAAACTCTGCATAATGATTGACGAGTTGAATGGTTTGGACATGATCAAGGCACTTCAGTTCCATGTCAACGAAGCTGTCCACAAGTCCTCTCTAAACATCATGGACAGATTCTTCTTTGAAGAGGTAAGTTTTACTGCTTAACAGGGATCTATACAGAAGAGCCAAGTAGAGAGTTCTTCTGCATCTGTTGTACTCTGCTGAATTTGCCAAGTCTGTTGAGGAATAACAGTCAATTGGATAGTTATCTTTTTTTGAGATGCTATCCACTCTCTTCAACACATACATGGTAATAATATAGACTCGCTGAGGAAGCATGACTAGGTCGTTGATTATCACATTGCCTGCAGAGGCAATATTCGCCTTAAAGATTACCAATATTGAATGGTTGCCTCCCTACTGGAAGAGAACGATCATTTGTTTCCTCTTTGCTGCTGAGCAAAGAGGAACAGGAGGTGGATGTTAATGTTGTTCATGTGTGACCGTGCATGTATTCACAATGGTCATGGGAGATCTGGCAGAGTGGAAAACTATACGTAACCAACTTGACAAAGAAATATGTGGTACAAAAATGAAGTAGCCTGTGCTTAAAGCTATCTGATCTGTCTTGAATACTTCTAACAAAATTGAATATTTCTAACATTAGAGCATTTCTCAGCTGACAGAAATGGTCCCAATCCATAGAATCTATTTTAAACCGTTAAATGATTCTAAAAACATGCTAAGGCTTGCTAAGAATCCTGTGATGCCTTTTGTCAGCCTGTCTTCCAGAATGAAGCTGATGAGTCTATGGTTCCTGACGCTACTTCAGACAACTTTTTCTCCCAGGTCTCCATGGACCAAAGCACTTTCAAGTTTTAGCATAGCCAGCACACTCTTTATACCTAAAATGTCTGTTGATATTTTTATATTCTTTTGGAATTTAATCCTTGTATGTGACAATACAAGGACTAAATTTCAAATGAGTATTTGTAAATAAATGTTACTCCTGCACAAGTTACTTTTCTTTATGGATGTTTCAGAAATAAACAACCTTTGCACATGGTATTGCCCCTCATTTTTTGCTGGAAAGATTTATGAAGGGGGCGAGATCTTATACATGAATTCTTACACGACCCAAGGAACCAGGCTTGAATCTATGTCCATGTCACCACTAGGTGACACTGTGGTTATTTGTTATACTTGTGAGCCTACATGCTTTACGTGCCCTATTGTGTTTATAGTACATTGCACCCAATTTTGAATGAAATCGATATTTTAGTCCTGAACATATTACTCTAAACTATATGGCCATTTTAGCTTTTATATAGTTAACCAGACCGAGAAGACCAAAAGTCAAAGTAACTTCCTTCACTGTATAGACTGCATCCCCTGTAGCTACCTCCAAGTAGAAATTACATTATGTTCATTGGTTTAATATGGAAGACCCCTGTGATATTTGTTGGAATGCATTAAGCATTCCAAGTACTGTTCTTCTATTCTTTATTCCGCCATCATCTTCTATTTCTTCCGTCGCACCTTTCAACTCCTTCACACTTTCAGCTATTAAGTGTGGGAATCTCTTGGCACCTCACGATTCGATTCCGATTCAGAGGTCAACGATTTGATTCTAAACTGATAAAACAATTATCGATGCATCTCGATTTTCAAAATGTTCTCAAATCTGAGTTTGCTACTCAGATGTTGCTAATCACTTCCTACTTTATTTGATAATTAAAGAAAATCAACAGATTAATTACCTTCTCTATAAGAGAAAAAAAAATCTGTCACAAATATGATTTTCTATCAACAATGCAAGAACCAATGCAGCTTGCATTTCAACACAATATGGAAGTAGCCTATGTAAAAAAGCTATAAAAAAAAATAAACAGATTCATTTTTCTTTTAAATGAAGAAAAAGCTGCTCTTACTGGAAAAAAGTCCAAATCTGTGAATATCTTGCCAACTTTCAATACGGATCGACTTTTTGGAAAATCGAAATAATGAGGTAAGATATTGTTGTGGAATATTTCAATAAAAGCTCGGTAGAAGAGAATGATTTGTCTGATAAAACAGTCTTGATGAATGATCAAAGTTGCAAAAAGTCCATTTATTGCTTGCAAGCAGGAGGTCAAATACACAGGCACGTATCACAGTGCTCTGTGGAAATGGCGTCTCCGAGCACTAAAGACGCTGAGTTTTTATACACATGTGAAGAACATTCTCCGTGCCAGCTACGAGAAGCTGCAAAGCAGGTTGAGATAAGAACCCAGGTGAAGCTGAGGGTAGCACACACACACAAGATCCTCCTCAGTGGCCGCTGCAAATCATTATTACTTGACATGAAAGTAAAACTTGGATCCAGAACTTTCGTACAGAATAAGACCAACCAAGGCCATGAAGAGGAATCCTTTGTTTTGAAGCTTCTATGAGATCGATCTGACCGTCGTCCCTTCTCAGGGCACAGCTGCAAACTAACATTTTGTATCATGCTGCTCTTTGCACATCAGGGTCAAATACAGGTCACTTGAGACACGGCTTTAGCACAAAACAATGTTATAACATATTTTTACCATTACATTCCACTCTTTTGATTATTCTTTAATCACACATAATATTGCAAAAAATATATGTTTTTGTGAGACCATGTCTTGTGTTTAGCAAGCAAATGTAAACCACTCTTTAGATAGCTGATTACAAAATCACAAAAAGATTCTTAAATAATGAAACTGAAGCAAGCAATAATATGAATAAAACCGTAGTGACACAAATGACTACTGTGTCTATGTGGAGGGGTCCTAGCTGTGTTCTTCTTGTGTTGGTCTGCAGGTACACGTTGGGATGTGGAGTCTGCCAACCTTCTGTCTTGTGAGGCATCCGCGTTGTAGACAGTCAACACAGATCACAATGCACTGTGTGTCTGTCGGTCAACTGCCCGTCCGTGGTCACTGGATCGGTGGTGTCGGTTGATTGACACTTGTTGTGGGGGTAGGGTCGTCGTATGTTAGACAGAGCAGAAGACAGTTGTGCACAATATTTTAACATTTCATGTTCGCATAATGCGGTTGAAGGGAGTGGTGCCGTCAGTGCCTCGGTTCCTACGTGAGGAGGAAAACCAAACAATATCTCGAAGGGACTCAGGTAGCTTTGTGTTCGTTTTCTCATGCGCATGTACATCAACACTAGAGGCAGGGCTTTTGTCCAGCGCAGACCTGTGTCTGCACAGCATTTTGCCAATTTGGTTTTGAGTGTGCCATTTTCTCGTTCCACAGCCCCTCCACTGGCTGGATGGTATGCGCAGTGTGGTTTTAAATCAATACCCAGGTATGCGCTTAATTCTGTAATGGCCTGGTTGACCAAATGAGAACCATTGTCACTTGATATTTTAGAAGGAATGCCCCATCGAGGAATGATTTCAGAAATTAGGGCCTTGGCTACTGTTGTAGCGGTTTGTTTGCTTGATGGAAAAACCTCCACCCACTTGGAAAACATGTCCACCATCACTTGACAGTGTTTCTTACCTTGTGATGGAGACAACTCCACAAAATCATCATCATAATGTGCTCAAATGGGCGGGTTGGTGGTGGGTGTGCAGCCTGGCTGGACACGCCCACGGGCCTGCCTACATTGTGAGTAGAACAGGTGACACATGCAGAACAGAATTTTTGTGCGTATGCTGTGAACCCTTTTGTAAACCACGTCTCATTAAGTGCACGTAACATTCCCCCTTTTGACACATGGTCTAACCCATGAGTCAACTTAGCATAATGAGCAAAATAGTGTTTAGGTAAACACCGCTTGCCCTCGGGTCCAGTCCAGATACCGTTGGTGTAAACACAGCCAGATGTGGACCAAAGCCGTCTTTCATCAGGGGTAGAGAGTGACTGCATCGCTGTGAGAGAGGAGGGAACTGACTCCTCAGAGCACACGAGAGCACAGGTAGTGGGAAGCGGAAGCAGAGCAGCAGCTTTTGCAGCCGAGTCTGCTCGAGCATCATATATACATCATCCGTATTGGACGTGTGGGCTGCACATTTACAGACAGCAATAGCTGTGGGTAGCAAGATGGATTTCAACAGTTCAGCAATGAGAGTGTGGTGTAGGATGAGCTTACCGTCCGATTTAAGGAAGTTCCTGTGTTTCCACAGCACCACAAAATCATGTACTACACCAAACGCAAAGCGAGAGTCAGTGTGAACTGTGACTGTTTTACCCGTAGCCAGTTTACAGGCCTCGGTCAGAGCGATGAGCTCGGCTGCCTGGGCTGAGAGGTGACATGGCAGAGGACCTGAACACAGCACACCAGAGTCAGAAACAACAGCAAAGCCAACACGATTTTCACCAGACTGAGGATCGCGGGAGGCGGATCCATCCACATACATTACCATGTCGCTGTTAGTTAGTGGAGCGTCCACTAGGTCAGGGCGAGGAGTGCACTGAGCTCAGGAGTGGAGCTCAGCCAAACAGTTGTGGTCCTCCCATCCCCAGGAATAGGAAGTAATGATGCAGGGTTAAGGTTAGTACAACGTTTATAGTGACATTCGGCATGTCCAGGAGACACGTGTGGTAACGCAAATAGCGAGCCGCAGAGAGGTGAGATGATTTCTGTTCGAGGAGAATCAAAGAAACCGCGTGCGGAACGAGCAGAGTGAGTGGTGCGTAACCCACTATGTCACGTGAGGCAGTGAGCGCCTTTTCAGCCGCGGCCACAGCGCGCAAACATTGTGGCAGTCCTGCAGCGACAGGGTCGAGTTTAGCGGAGAAATACGCAACAGTGTACACAGTGAGTTCTGTGAAACCCTGTAGAGGCGGAGCGCAGAACGAGCGGATCGATTGTCTCCTCCCAGTCAGTGAGAGATTCACACTGAGCCACAAATGGTCCCAAATCCCTGCATTGGTCAAGGCGTCCTTTAGACAGTGAGACATGGGGATAGGAGCCGGGAACTTGAAACAGTTCTTTCTGTGTGGGAGACAGAGAAACAGACACAGCAGATTTACAAGTTGACCAGTACAAAGTAGAACAGGCAATTGCATCATTGAGGGCCTCAAAAAATGTCTCTTCAAAAGAGCCGTCTGGACCCTCTGAGACACATGTTGTGCAATGCAGGTGTTCAGGGTTCATACGTCTGCATGAGGAGAAACCCGTGCTTCACCAGCCTGGCTCAGCCTCCGAGCATCATCGATCGGGATCCACCACTGATACACAAAAAGAAGATTAGAGGGAGCCTATTGCAACATTTGGAGTCCACTTTAAGGCCGTCTGGAGATGACGTCAAACAAATACCATATGTACACATCAAGTCTCTGCCCATCAGATTTATGGGACAGAGTGAAGAGAGTAAAAAAAAAAGTGTTTTACTTTTATGTCAGGGTTTAGGTCAGTCTCGTCAGAGTGTACACTCGTCATAGGTGCAGTAAATCTTTCTGTCACAGTCAAACCTGAAGCCCCTTGAGAATATACATACCGCCCACTCATTTTTTGATTTGGAAAAGGTTTTTCTTGAATTACTGAATGAGTAGCTCCGGAGTCTACTAAAAACGCCAATTCTTTCCCTTCCACAATTACTCTTGTAGTTGGCATATCTTTGTATGCATCTGATGAAAACATAGCATACGTGAGTGGTGGTGGTGCGGATGTATTCTGTTGCTGTTGCTCTAAGTGAGAAATGATGCTGTGCAAAACAGCATGTTGTTCTGCAGTGTGTGTGCGAGGAAGCAGGTCTTCGTTGCAGCATCGTATGTGCATGTGCGTGTGTGTGTGTGTGGTGTGTTTCACTTCCCTGTTTTGGAGAGGCAGCAGTAGTCATCCCTTCACACGTGCAATCTCCATCCCACACACACAGTCAGTCTGATGTGCCGAATTGTTGACCCCCTCTGTCAGTCCCGGAGTGGCGCTGTCGTCCATGTGGCTGACGTACCTGGTTTGAACGGTAGGGGCAGTCTTTGTACCAATGTCCTGTTTTGCCACAGAGGAAGCATTCATCGGGTTGCGCTTCTCGTGGGGCCCCTCCTTGAAAACGCCCTCTTCTCCCATGATTTATTCCATACGCTCGTCCTCTCTGTTGGTCCCTCCCATAAGATTTTCCGGATGGGCGGGGGTCTCAACCTCCTTCTGCACCCAGTGTCAACTGTTTTACGGCTTGGAGCATCGCAAGCTGGGCTTTCTCCCCAGTCTGCTTTCTGCGTTTGTCTTGACACATTTGGTTTTCCACATGCATTTTATAATTGTGTCGTGCATGTTTTACCACTTCTGTGAGCCTTGCATCTTCCAGACACACGACAGAGTGTTCAGTGGCAGTTTTGACGTCTGGCAGAAGCCCGTTCATGAAGGCGTTCTTGAGATGAGTTTCCCACACGGTCATGTTGGTTATGTCTGTGGGCTCCTCGAGGCCGCTGTGAATCTGAAAGGCAGCCACAAGAGTGCTGTTGATGAGTGCTATGTTGACTTGGAAGGCCGCAACCACAGCAGCACAGATGGCTGTTATGTCTTTGCATAATGTCAGGAACTTTTTTCCAAAAGCCACGCCATTTTTTATGGTGGGCAGATGGGAGGCAGGTAGTCCATCCTGTGGCCCTGGAACTTGAAACATGGGGGCTTGAATATAAGACCCGTCCAGTTTACTGTCCATGGTGGTGTTAGGACTAAGAAAATTCACAATTCTGCCGGCTGTGCCCCTCCAGGGGGATGGGTCGTGGATTGACCATGCAGAGTCCGGGGTGAGCATGATTTGACGTCTGCACCTCCCTGGTCTCCCAGCCGGGTTTGACTGCGTGTTACAGGTCTGCCAACCGTAGGATCGGGGTTGTACGGTGGTGGTGATTGTTGGACTGTAAATGTAAATGTAGCTCCAACTCCAAGAGCTTTATGATAAAATCAGTAGATGCGCAGAGCCACACAACTCAAACAACTATTATGAGGAGAAATCTAAAAGCAGCCAAACATTTGCTGTAATTCTCTTTTTTTCAGGCTGCTGTTGTTTAGTCGTCATTGCTGAGATGTTCAAGGTCTAATAATAATCAAGTGTATTATACTCAGTTGTCGCTTGTGTGTTGAGTGCTACGTAAACCCCCCCAAAAATTCCATTTACAGACTGTACTTCATCATTCCAGTTAAATTACTGCAACACGACGAGAAAAGGTGTCAAATATTGTCTTCTAAGTAAGGTTATAAGTCTTTGATTATTCCTACATAAAGCAGTCCACAAATGTTGTTAAACAATAGTTTGTGATCATTTCACACATCAGCCATTGTATAGTTTGAGATTCCTTTATGTGTTTTCGGGTGCGATGCATCTGCAAACTTGCAGCCTTGACAGAGAGCACGGAGTTGTTGAGTGACACAGGAAGTGTTGTATTCTTCTCTCGAGATGAACGACTTCTCTCGTTCTGGGAAATGTATTTGTCAGATCACAGGTCAAGTATCAGCGGTGCGTTTGCAAAGGCAGGAGCAGTTCAGGCAGCACACAGGCCGGAAGAACAACCAACTAACATCAGCACGAACATCATGTTTTATAACCCTATAAGACAAAGAAGGAAAGATTTCTATTGGCCCTATACTGGCGTAGAGGAGGACCTTCCACCTCCCGCATCTAAAGATCCGGTCACATCCAATGTCCAGACTCCTGACTTAACGTAAACATCAGCGTACAGAGTGCGTATGTTGAATAGTGTTAGTGTGTCTCTAAACCCCCCTTTGGCTGGTAAATCTGCTAGTTGACCCGCAGACCTTAAATTCCTCAGCCAAGACAGAAACTGACTCCCCATCTTGTCAGACTCGTGTCTGCCTGCTTGGCACATCCTGCTTGCCCCCTTACCTAACTCTTAAATCAAGACAAGACAGCGAACCCCCAACTAAGCCCATGAAAAAAACTTTTGATTAACAAGAGTCAGTCAGGGACCCGGGCTCTGTTTATGAGCCCGACTGCCAATGGGCAGAGAAACTGTTTGTGTGGCGGGAGGTCTTGGTCCTGATGGACCTCAGCCTCCTGCCAGATGGAAGGGGCACAAACAGTTTTTGTGCGGGGTGAGAGGGGTCGGCTTCAATCTTTTCAGCCCACTTTAGGCTCCTGGAAGCAAACTAGTTCTGCAGGGACGGCAGATTGCAGCCGATCACCCTCTCTGCAGAGCGGATGACACGCTGCAGCCTCCCCTTGGCTGTGGCTGCAGCGTACCAGACAGTGATCTGCCTTCAGCTCCCACCTGAGGTTCTGGGTGATGATGGAGCATAGAAAATGGAAGGAATCCACAGCGGTGATGGGGGTGTCACAAAGGGTGGTGGGGGAAGGTGGAACTGCGTTCTTCCTGAAATCCACAACCATCTCCGTTGTCTTCAGAGCGTTGAGCTCTAGGTTGTTTTGGCTGAACCACATAACCAGATGGTCAGATTCCCACCTGTAGGCGGACTCATCCCCACCAGAAATCAGTCCAATGTGGGTTGTGTCATCCGCAAACTTCAGGAGCTTCACGGACTGGTGACTGGAGGTGCAGCTGTGGAGGTGCTTCACTCTACAAACTCATCCACTGTACTCCTACTCACATCCATCTTTTCACACCCAACCACTGCAGCGTCATCAGTGAACCTCTGCAGATTGCATGACGAGTTGTACAGAGTTAACTAGAAGTCAGTCGTGTACACGGTGAATGGGAAGGGAGACTGAACTGTGGAGCTCCAGTATGACCGACCACCGTATTAGAGAGCACACTGTCAGACAGACTGTGGTCTGTATGTCTAGTATCAGTGATCCAGGAGACGGTGGATGCAGCTTCTCACTGTGCATCAGTGGTTGGATGGTGTTGAATGCACTTGAGAGATCAAAGAGCCACCATATCCGTCCACGTGCAACGGAGCAGATATGTGGGAGAGTATGACGCCTTCCGCATCTTCATCACAGGAGATGTGAGGTTAATAGGTCGATAGTCATTGAGGCCTGATGTAGTTGACTTCTCTGAAAGAGAAACCAAGCACGCTGTCTTCCACAGCACCGCAACTTCCTGCAGACACGTGTTGCAGGTCTTCACACGGCTGGATGGCGCAGGACTTCAGGACTCTGGGGCTGATCCCGCCAAGTCCTGCAATCTTCGAACTAGTGGAATCCCTCTAGCCGTCTCCTCACTTGGCCAGTTGTCACAGAGATGCTGGGAAAGGGTGATCATGGCGTCAGAGGGAAGAGCCCTTCAAAGTTGAGGGCTGTGTGCCCATGAAGCTCACCGGGGAGGACAGATGGGGGGGACGCGAGGCATTAGAGGTGCTTGGCAAATGAGGTGGGTGGAGGACACACATGAAGGCTGAGACCTGTTGAAAAGAGTCCAGAGTTTTATTGTTTTTTGTGGGGGAGTTAACATACCGCTGAAAACCTGGCAGGCTTTATCTAGTGCTCTCCATCCGACAGCACTGTTGCTATTTGTGGCACCTTTTAGCACTTTCCAACCATGTTAAAAGCCGGGATGAAGAAATAAATATGCTCTCAGTTGCGAGTTTAATTGTTCTACACTCACAATCAGTGGATATAACTACTATTAACAGAAAGAGACTCCCCAAAGAAAAGCTAATTTCATTTTTATCCAAATAAGTAATAATTATAAAAAATAATTATTGATTCTTATGTTCCACACACAATCATCACTGATGGTGCTCTTTTCTTTTGATGTCCCAACTAAGCAAGAGGTCAAAAGGTCCAATTCCCCACACAAAATATATTCAAGTGTACATAGTTTGTAGTTACGAGTTAAACCTGCAAAGATATAAGTATGATTCTTTACACTAACTTGGTGGACTTCTCTGAATAGCTGCCACTATGGTTCCCCTTTATTCAGATTTCAAGCTTCTTTTACAGCTTCCACATTTCATTAAATGAGCGTGATCACTAAGGACATAGTGATAAATGTGTCAGATAAACAACACTGAACTAACACCAAATGTGTGACACGCGTTTCCTCTGTGATGGTGAAACATTAAAGAAGATCTACTTGTGTTCAACTAACAAATGTATCGTCTTTTGAGGCTTTTTTGTAACAGGCAAAATATAAACCTAGAGATTTGTATAGATTTATAGTGTTAGTGTTTAAAGTGGGATTCATCTTCAAGCTTGCAGGGTTGTTTTGTGAAGTTTCTATCCGTGTCCGGGGATGTCCCCAGTATTTCAACAGCATGTTCAAGTGTTTAAACGTTACCATCTAATATAGGGTATATATATCTATTGGGCTAATATACATCCTACACCCCCATGGATTTTTCAGGGGTTTAAGTACTTGTCATGCAGATTTTATAGGACTTTGGTAGTGATGCAGGCTTTGCACTAGACTGCTGTGATGAAGAGGTAAACACATTTTTAAGTTCCCACTGGACATACTGTATGCTCTAACTACCTGAAACGTGCTTGCAGAAACTTTCTCCCTTAGCTGTCTTTCTAAATGTGCAGTGTGTAAGATTGAGCAGTAATTAAAAAAAATCAAAGATACACATTATCTGCAGATTGTGAAGAAGTAACATGCAGATGTTACATAAAATAGTAAGCGGCCCACACAAAACCCCAGCTGGTGTGTCTCCAGAAAAGAGCTGCTGTATGCTGCACGGTCTAGGAATGTAGTCTCCAGGCAGTGAGGATACATTTAATAAAAGTACCTGTTTCTGCCACATTGGTTTTAATAAAACACATCATTAAAACAAACATTGACCATGCAGCCCTCAATTGAGTCACAATAAATTATGTTTAACGTTAACTAAAGGCCAATACCACAAATGAGAATACCCGGTAGCAGTTTTTCATTAGAGGTCAACTGAATCAACACTTTCAACCCTGCAACAACACCTGCAACCAAACACAGTACAGGAAACACATGCGGATGGTTAAAAAGAAAGAAGATATGTGTGAATCAAATGCGCATGTAATCATCGCTCCACCTCCACGTTGACACTATAAATGGGGTCAGATATCGTAGGCCATTGAACGGAGCTTGCAGTCAACAGTCCCGGTGAGACCCCTGAGTTTAGATTTGAGTTATCTAGCTCTGAAATCTACATTGATCAACTTATTCTGTGTTATTCTGATTTTTCCTCCACACAGATGGCAAGGCTGTGGCATGTCATGCTCCTGAGCTGGGCGTGGAACCCTCTGTGTCTGTCAGTCAGTGTGCGCTTCATTGGTTCTCCACAACAGTGTGCAAAGGCACGCTTTGTCCCGGGTTACAACCTGGGAGGAGAAGGCTTCGACATCGTCAAAATGGAGCGGAAAGGCGCCTATGTCATCGACACGGAAACATGGAATCTCGGCAACGGCACTTGCAGACTGTTTAACAACAACTTCATGAAAGGTGTGAGACAGAAGGTCCCAGCCGCCGTGGTGGACTGGAGAGTCCTCCCGAAGTGCAGTTTGAAGGTCTCCAGTCTGGTCTACAATTCGGCTGAAACTCTAGTTAATGACTCCACCTCAGCTGTGTCCAACGATTGGAAGGTCGACCTCACAATTCCTGTAGACCCTTCTGTTACTCTCGGCGTCGGATTAGGAGGTTCCCACTCCAAAGAGTCCACCTTTGCCATGCAAAAGTCAAAAGAAGACCGCTACACCTTTGTTCGCCATTCCGTCGACTGTACCTTGTATAAGTAAGTACATGGACAGATTTTTATCTTTTTTGCCTCACGTATGCAGTTAATTGGTCAATTGACAGAAATTGTTTGTTTCATAGTCTTCTGGATAGATAGCAATTTTGCGAACAACGTTATCAGTTGCTGATTATTTTACTTCCTGTGCTCCACAGCTACAGAATGACATCAAATCCTCCACTGAGTCAAGACTTTAAATCTGCTGTGAACTCCCTCCCAGCCTATTCCAAAAAGACAATGTTAAAATATCGCAGTCTGATTGACACATATGGTACACATTTCATAACACAAGTGTCTCTAGGTGGGAAAATAAAAGCAATCACTTCTGTCAAGACCTGTCAGGCAAGCATGCAGGGACTGTCGTCCACAGACGTCGCTGACTGTTTGTCAGTCGAGGCCTCTGCTACCATTGTACAGTCTGCCAGCATGAAGGCAATGTTCAATCACTGTGAGTCAGAGAAGAAGAAGTTGGGCTCCAGTCAAAGCTTCAGCGGGACGTTTCGCGAGCGCAGTGCAGACGTCATCGGTGGAGACATAACCGGGGACATTCTCTTTAATGGCCAATCTAGCCCCTCTGTCTTTGGAGAATGGCAACGCTCACTGCAGTCCTTACCTGATGTGGTGAAATACAGCATAAAATCCCTGCACACCTTACTACCAATTGGTCATGCTGCCAGAGCTGGACTGAAACAGGAGGAGGAGAAGTACATCGTGGATAACGCAGTGTTAAAACAATGCTCAGAATCCTGTCAGATTGGTCACAGATCCAGCAAAAGGGATCCTTGTGCTTGTGTTTGCAACAGTAATTCAAATATCAAGCATAACTGCTGTCCTGCTGGGAAAGGTTTTGCGACATTGAAGGTCTTTCGGCTCTATGCAGACGGGCTGTATGGTGATAAGTGGACTCAGACAGATGGTTCAGTGGAAGTGAGATATGGAGATCAGACTAAACGCACCGCCATCATTAGTAACAATGACTATCCTCGATGGTCCGAGACTTTTCAGTTTGGAAACATTCGCATCAACATGAAAAACAAACTTCAGTTCACTGTTTATGATGAGGACACCTACTGGAATAGTGATTCTTTAGGCAAGTGCTCATTTGGTTTGCATAAGGGGAAACATAGGGACTCTTGCATGTTTGATTACGGCACCTTCTTCTTTTCGTACGAAGTTGAGTGTGCACCAAGTCTCAGCGGTGACGAATGTCAGGACTACATACCGTCCCCCATGAGTTCCTCTCTGGCCAAGGTCTTCCACACCAGAAACGGGGTCCTTCTCGGGACGGGGAAGTACGGGAAGCCAGTCGGTCCATCAGGTTCAGCAGTTGACATTGAGAGTGGTGAGAGGGCCACTCTTTGATTTGATTAGGATCCTGAAAGTAGTTAATAGTAGCTTTCACTCTGTTGCTCTATCTTTGTTTGCATTTGCAGAACGTACATTTAATCAAAAAATGCATGTGCAGATTGTGTTTTACAATCCACCATTTCTTCTGCTTCTTTCATTTAATTACAAAATCTACTAATAAAGCATCAACAAAGACAAACCTGGTGTCCATCTGTTTTAATCTTTAATGTTGATTTTGTGGTTTACATGTAACGTGGAAATGCATACTTATAAATGCAGAAGCTACGACGGAGTTCAAACTTTCCAGCTGAGTGCTCATCATTTGCTGTCTACAGTAAATGACACTCACGGTCCAATTTGTATTTTGGGGATAGCTATAATGGGCCGCAATTAAATAAAACCAATACACAACGATGTTTTACAAATATGTAAAACATCTTAAAACAACATATTATCTCGCGATACCGACAGCGGTTGCCTTTGACAACGTCTTTGTTGTTTTAAGCGTCTCTTCTTTTTTTCACCGTGAGCACCTTATGAGCGTCGGACCAATCAAAACTCAGAAAAATAGGATGGTATATAAATGACGTCATGTCGGTTTAAAAAAAAATACAAGAAACCTAAGGTAAGGATGCTGTTGGCGACATACTCGTTTCTAATTAACTGTGAGTTGTTTCTTATACTAGTGGTGTGTTATCGTTCTATCAGCGGGCTTTGAGGTCTATAACGTTACCAGGCAGACTCCGTGTGCGCGAGCCACATGGTGTTAGATAACCGGCTTGGCCTCAACTCAAGCAGCCAGTTAAATGCTAGCCTAGCTAGTTAACCGCCTAGCTAACGTTAGCTAACGCAGAGGAAGGGAGCGAAAACCCCCGTTGGTACAAACGGTCACTTTTCTCAACGTTTATCATCTTTTAACAGGCTCTTTAAAATCCTATTGGAACCGATCGTCCTCTTCAACGGGCAGCAATGTCAGCCAGCAACGACGACGGCGATGATCGTCTCGGCCAGTTCAAAAACAAAGCGAAAAGGGTCAATGTAAGTTCCTCCCGTAACAGTCGACCGTGTTCCATTAATCGTGGGCTCCGGGGACAGCTCATCGTGACAAATGGCTCATGATTTAATGTTGCTCGACTTCTTCTAGGGATGTGTCGTTCGTGAACGATTCGATGAACGTTCATTTTACTGAACGCGATTGAAAGAACCGAGTCGGTAAAATGGTCGGTAATATCTTACACCCCACGAACTTCCCATCACTAACTTCTTCAGGAGATGAGACGAAGACGAGCGGAAGTCAATGTGCAGTTACGGAAAGCAAAGAAGGATGATCACATCCTAAAGAAGAGAAACGTCCAGAGCCTCCTGGATGAGCCCACCTCTCCTCTCCAAGAGAAAGGTCCCAACGCACAGGTAGACAGCAGCCCACCTTTGTCTTAGCTCCCCATCCATGAGATGCAACAGCCTCCATGCCTAACGGTACCCTCAGAGAAGAAGTTAGTACTGTGGGTTCTCCATACTGTGAAGAGGCACAATTCATTTAAATCTAATGATGACATACGTGGCTGCTGCCATGTTCCCCGATTCGCAATGCATTGTGTTGTTTAGTGTAATCCAAACTTATCTATGTTATGTTGGCTCTGTTCTGCATCACAAAGTAATTACTTTGATTGTTTACATCTATATTGGCCAAACAGTGTTGGAAGGGTTATTGTCAGTTATTATACTGTCTCCTAATTTGAAAAAAAGTTTTGATTTCAATTGTAGGAGGCAATAAATTGCGTATTCCAAAGAAATTGTGACATTTTTGGGTCTTAAATTATATATGTTGAGGTCTTAAAAAGCATTAAATTTTACTTTTGAAATGGTGCAAAAATCCTGAATCGCTTCAAAGAACTTCTAACCGACCAGTTTTTACATGATACCATATTGTGCAATGCTAACCATGACACTTTCTGACTAAAGATAGAAAAACATGATAACGTGAAGACATTTTTGGATGTGAGCTGCAAACAGACTGGTTTTAGATTTCCTGCAGCCATATGGCGGCACTTCGAAATACTTGTTTCTCTTGTTGGTTTTTGAGTTGAAAGTCAATTTGTTCCCAAACATGTTCAACAGGCAACCATCAGTCATAACTAACATTTAAACAAAGGCAAAAGTTCCTTTGCTGTTGTCAACTCCCCACTGTCTCCATTTGTCCTGGTGCACAGGATGCTCATCTCAAGAGAATCTTATCTAACGATTGACTGCATCATTGCTGCCAACCTTATCCCGAGGTTGGTCAGTTTTCTGGCTCTATCGGAGTTCCCCCCCATCCAATTTGAGGCCGCTTGGACCCTGAACAACATCGCCTCATGTACCTCAGCGCAGACCTCCGCCGTAGTGGAGGGTGGGGCCATCCCGGCATTCATCAGTCTGGTGGCGTCACCACACCCGCACATCAGCGAGCAGGGCATTTGGGCCCTGGGTAACATCGCAGGTACTGTTTATTTGCAGAGATAGGTGTGATGTGAACAATTGTTGAAATTGTGTGAAGCTATAATTGCCTTTTTGTCTAAAGGGGTTTCCACGGGCTTTAATATTGAGGGATTTTGAATTTAATGTAAAAGTTTTGTGCCTAAATGTTTTGTTTTTTGACATGTTGAGTTCAATGGTGATTCACGCAGGACAGGAAGGAACCAATGATCTATCACAATAGCCTTACTTAAACATTAAACACATGTACTTAAACATCATAATGAAAAGCTGCCTCTACATATTCTGGTAGTTGGAGAACAACCTTTCCCCGCTCACATCTAGGTGATGGACCCAACTTCAGAGACCTTGTGATCAATCACGGTGGTCTCAATCCACTCCTGGCCTTGCTGGCTGTCCCCGACCTTAACATGGTCCCTGTGAGTTTCATTCAAAATGATTTAAAGAGGCTTTTTGAATTACATGGCGCTGTTGCCCTGCAAAGAACTCATTATCCACAGTCTGAAAAGAAAGCTGAGATGCAAGGCTGGACTTGTAGTTGAGAGACCCATGTGTCACAAGTAGCCACTTTAACAAGCTAATTTTGCACCAATTCAAAGTTAAATCATTGACAAACAATAGCCGATTGGTTCCCGAGGTGCATTCTGGTCGATGCAATCTGCCTCATTTGCTCTGCTCATGGCCGCTTTATCTGTTATCAAGCAAAACCCGGCTCAGACTATTTATCAATCGGATAGCAAAAAAACCCCACATATATACATACACATTACATACATACATACATACATACATACATACATATATATATATATTACACACACACACACACATTATATATATATATACACACACACACATTATATATATGTTACGGCCAGCTGGTTTTGACCGTACATAAAGAAAACAAGTACAATGAGATTACTTTATACTTTTTTTAAACGATTCACTAATTATCTCTATAACTCCTCTATCCACAAGTGATCGCTTCAAAGTAGTCACCAGAGTTTCCTTCAGCCTCTTTTCTTGAGAAGTAAGATCGACACTGAAGCGTTCGGCAATTTGCACCAACTGCTCCTTTGTATAACTCTCAAGCAAAGCTTCTGATGGATACGCAAAGAAAGCTTCGAGCACCGAAGACATTTTGTTCGTATTTGTATACGCACAGTAACACAAACAAAACTACTCTCTAACACACGTGAGACGCCGTTTACGCAAAATACAACTCCCATAAGCCACTGCTTCAAAAGAAGAACTACGTCACCGTATTCTTCATTCACAAAAAACTTCCGAAGACTTCCCACAAGTCAAAACTTGTGTAAAATAAACCGCGAAAATAAACCGCACTGTACACACGAACCCAATGATTTACCTTTATTTATTTTTGTAGAATGGTTTTACCGTTTATAGTACGAGAAAACTCCAGCCCCTAACTCAGAAAACAATAACTAATCCTACCTGGTCTTCAGAGATGTACCGGGCTCGAGGCGACATTAAACGCTGAGCTCCGCGACAATCAGTCAAACTGAGAGAGTAAACGATTGGTATGAGTTGGGTAACTAAACAAAGGCAGGCCAAAGTGACTTCTCCAGAGGCAGTCGCTCCCCTGGAGGAAGGGCTGTGGAGAGGGGGAATCCAGGGTTTTATCCGCTCCACAATTAAGAGGCAATCAGGGAACAGGGGTGTGCAATCTCCCACGTTCTCCCTACTAGACACCGCCACCAGCAGGCGAGCAGATGAAGGGCGGGGTCGTAACAATATATATATATATATATATATATATATATATATATATATATATATATATATATATATATATATATATATAAAACTATACAAAAGAAAAACAGGGTAAAATCTACTTCTATTCCACTTGCAGGTGATTCATGTAAATATGTACAGCTATACGCTGACTTTCTTTACATGTGCACACCAATTATCAGAATATAGTTTTTGAATGAGATAGTATGTGCTGGTTAACTATTTATACAAAGTAATCGTGTACTGCGAAATTATGATATCTGATTCTCTGCAAAGAGCATATTGAATTATCACCCGGCCCCATTTGGCAATCGTTCGGTTCACAGTCGTTTCATAAACGTATTCCCAGTATCTGTTAACCTGACAACTATCACAGTTATGAAACCATGATGTTGTCAAATAACACTGTTCCTAATGCACCTTCCTAGTCTTGCGTCGCCTGGACGCTGTCCAACTTGTGTCAGAACAAGAACCCGGGTCCTCCTCTGACGGCGGTGCAGCAGCTGCTTCCGGCCCTGGTGCGCCTCCTGCAACACAACGACCGGGAGATTCTGGAGAACATCTGCTGGGCCGTGTCCGACCTGACTGGCGCGTCCAATGAGAGGATCGGGTTGGTGGTGCAAGCCGGCCCGGTGCCCCTCCTGGTACCGCTGCTCGCCTGTGGGGAGCGCTCCATCGTGGTATGTGTGTCGTCCCACAGAAGAAGCTGCTACGTTAAAAGTCCGATTCTGAATTCATGGCGGCGTTTGGCAAAGGTGAAACATAGTTAGGATCCAGCATTGCTCATTTTACGGTCACATATACCATCGCTCTTCAAGTTGGTCACAGGCCACACAAACCCCCTTTTATGTGTATATTTTACCTTTACCTTGAAGCTGAAGAAAACAACTTTCTGTATGTCATATTTTTTTCAAACTTCAAGCATTTTTTTCTGTGGTGTGTTTGCTGAGTTTAGGACTGATTTTGGGGCACATGTGCACCATTAAGTGAAAATCAAGTTAAGTCTGCTTTTGCATGCACTTGCTTCAGATTTATTATGTGAATCGTGACATTAACACTGTGATATTCTGGAAACATTGGAGCAAATGTCTTTTTTTTGTACTTTTGTTTTGTTGCGTTTTTATTTTTATATGGACTTGTGTGTCTGGAAATAGTTGAACATTCCTCCTATGTATCATTCTGAAATCGTGAACACTACAGATAATTGACTTGCTCTCTCTGCCCTCCCGGACTCCGGTCCTGCACTCACTTGGGAACATTGTGACTGGGACAGACGAGCAGACGCAGTGTGTACTGAATGCAGGCGCTCTGGCGATGTTCCCCAGCCTGCTGCGTCACCAGAAGCCCAATATCCAGAAGAAAGCTGTCTGGACAGTGTCCAATATCACTGCTGGCAAAGACACCCAGATCCAAGAGGTTATCAATGCTGGCCTGAGGCCAATCCTTGTGGACATCCTACATCAGGTCAGTAGACCAGGGGCCTGTTTCAATAAGGAGGTTCAACCAACTCTGAGTTAAAACTTGAACTCTGAGTTGACTTACCCTGAGATGGGAAACTCTGAGTTTTCGGTTACAGAACAGCTGAAATGAGTTAGTTCAATCAACTCTGAGTTGACCTACTCTGAGTTAAGCGCGTGCACCACAACTATAAAAAGCCATTATCAATGGAGCGCAGATATTACGAGTCACCATGGCAACAGCGCCAGACAAAAAGAGGTCTTCATATTTTTCACCAGCAGAACTGGATGTGCTTATGCTAGCATATGGAGAGTACGAACATATATTTAAAAAAAAAAAGCAACACGGCTGCAGCGGCGAAGGACAGAGAGTTAGCTTGGGAGAAAATAGCTGCTCGAGTCAATGCGTAAGTTTTCATTTGAATTACTGTTATACAGTGTTGTGTGTAATTAATTTCTATGTAATCTAAAAACTGTAATTTAATTCCGTAATTTAAAGTAAAATCTGATGTAATTGCATTAAATGCTGCATAAACTATAAAGCAATTCTGTATAAAACAATAGTGGATTTAACATCAAATTTTAAAAGATATATTTTTTCAAGAATAATTCATGCAATTGTATAATGTTTATTTGAAAGCATTAAAAGTGCAGTTTCTTGTCTCTCCTTGTATTGTTCAAGTGGTTGAGGTTGATATGGGATTTAGAAAGTAATTAGTAATAAGTAGACCAATACTTTCTAGAGATAGTCATTATTACATTAATCTAATTACACTGTTGAAGAAGCCAGTTGTAGTTAGTAATATAAGTGACTTGCCCAACTGTTATAATATCAGAAGTGAAACTGGAAGAACAGTGTGTTATTCAACCTAATTTTAATTTTCATGTAGGTGCAATCCTGCAGGCATTAAAAGAACATGGCAGCAGCTGAAAATGAAATATAAAAACATAATTCAATCAGGTAAGGCTTGAACATATCATGGTTGTAGTCTAAATGACTTTACAAACATTTGACATATAAATAACTAAATAGCATCCAGTGTCTAGCAGTGCAGCAGCATTTTTGACATGGGTCTAAATGTTCATTCTCATTTGACTACTCAGCCAACAGAAAGAAGGCAGAGGCTCGCAAAACGGGGGGAGGACCTGCACCACCACCTCTGACAAATGCAGAGGAGATGGCCCTGAGCCTGAATGCTGGAAGGCCAATGGCTGAGGGAATTCCTGGAGGGACTTCATCAGAGCCAGTCACTCCAGAAGATTTAAGTGCCTTCATAAAATGTAAGAGGTCTACCTATGTGTTGTGTTTTTATATAGGCTATTTGTGATATTTCCATTTATTTTACTTTGGGGTGGGTTTTTCGTTGGTCCCAACAGATTCTGATGGTAAAATTAGTCTTTTGGAGCCTCCTGTCCCAACAGAACCACAGGCAGTTGTAAGTAGCCTACTCAATACACCAGAAATTATTACAAATAGTGTTATAAAGTGTACTCAAATGCTCATCTTCACAGGATGATGGGGATGAAGAAACAGTTTCTGCTGCCACAGAGATGCCTACAGAGGTAATGTTAATATTATGTGTCTATCAAACAATCTACACATTCACATTTCTTCACCTTTTTTATGTGGAGTAGCCTATAGAATCTAAGTTTAAATCTAAGTATAAACAGGTATTTTATCTCTCCCCAGAGTGTGGAAGAACAGCAAGAGGATGGTCCATCAACTTCTGGTGCACAGATGAACACAGTTCAGTGATTTTTTTTTTCAGTAAATGCCACAGTTTAATATTGTAGAATTTTAGAACTACATGATGTAACTGTAATCTACTGTATTTTCAGTTGCCAGTTAAGGAGTTATATAGACTTCTTCTTATTAAAAAGATAGAAAAAAACAGCAAAGAACTTGTATACTTGGACCGCCAGATCCAAAAGGCAGATCTGGAAATTGAGATTCTGAAACTAAAGCTAGAGGTTAGTGCATGGTCACAGGTGAATTCTAAGTATTGAAAATATATTAAATTCTATTTTTTTTTTTATGTTTAGGAAATAAAGAACACCATATAAATTGCTGTGATTTTGTGTTTATTCACTACCCTTCCCTCCTGGAAATCTGCCGGGTTGATGGGGTCTTCCACTGGGTCTTGTATTTGTAGGGCAGGGTGTTGCTCCCCTCTAATTATGGCAATATTATGGAGAACAACACATGCCACAATAATGTCGCAGGCCCTTTCAGGGGTTACCCTGAGGTGACGTAGGCACTGGAAACGTGCTTTCAACAGGCCTATGGTCATCTCCACCCGGGCTCTCGTCCTGCAGTGTGCCACATTGAAGCGGCACTGGGGGCCTGGTTCAGGTTCTGGGTAAGGGGTAATTAGTGTTGGTCGGCATGGGTAACCCCTATCTCCCAGCAGAAAGCCATCAATCTCTCCTGTAAGAAAGTTCACATTGCTTTAGAGCTGCATAGAAGTTCCCCAGTAAGTGTGTAGTGCATACATTGAAATACATGCATTTACTTACCAGTTTCCAGTCTGTTGCTCAGCGTTGACTCACGATACATTCGTGAGTCATGAACAGAACCGGGCCACTTGGCCTCCACATTTGTAATGAGATGTGCAGCATCACATATGATCTTGACAATGCAAAGAATGAGACATGTTATAGTATTGTGATGTAGTCTTTGACCATTAGAAACAGTAGGCTTTCAGTGTACCTGCACATTAATACTGTGGATGGACCTCCTGTTGACATAGTCCGCTTCATTTTCGGAAGGTGCAATGATGGGAATATGTGTGCCATCAATGCATCCAACCACATTCGGAAATCCTAAAAGGAATTCTATTATTAGTTTACTTCCAGGGGTCGCAGCAATATGCTCTTAACTGAACGTCATTTATCAGGTTAGCCTCATTTAAACCGATTTATACATCACTGACCTGCAATCCTGTGAAACTCCTCTTTGATGGCTCTCACGGGTTTGTGCCCAGGAAACAGGACAAAAATTCGGAGAAAGCGCTTAAGAGCGAGGCACACTTTCCTTACAACTCTGCAAACAGTAGCCTTACTGATATGTTCTGCATCCCCAATGTTATACAGAAAACTACCATTTGCAAAGAAACGTAATGCAACGCAAAGCATCTGCTCGGATGTTAGAGCACGGCCGCGATGGCTGATGTTTCTGATGTAAGGATGGATGAGATTATGGATGTATCTTATTGACTGTAATGAAAAACGGTACCGCTCAAATAAAAATGAATATGGATATGACAAAAAATCCACTCTGGGTCTCAAAATCCTCTCCCGACGTAAATGCAACTCCCTACGGATTAATGCAGCCTCTTCATCCACAGGATCGTCCATAAAAGGACATGCCATTTCATTCACTTGATTTGATGCGCTCTGCGTGACTGAAATGTGCGCAATGAATGAATACCGAAAGAATGAATGAGGTGATTAAATACCACTTCCTCTTTAAAAAAGGGGAGGAGACGAAATAAACTCTGGGTTTCCCGAAGAAAACCTGCTCCCGACCAGGTTAGGTTCACAGAGTAAGTTGCCATGGTAACTGACTCTGAGTATAAGTTACCTCTCTTTCTGAAACAGGCTTGACTTACTCTGCTTTCTCAGGTTTAACATACCTCCCATTCTGAAACAGAAAACTCAGAGTTTCCCTCATTTCAGGGTTAACATACTCAGAGTTTTCACTTAACCTCCTTTCTGAAACAGGCCCCAGGTCGCAATATGCCAAAGCTGATTACATAGTCAGCTCCCCCCTCTCCCCTCCCCCCTCCACGAGATTCGCTCCCCTAGCTGCTGCCTGCCCAGTGGTGGTGGGGGGCGGTCCAAGGCCACTCCCTACATGTACGTGCTTTAAAATCTACGTAGACGTTGGTGGTGATCCCAATGGACACACTCAAGCATATCGTTTCTGACACCACAACACAACACCACACCACAACAAGCCGCGTGAGTTGTTTTTTTCCAGCGTTTTAGTGTTGGGAGACAGCGCAGATACCCAAATGAACGTATAGAAGCACAAAAAAAGTGGAATTTTCATAATATGCCCCCAGTCCCCAATACAACTGAATAACGACACAGTACGGCACTTTTTAACTCTTAACTAGTTATTTTTGAGTCTCAGTCACCCCGAGTAAAACAAACAAAAATAACTAGTTCATATAATTCCAGGTAAGAATAAAGAAACTGGACTAACTAGCAATCTAGATAGGCCAACAACAGCAGATGCAAATGCTCTCCTGTTACTTGCTTGTTCTCATAGTTCACGTGTGGAAAGCCACAGTGCAGCCCCGTGGCTCCAACTTCTGAGTTAAAAATAAGATTTGACTTGAGTAGCACAGCCCCTCGTCTTCTCCCCAACCTGCTGTGGATTATGCATGTTTTTTATTTTACTCCTGTAGTATATCTTCAGTGTCTCTACTAGTTAAACATGACATGTATGTTTTTAGGGAGACTACAATACTCAGACGGAGGCTGTGTGGGCAGTCACCAACTAGACCAGTGGTGGGACAGTGGAGCAAGTGGCCTTCCTGGTCCAGTGCGAGGTGCTGGCGCCTCTGCTCAACCTGCTGAAAGCCAAAGACAGCCAAATCCTCTTGCTCATCCTGGATGCCATCTGCAATATTCTACAGCAGGGGTCGGGAACCTATGGCTCGCGAGCCAGATGTGGCTCTTTTGATGATTGCATATGGCTCGCAGATAAAACAAAATATTCTCACTTGTTTTAATCCATCCATCGATTTTTCACTGCGACGAGTATCGTACATTTCAGGACGAATGGACCGAAGAATTCGCCTTTGTGGAGAGAGCGGGTTCTGCGGTGTGTCTAATTTGCAATGACAAAATTACTGTTGTTACTATTGTTGAAACGGTCGAATGTAAAGCGGCACTTCGACACGCGCCACGCTACCTTTGCATCAAAATACCCTGCAGGAGACAGCAGAAAGAAAGCGTGCCAAGAGCTTCTGAGCAGGGTGCAAGCTAGCCAGCAGCAACTCCGCGTATGGACCCGGCAAGGTGACTATAATTCGGCTAGCTGTGCTTTGCTTTGTTAGATTCTCAAAACTTGGAACGCGCTTCCTGTCACATACGACACACTGCAGCGTGTGAGTATTGCTGTATTGACCATGTTTGGATCTACGTATGCATGTGAGCAGTCATTCTCACATCTTAAAAACATCAAGTCCAACCTACGATCACGTTTAACGGATGAAAGCCTCAACGCTTGCATGAAGCTTAACCTCACCAAGTACCAACCCGACTACAAAGACATCAGCAAATCCATGCAGCACCAGAAGTCGTATTAATGGTGAGTGTTATAGCAACATTATTTAAAAGAATAAATTCAGAGGCTTATTATACTGACATTTAGTTGAATTCACTTTTAAAATATATTATATGGCTCTCACTGAAATAAATTTCCAAATTTTTTGCTTTCATGGCTCTTAGTCAAAAAGGTTCCCGACCCCTGTTCTACAGGTATATTGTCTACAGCCTGTTGCAAGGTTTGCATTGTAGTTGCTTAAGGCAAGCTTGTTCGTGTAGTTAAATCTGAATGCTGACCTCTGAGGCTCACTGTACAGCCTGTCCATCATTTATCTTGGTGTTGATGAAAGTCTAAATGCACTCAATTCATACTTTATTACGTTATTGGTAATGTATCACATTGTACACAGTATCATTGTGTAACAATTAAGCCGTAAAGGTGCTAAACCACAGTAAACCACTCCTAGACATATTTTATAAAACTTATGTCAAAGCAAAAAATATTATGTCTGACATGATCTTCAAGAAGACTGTCACGTTCTGTCACGGTATCGGGCGGCAAAGATCCACGCGCAGAGGGAGGTCACAAAATAAGGGTTTTAATGTTCAACAGAAACAGCGAGCCGAGCTCGATGGCAAAACATAGAACAAAAATGCTTTCTCTAGGAGACCAGCTAGGCAAAAAGGGCTTGACTCACAAGAATAATCCGACAAGACACAAAGGGAACACATGCAAGATATAGACAGGGTGATTAGACATGACGAGAAACAGGTGTAACAGCAAACGGCGCGGGCACTGATTGAAATGAGCGGCAGGTGGATGGGAAGGCTATGTGAGAAGTGGGTGTGTGCGCTAAGGTGAGACTAATGGGCAAATGAGTGTGTCAGTGAATGTATTTGGCAGAGGGGAAGAGAGAGAGACCCGGATCCTGACAGTACCCCTCCCTCAACGAGCGCCCCCAGGCGTTTCCGAGGAAGGAGTCTGGCGAGACCGGTAGAAGTCCTCAATGAGCGAGCGGTCCAGGACGTCCCGGGCCGGAATCCACTGCCGCTCCTCAGGACCGTACCCCTCCCAATCCACCAAGAACTGGCAGCCCCGCCCTTGGGGACGAACATCCAGAAGTTTGCGAACCCTATAAATAGAGTCCACCTCGTCAAGTGGTGGGGAGGGGGGGGAGCGGGGCGGGTGGGTGCACGAATGACAGGCTTGAGACACGAAACGTGAAATACTGGGTGTATCCGACGTAACGAACCGAGCAGCTTTAATTTGACGGTTACCGGGTTAAAAACCTTAAAAATGGAAAAGGGGCTGACAAAGCGAGGCATGAGTTTCCGTGTGACCACGGGCGCGATGGAATGGGAAGAGGTCTGAGGAGACCCGCCGGCGGAGCGTTGCTTGATTTAGTTTGCGTGCAGACAGGGCAAGAGGCAACGAAACTACGTATGTCACACTCTCTGGTAGGCCACCAGAATCTTTGACAGATAGCGGCTAAAGTGCCCTTTACGCCGGGGTGCGCGAATAGTTTAGAGGCATGGCCCCACTCGAGTACGCACTTTCGCGCGCTCTCGGGAACAAACAACCTCCCCTCGGGGGCAGTAGGAGGTCTGATGGCGTGCGCAAGGGCCCTCTTAACGGTCTGTTCAACTCCCCAGACCACCGCTCCAACCACACAGTGTTGGGGAACCATTCCCTCCTGGATTGAGGCATCCTCCGTGGAGCCGAACTGACGGGAGAGGGCATCAGGCTTAACATTCTTTGAACCTGGTCTAAACGAGATGGAGAAGTGGAAGCAGCCAAAAAATAAAGCCCAGCGGGCCTGCCGCGCGTTAGGTCTTTTAGCGGAGCGAATGTATTCGAGGTTCCGGTGGTCGGTCCAAACAATGAATGGCACGCTGGCCCCCTCTAGCCAATGCCGCCACTCCCCCAGAGCCAACCGGATAGCCAGGAGCTCCCGGTTGCCGACGTCATAGTTTCGCTCCGTAGGTGAGAGCCGGTGCGAAAAAAAGGCGCACGGGTGAATCTTATCGTCACGGGAGGAGCGTTGCGACAAAATAGCCCCAACCTCTACGTCAGAGGCGTCGACCTCAACAATAAATTGTCTTGCGGGGTCCGGAGTGACTAAAATGGGCGCGGAGGTGAATAAACTTTTAAGACGATTGAAAGCCTCTTGTGCCAGTTCTGACCAACAAAACCTTGACTTGGTCGACGTGAGTGCGGACAGGGGGGCAGCCACCCGACTAAAATTGCGAATGAATCCTGTAGAAATTTGCGAATCCTAAAAACCACTGGAGAGCAACGCGAGACTCCGGGGCTGGCCAATTGAGAACCGCCCGTTCCTTCTGGGGGTCCATACTGATTCCCCCAGCGGAGATCACGGACCCAAGGAACGTAACCGAACGCGAGTGAAAGACACATTTCTCAGACTTAACGAAAAGGCGGTTCTCGAGCAGGCGTTGTAGGACCCGACGGACGTGTTGGGCGTGTAACTCGAGAGAGGGTGAGAAGATTAGAATGTCGTCCAGATAAACAAATACGAAGATGTTTAACATTTAAACTGGTCATTTAAACTGGTCAAAGTGACCAACATGGGTATTGAACGGGGTCTTCCACTCATCCCCCTGTTTGATACGAACTAGATGGTACGCATTACGCAGATCCAACTTAGTGAAGAATCTAGCGCCCTGTAGGATCTCGAACCCTGACGACATAAGGGGCAAGGGATAGCGATTCTTGACCGTTATGTCGTTTAACCCCCGATAATCAATACAAGGACGCAACGACCCGTCCTTCTTCACGAAGAAGAACCCCGCACCGGCAGGAGAAGAGGATGGAACAATAATTCCAGCCTCCCCTTTTGCAATATTTCACATTTATTTCAGCTTTTTTCATTTCTGATTTTTCAGCAAATCTATTGAAATTCCATGCAGCTTCTCCCATATCTGTATTTTCAGCAATTTCAAATGAATTTCAGCTTTTCTAACATCTGTAATTTAAGCAAATGTATTCAAATTCCCTTCAACTTTCTGTATTTTCAGCTATTTTAAAAAGTTCATTTCAGCTTTCAGCTTTTTGCATTCCAACGCATTTTCAGCAGGAAATGCATTTTCTAGTTATTATTATTATTCGGGCAAACTGCCTGAGCGGGAAAGGGGGTAGATCGGCATGAGTTGGATTAAAAGGTTGAATGAAAAAGTAACTAGCGAGCCGAACCGGACCCCTGCGTTAAAAACTTTCCAACCACGGTGTTACTCCAGGCAGCAGCGCCCGTTTCAAAAGCACTGTGTTCCCCCCCGTCGACCGGACCATCAGCGCAGCACCCCCCCCCCCATGATTTGTAATTGGCCCAAACATAAAATGAGTTTGACCTCTGCTATAGATTGTTATACAAAGTGATGGAAAGTCACTGAACACATCAACTCAAGTGATGGAAAGTCACTGAACACATCAACTCAAGTGCCTAAGAACTATTCTTTTTTGTGCTTAAGAATTTCCATTATGTCACGGTTTGGGTTCACGTCCTGTTTTATTTTGTAGTTTCCGGCCTCTTGTCTACCTGGGTAACTTCACTTCCTGCCTTGTCCTGTCATCCCATGTGATTGTCTGTCTGTCATGATTGTTTCCATCTGTGTCCACTTACCTGCACCTCCCTAGTGTATTTAAGCCACGTGTGTCACTTGTTGCGTCACTGTTGAATGTCTGGAAGTCCATGTCAGAGTGTTCCTGGGTCCTGTCTGCGTTTTTCTCCCTTGGCCTTTTCTTTGATTTTGAGTTTCTGCGTTTTGCCGCCTTGGCTTTTGATTTTGAAGTCTTGGCTAATAGTCTATTTTTGTTTTTTGAATCTCTGTGCTTGAGTCCTGCCTTCCCCGCTTCCCTGACACATTATATGCTTTTACCCATTGCACCACTCCCCTACAGTGCAGGGGGGATAAATTATCTCATCTCCAAGAGCTTTATGATAAAATCAGAAGATGCGCAGAGCCACACAACTCAAACAACTATTATAATGAGGAGAAATCTAACAAAAGCAGCCAAACATTTGCTGTAATTCTCTTTTTTTCAGGCTGCTGTTGTTTAGTCGTCATTGCTGAGATGTTCAAGGCCTAATAATAAAGTTTAATATACTCAGTTGTCGCTTGTGTGTTGAGTGCTACGTAAACCCCCCAAAAATTCCATTTACAGACTGTACTTCATCATTCCAGTTAAATTACTGCAACACGACGAGAAAAGGTGTCAAATATTGTCTTCTAAGTAAGGTTATAAGTCTTTGATTATTCCTACATAAAGCAGTCCACAAATGTTGTTAAACAATAGTTTGTGATCATTTCACACATCAGCCATTGTATAGTTTGAGATTCCTTTACGTGTTTTTGGGTGCGATGCATCTGCAAACTTGCAGCCTTGACAGAGGGCACGGAGTCGTTGAGTGACACAGGAAGTGTTGTATTCTTCTCTCGAGATGACTGACTGTTTA